GATAGAAATTGCATCTGGAATTAAATAGATAAAAGAGGCAAATTTGCGCCAACACGAGCCACTGACCTGGCCGGTGCATGTTATCACAGATGAGCTTGAAGAAGCGAAGAAGCGAAGCGGCGGATCGTGTAAGAGGGAATGTGCGGCGCTCTAAGCAGAGGGGGGGTTTTTCTTGGCGGATTGATAATTGCTGATGTGATGTCGGTACTCACGGCGCAGCTTTCGACGGCTTCGGGAGCTAGTGATCCACTTGCCCGAGAACGGCGGACTGACCACCTTACCACTTCTTTGCAAAGAGCTTCTTCAACTTTGGTCGCGCGAGGTTTTCGCATCTTTCGAGAATCTTCCTTGCCTAATTAGCCCTCTTTTCGGTATGGTACACCGTGGAGCGCTTGCTGTCTCTTGAAATTTCCAGCCCCCATTGTTCCCGGCCCTACGATCGGCTGTTGAAAAATAAAGGAAAATAAGATTTAACCAACAGAGACTGCCGGGCTGCAATAGAAACTGCGGCTGTTCAAAATCGTTGCATCGTCTCGGTCCACCTCACACTGTAGACAACGGCTTTTGTTGGAGCTGGCGCGAGATGGTGAGAAACACCTGCATGGTTCCCTGTTACCTACACACCACATGGAGGGGGGGGGGGGGGGGGGGGGACGCAAAAGAAACCCCCCCCCCCGCCCCCCCTTCCCCCCCTCCCCCCCTTTTCCTTTCCCTCTTTTCACCCGCCCCCCCCCCCCCCCCCTCCCCCCCCCCCCCCCCCCCCGGGTCACACCCCCCGCCCCCCCCCCCCGCGTCGTCCATTCACGACCTCTCTTACCTTTACCTTGACTCCTTTGCATACGGCCCCCCCTCCCCTTCGTTCCCCCCCTAGCCCGGCCATGAGTCCAGCCCCTCCGATGGCCGCGTATTTCAGCACACCGCATATCTCAACTTCATTGACATCACAAAGGGCTTTCGAAAGATGAGGACAGGATGAGAACGGGTCAAACACAACCGGGGGGAGGGAAGCGGGGAGAGATGGATGCCCTGCGGTATCGACAAGGGGGAAGGGAAGGGGCGGGCGGAGGTAAGGCAACACGGCGGCGCACAGTCGGGAGTTCTGCAATAAGGCGCGCCGCGAGATATGATATCCCTACGTGCTGCGGTAAGGCATTATGGGGTAGCAGCGGCACCTTGGGTAGGGTGAGGTGTGATTGAAGAGGATGATGGAATGGGAGGCGCCGTGCCTCATGGCGAAGGCGCAGGCAAGGCACATGGCAGGAGGGGACCAGGAGCCCCTGGGCGTTGAGAAGGAGGGGGGGAGTTGAGCAAGGGTAAGGTACAGCACTTGAACTGAGGAGTGGTTATTTGGATGGATGCTCATTGCTCGCATGTGCGGCGGTTTAGTTGCAATGCGACATTGATTGGGGTAGGATGTTGAGTGAGAAGCGAGCGAGCGAGTGATTGAGTGAGTGAGTAAGTGAAAAAGGGATGTCTATCGAGATGAGAGGATGAGACGGGCACGCATAAGGTATGAGAGTTGTCTCCCGTTCATGGTCTCTCACTCCGTCACTTTGTACCGGATAGTGAGGGGTGAAGAAGGAGCAAGCGGAGGAGAAGGGGGAAGAGGAGGGGGTTCCATCACTTCCATTGCTACGGCATGTATGCTCAAGAAGGGGGAGTGCGGTGGATGAAGACCTTCCATTGGGTCCCCAGGCCGGAAGGACCCCACACGACACCGTTTTTTTTTTTTTCTCACTGCAATGGGCTGTCGTCCAGCGGGGACCTGGGAGTGGATCTCTCTCAACCGGGACCTGGACCAACGGCAGGTTGCATTCGTGCTCTGTACGTTCTTCGTGCAGTATTCGTAGAGCAAAACCCTTAATAATATGGATAGGTAGAATAGGTAGTCTGTACCCATAAGTAAAATAAGAAGCCGTTCATATCTCCACTTCGTTGACCGCTTAGGGAAAGTCGGTTTTCCGGATGGGCGAAGAGGGGAGAATGGAAGGTCAGAAGATCAAGAGAGGCACCGTTGCAGCAGCAACCAGCTTACAGTGGAGGTGATGAACAGAAACAGCCTCACAGTCCATAAGGTAAGGTATGCATACGAAGTTCCCTACAGACAGTGGATAGCGGACGGTGGACGGTGGACGGTGGACGGCGGCCGGTGAATGACGGCGGAGGGGCATGCATGCAGCGGCACCACCATTATCAATCTACCTCGTGGCAGCAGCTCTATTCATCCATGAAGGGGTTGCAGCATGGCTGGCCACACGGCCTGGCTCCCGTCTCTGGTGCGTGGGCGAAGCCTGCCTTTGCATGCTATCGAATGAGAAATGCAGACCGCACCCCATCCCAGACGGCCCACCCAGCTCACACTCAGCAAGTCGCCTCAATGAGACTCAAAGGACGAGAATGTGTGTCTGTGTGAGTGTGTCTGTGTGAGCGAGTGTGTGTGTGTGTGTGTGTGTGTGTGTGTGTGTGTGTGTGTGTGTGTGTATGCGCGAGGGAAAGACGTTGGGCGAAAATAAGAATAAAACACGTTGGATGGATTTCCTAACTTTGCTTGTTCATGTTCCTGCTCCTGTTCCGTCTGCGCACCACTTCCTCTTCTCTCCAAGTCCAGTCAGCTGCTCTCGCTCGCCTCCCAAGAAGATCGGGATCGCTGGCTTCCCTTCCCTTGCCCCTGGTCCATGTTTGAACCCGCGCCGCCTCGTAGCCTCTTCACGTTTCGTCCGCTCTTCTCCGCCTGTTGTGCTGGACAAGTTCCGACCAAAGGGACCGACTCAATCTCCATCCAGCCTACGAATACCTTGGGGCACTAGATCAACCCATCAGCCAAACGCCAAAATTGCCTCCACGTCCCGTTTTGTTTTATGTTTTCTGTTTCCCTTTTTCTAAATTTCTTGTTCCTCTTTCTTCTTCTCCTTTTCGATTTAGCTTTCCCGTATCCAACGAGAAGGGCATGCAGAAAAGAGAGAGAGAGAGAAACAGAGAGAGGGAAAATTAGTTCGCCCAACCCGCAAGCCAATTTTCAGTCTAATCGAACTACCGCTCCTATATCGTACGGGGACGGTATAGTCGGAATATCAAACAGGTCCCATTCTGCTCCTGCTCTAGCCTCCTACCACCAGTACTCTGTGCTCGTTGTTCCGAAGGCCATTTTTCTTTCTAACCCCCCCCCCCCCCCCCCCCCCCCCCCCCCCCCCCCCCCCCCCCCCCCCCCCCCCCCCCCACACCCAACACCCCCCCCACCCCCCCCCCCCCCCCCCCCCCCCCCTCCCCCCCCCCCCCCCCCCCCCCCCCCCCCCCCCACCACGGCACACGCCTGCCAAGCGCACCCCCAAAACCAATGAGAAGGGGAACCATCAAGTCTCACGTTGCTGAGCCTCGGTCTCAAGTCTCGCTCTTTCCGCGTCTCCTTTCCTCCCTTTCCACCCCAGGCCTGACCTCACCATCCACACCTCACATCTTGGACCTGCAACTACGGACTACATTGGCTTAACTTGCCTTGCTTTATTACCGTACATCATACATCAGTTACCATTCATTACCTATTCCTTGACCTAGGTATGTAGTAAATCTCGACCCAGAAAAAGTAGAGAGGCACCGCCAAAGCAACGCCCTCGTGTCCATCTACTACATCCCAGCGTCAGCCGCCACGCTTACTTTCCACTGCACCAATCCCAATTCCGATCCCATCGTGCTCCTCTAACCTGAATGCAGGGGTTATTGCCATTTGCTTCACCTTTTATTCCCGTCTCATACACATCGTGGTGCACTCGTTAGCCTTCTTGCTGAGGGCCGTCTCGGTTGCCTTCGCCGCCGTCGCCTTTCGCACATCACCGCCGCCAGTCATCCGTCGTCTGCGCCTGTCCGCCGCCCGTCCGTTCCACACACACATGTCACCAAGCGCGGCGTGAGAATCTGCAGACACAATCCTTCAAGCCCAGTCCGCCGGTGTCATCTGCCATCCAGAGGCGATAGCTTTGACTATCACGTCACGCCTGGACTGGCAAAGATCGAATTGTTGGATCATCGTATCTCAGCGTCAGTCAAGTCAGTATTACCCTGCGCGCACAGGCAGACGGTCATATCCGTAGCCCGCATTTCTCAAATCTCCCCCATCCGCGTTCTTCCCAGTCTCGTCCATCTTCTCAAGTCTCGTATGCCCGCCCAGTTCTTCTCCAATCTTGTTGATCATTCATGGTTGTCGTTGTACCTACCCTAGACCTAGTGCGAATACCTTACTCCCGTGGTCCTTGAAAGCCCCTTTACTTTTGTGAATCAGCCTGTTTCCATTGCCCCCGACCTAGCAAGTGAGCAAGTCCCCGGTGGGCAGCTTCAAGCAACAAGTGTGGCATGGAGCTTTGTTCGTGACGTCCGACATCATCTCACCTCTTCTCCTTGACTGACTGCCTGTCTATCCGTCTCGCCTTTTTTTATTTTATTTTAATTGTTATCTCCCCTCGTCTGTCTCCCCCTCTGATTACCTACCGTCACTCAAGGTGGTGGTGGTTCAACTTCGGGCTCTTGCTGGCCCTGACTTGCCTTAGTTCTGCCCGCCTGCCGCCCGCTCTGCTTGTAGCGTGTGGAGCATCAGGTCAAGTCCCATGTACCTGCTCCCGCTTGCACTCCCCCCACTTCCCTTGCCCGTCTCACTCCCACGCTCTTCCCACTCCCACTAGGTAGCCCCTCCCCCCTTGTATCCTTTACTTGCAGGGTTCCGCCGTCTACATGTACATCACCCCCTTGGGGCATGTGTACTCCGTACTGTACCTCGTCTCGGACAAGTACCTTTTTTTCTCTCTCGCTCCATTCGCAGCCCTTGTCCCTTATTCTCCTTCTCCTCCACCATTACCACCACCGCACACCTCCTCTCCTCTCCTCCTCCACGCCCTGCCTCACCAAACCACCCGCTCTCTCTTCCTTTTTTTCCCTCTCCTTCTGCGCCGTGCCTTTTATTTGAACACCCGTCTTGCCGTCCGCGCCTCTTCTGATTCTCTCCCTCCCATTAGATGGCCGCTGTCTCCAAGACATCCCGACCTCCGAACCACGAGCCATTGTCAAACGAGGCCAGCTCTCAACCTCTCACACACAAAGCCAACCCCAACCCTACCAGTGCTAGCAGTCCACGATCCACCGCTACCACCACCACCACCACTCTTCCTGCAACTGCCACTGCCACTGCCACCACCACTACATCATCATCGACCGATCCCTACCAGGCACAAAAACAACAACAACAACAACAACAACAACTGGTGCCCTCGGTGAACCGTCCGCATTATCGCTCTCACCACCACTCGCCTTCCACCAGTTCTCTATACAAGCTTCAGCGTTCTGGTGGTATCTTGGGCTTCGCTGCTGCCGCCTTTGACAAGACCCAATTTGCCCTCGCAACATTTTCCTCGGACCAGTCTGTCCGCCAGCGCGTTTCCAGTTCCGCACTAGGCCGCGCCTCTTTGACCCCCGACTCCGTCTCCGACTACTCTGCCAATCTGGGCTCGCAAGACAAATACCCACGATATACGAACCCTTCCAATTACTCGTCTTCCTCCAGCAGCACCCTTAACAATATAGAGGGCAAGTCTCCAAGCCAGGTGTCGCTGGTACAGGATATACCCTCTCAGCCATACAGCGAGACCGATCCGACCAGGCCTGTTCCCATTCGATTGCCGAGCATTGAAAGCAAAATGCACCAAACCTCCTCGCGGCTTCTCCGCATGACGGATGACGACCGGCCGTTCACAAAGGTTAGTCAATACCTCCTAATTTCACCCTGTTCGACGAGCATCGCATTCGGTGATGGTCACATTTCCAGTCGCTCACGCACCTGTCGCTGGCGGTTGAACCCGGCTATTTAGAGATGGCTAACGTGGGAGAATGACAGGACTTCAAGGATCTCTACTCAACACTGATCGTCAGCCTTCTGCCTTTGTCTGCACACCGAGTACGGTTAACACGAGTGGAAAATACGTTCCTGTCCGAAGATGCGATTAACAACTTGGGATCTCTGAAGTTTTCTCAATCTAACCGTATGCCCGACCCCAAAGATCCCTCCAGAATAGTCACGACGACCACAACAACGACGTTCTCCATGGCCAAAGACATGGCACGCTCCATTTGCCAAAAGTTCCTCGAAGCGAGGTTTATTGAGTCAGCCGACGGAAAGTACCAGCAAGTGTACAACATGAAGGGTTCCGTGTGGCAATTGACGCCCAAGGGCGTAACCGTGCTGGATCGCTTCTGCTCACGCAACGGTATCCAGCAGAAGTCGATATCTGACCTGGTCGGCGCGACCCTGTCGCAACTCGTTATTCTCGAGCGGGACGGGCAGACGGATAAGCTCATTACCGATCGCGGCACAATTGAGGTCATTTTCAGGAGATTCATTGGAACACACGGCCCCAACGTCAAGTCGAGCGTCAGCTCAGCCGATTCAGATTCCCTGAGCGACTACAAGGATGGCTTGACCGGTGTCAAGATGGCTAGCGAGCGTAAGGTGAACGGCAAGACGTACAAGGATACTTTTACTGGCAAGGCTGCCACTGATTGGCTGATGGACTGTTGCACAACCGTAGACAGACGGGAAACGTACGACATCGCGTCACTGTTCGTGGAGTACGACTTGATAGAGCCCGTGGTACAAGACCGTGCTCATATGGCACAATATCCCAGCAACAACTTGTTCCAGCCTACAAAGCATGCCATTTACCAATTGACGGCAAAGGGCAGGGACTTGATCAACGGTCTCGGTTCGCGGGGAAGAACGTCAGAAAGCGAGGTCGTCACGCCCTCACGTAACGCTATTGCGCGAGACTCCAACACCCAGCGGCTGGACAAGATCCTAACCGACGCAGCCCTTCGCCTGTTGTTCAGAGAAAACCTGCGCGAAACACACTGCGAAGAGAACCTTTCCTTTTACCTGGACGTCGACGACTTCGTTCGGAGTTGCCGGCAGGCGATTCGGGTTGCCCAGAAAAACCCCAATGCGAGCTCAATGGACGGCATCAAGGAGATCATGGCCCAGGCGTATGGGATTTATAACGCATTCCTCGCCCCCGGCTCTCCCTGCGAGTTGAACATTGATCATCAGCTCCGCAATAACCTGGCGACTCGTATGACCAAGGCTGTCGGGCAGGACGTTGCCATGATCGACACTTTGCAGGAGGTCATGTCCTTGTTTGAAGATGCTCAGAACGCAGTTTTTAAACTGATGGCAAGCGTATGTTTATTTTTCACGCGATTGAGCTATGGAATGTGTGAACTTTTAGGCTAACTCGACATGTTTTCGCAGGACTCGGTTCCCAAATTCCTGAGAAGCCCCAAATACGAGCACACTCTGAAGAACTACGACTTTGACTCAGTCACGGGTGGCGGCCGCGGCTTAGAGCGCAGCACGAGCCGATCGAACCGCAAATGAGCAAATCTTTTATATTACGCAGCTGTTTTCCCAAATTCAATATGAGACGGCATATTTCTGCACCATCTCGTCACAACAAGACCGAATGCGTTCCTAGGATCGACTCATCGATGCTGGTACACGCTGGCCATTTGGCATACGGCACTTTTCTCAACCCATAATCTTGTGCATACGGGGTGGATGGCCTTTGATTCGTTAACGGGCGGTGGGCGAAATCTTTCAGTTTTTCCAACAGAGGAGGCCTCGCCAAGGGCCGATCTTGGTCGCCACCTGGATTATTTTGGAAATGAAGGCGTTGGGGATGGAACTATTCTTAGAGGGAGACCCCATGAGTCGGCGAAACTGACTCCGCTGCACATGATCACGTCATCGTCATATGCGGACTCGACTTGTTGACTCGCCCTTTGTTTTTTCTAATTTCTCATTTTGTTTCAATCATAACTGGCTGGGCGGGGCGGACGATCATAGAAGGACGGCATGAAAGAGCGCAGTCTCAACCACGACCCCCGAGACGAGCTTATGGCGACGGATGAACGATTTTGTTCGTCACAGAGTGGAGGACGAGGGCGATTCCGCTGCCCGTTGGCATGCCGGAAGTGGATGTCGTGTGGACATCACGAAGCGAGTAACTTGCTATGGACAAGGGGGGAGGATGGAAAGGGAGACGAACGGTCGAGGAGCGATCTGACCCAGCTGTACATATCTCAGAGCTCCGCCGACCGAGTGGGGGCAAAACGCTCGACCTTCCAACTCGCCTCTGAAAGAAAGGGAAGCAAATGAAAGTGGTAACACAAATCTTCCCAGGCTTGCGCGTGCTCATGTCCTTATTTGCTCGGAATGCTTCAATGATGAAATCCAGCAAACCTCGAAATATGAGGTAAGAAAGTGCAGGCAGCGGGGTGGAGTGTCTACTCCTGGCGCTTCCATGTGTTCATTAATTCATCGCATGTAGTCCCGTCTTTGCCAAGCTCCCCCTTCTGGACCTGACGGTTGGAATGCGCCACATTACCGGCGGCCGGTGGAAACATTCTTGGCAACTCAACGGACCACAACAAACACGGGCCCGGGACGGTTCCACCAGCATTCCTGGCCGCGAGTCCGGAGCTTCTCATTGGGCGCGGTTGATGTCTCGAACAACCAAAACAAATCTCCAGTCTAATCTTGTCGGGTTCCAGAGTCCTTGTCGAGTGAGAGTCGTCGTGTTCCTGAGACCTTTTTTTCCCCTTCCATCCCGGCTTAGCATTTTCCTCCCTTTCCTCCGTCGTAAGCTTTCGTCAGGCTCGTAATGTCAGTTTTGGCCCGCTGAGCGTGCCGTGCCGGTGGATATCGTCGTGTGTTTTTGTTTCAGTTCGACATTGACATAAAGAGGAGGCTCTTGAACCGTCTTGCAACACTTCTCTTTCCCCTTCCATCCCTCACACACACACACAACCCACAAGACTAGAACTCTTTCGTTTGTTCGGAGGTTCCCCCCCTTTCTTTTACATTTGCTTTAATTGGCCTCAGTCACTCTCTTGAAGAATCACAACCACTGCAACTCGCTCTCATTACCACAAAACAAAAAACTCAACAACTATTATTAATTAGCTCTGTTGCTTCCGGACATCCTCACATTCTCTCCAAACTCGAAACCTCTCGATCTACGCTCGTTCAGCCAGTACTCAATAATCAAAACAACGTTCAAGAACAAGACAATCACACATTGCACACCCACAACCAACAGACAAGATGCAGATCCAATCCGTCCTCACTTCCATCGCCCTCGTTGCCGGCACGGCCGCGGCCTACGATCCCGTCTACACCAACGGCACCTTCACCGTCACCACGGTCTGGGAGGCCGTCACCACCTACTGCCCCCAGCCGACCACCCTCTGCTTCAACAACCGCACCTACACCATTGACGAGCCTACCACCTTCATCATCCCTGACTGCCCCTGCACCCAGACCTACGTGAGTTGCCTCTCTCTTCCCCCAAACCTGACCACTATAACTCTCTCCCTCTCCACATTCGTTTGGTCCATGAACTGTCGCTAACAATACGCCTTAATATCATAGACCACCAACCATTGCGCCGAGTGCCAAAAGCCAACTGGCTACATCATCCCCGCCCCGCCCGTCCAGACCGGCTCCGGTGACGTGCCCCCCGCTGTACCCACCCAGACCGGCCTCATCAGCTGCCCCGGCAGCCCCAACTGCCCGCCCGCGGTCTCCAACTCCGGACCTGGCTTTGTTTCGCCCCCTGCTCAGACCGGTGGTGCCGGCGGCTCTGGCGGTGCTGGTGGTGCTGGTGGCCCTGGAGGTCCTGGAGGTCCTGGAGGTCCCGGCGGTCCTGGAGGTGCTGGCAGTGGTGCTGGCGGTGCTGGCGGTGCCGGCGGTGCCAGCCCCAGCCAGAGTGGCGCTCTCGTCTGCCCCGGCAGCCCCAACTGCCCTGCGACCGGCACAGGCGGCATCGTCGGCGTCGGCGCCAAGCCTTCTACCGTCGTCGTCGCTGGTGCCGAGAAGAAGGCCGCTGTTGCTGGTTTCGCCGTCGTCGCCGGCTTCGTCGCCGTCCTGGCTCTGTAAAGGAGACTCCTTCTCTGTGCAGGACAGCTCCATCTCTAAAAGCCTTTTCTCCAACCTCGATACCTCTCATTCTATGAGTTGCACTATTTTTTCACCGTTTTGGTAATGGGGAGAGACTTCCAGAGAGGGGCGAGGGAAAGGGAACCTGAAGACCTGTGTGGGTGTGTTTGAGAGGGATGAGAGGGGGCGTGAAGTGAAGCCAGATTTGTCTGCGCCTTCTGCACTCTTTTCCTTTTGTCCTTTTCAATCCTCATATGGGTTGAAGGTTTTTCCTTTCCTTCCCCCTCTTACAATCGTCATCTCTTCCTTGCGGCGGTTTGAGAAATTTTGCAGCCCTCGAACCGAGGGAGTCGGAGTGGCCCGTCAATCAAAGCTTTTGGGGATGTTTGATTCAAAGTTGACAATATTATTTATGTCTAGTGTGTTTTTTGTTTTTTGTTTGGTTTCCATCTTCCTCATCATTGTTATCACGCCCCATTATTGTTTTACGCCGATATGCCCAGAGATGAGGATACTCTACCTTGCATAGGGTGGGATAGACGAGAGAGATAGAGAGAGGAAGGGGCGGGGGTGGTCGGAAGGACAGACAGAGCAATTTATGCGGTATCCGCTAGAACCTGGGTGAAAGACTGGGGGACGGGCGGATCTACTGCTTTCAGTGGATGTAAAGGGGACGAAAGAACAATCTCCTTTGTTAGAATCTCTTGTTTCTGACAGGGTTCTCATGTTTGAGAACTTTGCTGTTCTGTTTGCTGCTGTCTGTCACCGGTGGGGGGGGAAAGGGTGGAAGGAAGGAAGCAAGGAGAATCGAAATGGGGTTTTCGGTTTGGCATTATTAACCCTCTAGCATCATTATTGTCACCAATCATCATTATCCTAATACAGGTGTTTTTTTGTATGCCTTTATATACTTCATCTTTTAGACCTTATAGAATTATCACTTTTTTGTGTGTGTGTGTCACATTTAGACCAAATATTTCTCATCACGGCACTTTTGAAGTGAGGTGGGAAATGAAGTGCTCTTTTCGGTCATGGTTGGGTGATATTTGTTTGGGGGTTGGTGAGCTTCGTTCTCTCAAAGACGGCTGCTCAACATTGAAGACTTCACATGAACCGTAGCCGGGAACTTTGAAGGGGATCTGCAACGGATGCTTATGCTGAGTACTCTCAAAAACAACTGAGGTTGAAGATTGAAACTCACGGCCTTTAATCAACACCCCTGGCTTTCAGTTTGCAGTTCATAGCCTCGACTATAACTCGCCTATACTTCCAAAAATTTGCGTACAACAATGGAAATGAAATGAAATGAAATATAAACTGATAACAATTCGCAAAAGGTTCTATATCATTTCTTCATTGGGTGTTGCCGGTTAGCAGTGTGAGATGAGTAGGTACATGTCCTCACACCGACCATCTATTCCCGTCGGCTATGCTCATTACCGTCATTGTGTGAAAACATAGCATTACTCTATTGCGTAGAAATGATCATTTTAACAGATATCGGAAAATACTAGGTACATCTTCAATTACTTGATTGCTGAGCTTTTCTGCCGCCCCTCAAGGAATGCATAAAGTTCTCACAGATAGATCTACTCACTAACAACGTCTAGGATACTCCGTCGCATTTGAAGATCTCAAATTTCAGATGGCCTGACTGAACGTCTAGTATGAACGCCAAGACATACAGATGCAGATGACAGGAAGGTAGTCCTCCCTCGGGAGGGGGCATACGCACTCTTTTCCATTACCGTCAGTCCAAGTAAATAAGAAAATAAGCTCAAAGTCATAGAGCACAGGCTGTTTCTTCCATTGATACCTTTGCCAAGGGCTGGATGAAATGCCCACGGGCTATATACATAAACACGGAAATACCAAACAGGGCAGAAAGTCTTTGGCTATTCTGGAGCTTGTGGTATCCGCCGGCGTACCTAAAATATCCATCCTACGTATCTTGAAAATGGCCAGGTCAATGGGCATCCAGTTGTAAAATCAAGTCTGTCTGCTCCGTCTCGGGAATTTGTGGCCCAAAAAGCAACTGTTGTCCTTTTCTGTCACCCGGGACCACCCGTATAGGTAAACCGCCGCGAACACTTCCAGAAGACTTGCTCTCTCCCGAAAAGGAGAGTCCTTTCGGGCAGCAGACGCTCCTGAAAGACCCAACCGCGCTTATACAGCGACGCTCTGTTGTAATCGTTCAAGATGGTCGTGTGATCCCAGACGGTGTATTCACCGGATGGAATATCCATCATTTCTGAGCAAATAAACGATTCCAAGACTGACAAGTCTCTTGCTATGAAGAGTCCATCGTCTGGTCCCTCGGAATGCGCTGCGACAATCTTGCAGATAGATTTGGAGCATTCGTGGTCCGTTATCGACGCATCTTTCGTCTAGTCTGCCTAGCTGTCTTGAAGGATGCATAGAGAGTCGATCCAAGTGATGTGCCAAAGAGATGGCATCGCGGAACGTCTTGGGGAGATCCTTGATAGCCGTGAAGCTTTGGGATGCGGGAAGCGTGTCCGAGATAAGCTCTACAAACAGTCAAGGGTCCCAGCAATGACTCAACGTGAGATAGCACTGATACTTGGGAGGAGTCTCATGTTTCTGGGTGGTGTAGCTGCCGGGGTTGCCGACAGAGAATTGATTTGATTCCGGGACTAGTTGACTCATTTTATGACAGGTCTAGATATGTCTTCACAACAAATTCAAAAGCAGATTGCCGACGAAAAGATCGATTATTGATGCAAAGTGCAACACACGCGTGTCGGTAAAAATCACCATGTATTTTGTAAACCTCTTTACTTCTCGAGGTTGTTGAGAGACTATAGGTGACCCATAGTAATCACAGGTGCTGAGCGTGAAAGAGGAAATCTGAATATACAACAGCATATGATTAAATATAATGGTAGTTCTTCAATGTAACCTTGCGTCGACAGTAGCTAGAATGAGATGATGGATGAAGGGAGAGAGGCCAGAAACAACCTCATATTATGCGAGATGGAGAGAAGGTGCAGTGGCAGCGAATCACAGTGTGGTAAAACAAAGATCGTTCCATCTATCGCACTGTGCCAACTTCACAGCCTGAACTCAAGGGATCCACATCGTCGACCTCACTCATTCACCAGACCAACTCTTCAGGGCATCCTCAATCTGGTTCGTAACGTACCTCATATCAACTCCAACTCGGAGTAGGAAAATCATTGCTGAGATTCTCATCGAGGTCCATTGGCCTGCGTCTAGGGATCTTTTGGCTCCCAATCTACCCCCCCACCTCCCACGGAATATGGAATAAAAGCCCGGCCAGCCATCTCTAAACTTCTCATCCTCATCCTCGAATCTTCGGTCCGTCAACATGGACGCCAAGGAAGACGACAGCGACATCAAGCTGCAAAAAGCCTCCTCAGACCTCATCGCAGAATTCTCTCGCTCTCTACCCCTTTTTCTCCGCAAACCCGATGGCAAGACCCTCCGCGCCCGCGTCCGGGTGTCGGAGACCGCACGTCTGACTTCAAGCGTAACTACACCCCACGCAATCTCATAATCTTTCCTTGTCAGGAAACAAAAGTCTCATAATTCTGACACGCAATTTCATAGCTCCTCGACCCCTTTCAAGAACTCCCTCAACTACTGGACCCTCATCTCCCCGAATGGCTTCCCCTCCTCGCGTCAACTTATCTAGAGCACCTCAACACCCGCACCCGCAACCGCACCCGGCCTTCGGCCCCGTCCTCCACCGGCTCAACCCGTTCCCAGCTCCTCGAACCCCTGAACCTCGCCATCGCCAAACTCATCTACACCTTCACCAAGATTCGCGGCGAAAAGGTAATCGTCCGCTTCCTCAACGTCGAGTCCCGCCACATAGAACCCCTCCTTTCGGCCCTCGAAGCCGCAGAGCGCGCATCGTCGACCGCCCGCCCGGCGCTCAACCCTCCTTCTCCCCAGTCCGCCGCATCAGCAACCGCCACCATCACCGCGACGCAATGGTCTTGGGAGGAGCGCTATCTCGTCCTCCTCTGGCTCTCCCACCTCCTCCTCGCCCCCTTCGACCTCTCCACCATCTCCTCAGCCTCCGCCGACCCGGACCTCACCCTTCCCCAGATCCGGGACTTTGACTGGCCCGAGGACCTCCCCGGAATCACCGTCCGCATACTCCCCCTCGCCATAAAGTACCTCGCATCCTCCGGCAAAGAACGCGACGGCGCTCGCGCCCTGCTCGTCCGTGTCGCCATGCGTCGCGACATGCAATCTCAAGGCGTCCTCTCCGCCCTCGTCCGCTGGTCTCTCGCCTCCCTGAGACCCTCACCCTCCGGCGCCGCAACATCAGCATCGACACCGGCCCCGGCCCCGGCCCCGCCTCAGCCGCCTTACTTCTACATCGGCGTCCTCTCCTTCCTCGCCGGTGTCCTGCGATCCTCCATAAACACCTCCGACATGGACACCTACCTCTCCCCAATCTTCCTCACCGCGCACACGGTCGCCTCCGCCGACGACCAGGACACCCCCATCTCCACCGCCATCCGCTCCGTCGCTGTGGCGCGCAAGATGCTCATCAAGGTCATCCGCTCCGTCACCGTCCTCCTCCTGCGCAGCAACAAGTCCCCGCCGGACCCGCAGAGCACAGAGCTCGTCGAGACGTCCATAGGCTACCTCCTCGAATCCCTCGCTGACAACGACACCCCCGTCCGCCTAGCCGCCTCAAAGGCTCTCAGCATCGTCACCCTCAAGCTCGACCCAGACATGGCCTCCCAGGTCGTCGACGCCGTCCTCGACTCCCTCAACCGCAACGTCTTCTGGACCCGTGACACCCCTGGGCCGGCGGGTACCAAAGCAGCCTCCGCCACGACCACCACCCGCGACCTCACAGCCGTCGATCCGCTAGAGTGGCACGGCCTCATGCTCACCCTCTCCCACCTACTCTACCGTCGTTCCCCGCCCGCCACACAGCTGCCCGACATTGTCCACGGCCTCCTCCTCGGCCTCTCCTTTGAGAAACGCAGCACCTCGGGCGGTTCCATCGGCACAAACGTCCGCGACGCAGCCTGCTTCGGCATCTGGGCCCTCGCCCGGCGTTACACCACCCCAGAACTCCTCAAAGTCCCCACCGCGGCCGTCGTCGCAGCGCGCATCCACAGCGCCGACGTCTCCATTCTCCAAGTCCTGGCGACTGAGCTCACCGTGACGGCGTCCCTCGACCCGGCCGGCAACATCCGCCGCGGCGCCTCCGCGGCCCTGCAGGAGCTCATCGGCCGGCACCCGGACACGGTAGAAAAGGGCATCTGGGTCGTGCAGACGGTAGACTACCACACCGTTGCGCTGCGCTCCCGCGCGGTGCTCGAGGTCGCGCTCAACGCGACGAAACTCTCATCACAGTACGGCGCCGCCCTGCTGGACGGGCTGCTCGGTTGGCGGGGCATAGGCGACGCCGACGCCGTCTCGCGGCGCGTGGCCGCCGCCTCGTTCGGCACGCTCACGCTGGAGCTCTCGCCGCATGGCACCATCTCTTCTGTTGCTTCTTCCCCTTCCCTGTCCTCTGGCGACGTTGCTCAGTTCACGGCGTCCATCGAGAGGGTTCTCGCGCGCCTGCGTACGCTTCAGACTCGCCAAGTTGACGAACGGCATGGACTTGTACTCTGTCTCGCATCCGTCCTGGATAGGTTTCCTGAGCTGCTCACCGGTCGGCCGGTTGACAGCGTCACTGAGATCGCTCACCGCATCATCTGTGACCTGGAAACAATCTTCAAGGAATTCCAGACGACGACATATCGTAGGCCGGAGCTAGTCGCCGAAGCGTATAGTCGTTTGATTACTTCTTCATTACCTATCCTACAAGCTGCAATGCTACCTGGCAGCGGCATTCTAGACCTACAGCCAGGCAATGAGGTCGTGTCAACTGACAGCACCAAAAGTCTACTCAAAGCCATCAAGACAATAGACGCCCTGGAAAGAATCCCCGATAGGGTTGCGAGCCTCGTATCAACATTCAACTACGTAGTCAGCGCAGGCCTCGCCCGCACAGAAAAGGAGGCCGTCGCGGCGTCCTCCGAAGCAGCCCTGGTCCTTCTCGTCTTCTCACCCGCAGAGGAGCGCAGGCGCATCATTGAAGAATGGGCAGCTACCGTGAAGCAGCGGCCGACATCTCGCGCGGCCAACGACACGGGTGTGCTCTTCGCCCTGACCATGGCGTACCCGATCACGACCACATTTGGTGCCGCTTTGGAAGCCGAGGAGCGGGATGGCGTTGTCTGCGATACAATACTCGCGAGATGGGCCGGCGACAATGACAATGACACGCGCGTGGCGATTCTGCAGGCCCTGTCGGAGAGCGGTATGTTACGGGACCGCGCGCTAGTGTTCCTCGACCTGCTGGCGGAGGGTTTAAACGACTACACGACGAACGCGAGGGGAGACGTGGGATCCCACGTCAGGCTGGAGGCGCTCAAGGCCACCAAGTCATTGTGGAGCATGGCCCTGGCCGTGAATGGCTCTGGAGGCGGTATTGCCAAGGAAACCAGCGGGATAGATTGGCTACCTATGGCGGTCTCGAAGCTTTTCCTCCAGACCCTACGTTTAGCTGCCGAGAAGCTGGACCGCGTACGCACTGAAGCGCACGCGGTCCTTGCTATGACTGTAGAGTCCAGGTAAGGATAGGACCCCTTATCCATGGTTGTAACTCACGAACGCGAGGGGATGAAGAAGGGGGAAGCCTCACTAACAAAACATTTCAGTTTTGCAACGAGCTTCACAAAGCTTACCTTTTCGTCAAAGGTTTACTTCCAAACGCTGCTCAACCTCTACGCATCCGAGGGCAGCCTGCAACCCCTGATCGCAGGGCCGGCGAGGGCCGATGCGGCAGCCTGGATGGCCGAGCTGCTGGCGGGCTACGTTACGTCAGCAGACACAGGCAATGAGGACCTGGTGATTGCGTCCCGCTCGGCGCTGGCCAACTTCTGCGCCACGTCGCAGCGGAACCTGGCCGCGGTCTGCGTCGCGCTGGTGGGCAACGTCAGGAGCAGGCAGGGGCAGGACCGCGTGGTGGTGCCGACGCTCGAGATTGTGGCGTTCCTCTGCCACGTCGGGCTCTTCCAGAAGTGTCAGGAGGTTAACCTGCGGCACCTGTGCCTGCAGGTCCAAAAGGCGGGTTACAAGACGGGCAATGTTAGGAAGCTGGAGGCCTGTATCAAGGTGTACGGCTGCGTGGCTGGGTTCGACGAGGAGTGTGCCGATATAGGATTGGTGGTGCCTTTGGAACTCCAGGGTAAGAGGCGGGACGGCGTCTTGGAGGCCAGAAAGCGACTTGGTGCGTTGATGTTTCATCCCTGGCCTAGGGTGAGGAGCCTTGTCGTCGATGAGTTATGGAAACTGTTTGGGGAGGATGGCGGCGCCGAATCGCTGAAGGGCGTTGACTGGAGTAAGGCAGACAAAGCCTCCATCAATCGCGTCGTGGACCAGTTCGCATTGGCTCGGGCGGCATACGCATAATAGAGACAGGTTGGTGCGCGGGAGTTGTGAGAGGTTTCATCCCAAGTCGGTGTACTTTTAGTCAGTGTGGTCTTTCGAGAAGTGTTCATCTGCGGTTTGCGACGCTCATGGATGCGATAGGGCAGCTGTCACAAACCTTCCGTCCTGCCAGATTCATAGTTCGGCCCATCCCTGAACGTTTGTCTTTCGGCCGCAAGTTAAAATCCAATAACAAGTCGGGACGGAACTCAAAGCAGAAGCTCAGACCCACGTCCACAACCTATCCAAAGACGCCATAATGAGGTCAGTTCATGGGTTGACTGCCGTTACAGACGGTATGTTACCGGGCAAGGAAGGTGAATGGGAAAGGGTCGCAGACAAGAGCTCGCTGCTGAGGCCCGACCTTCATGCCGATGCTGCAGCACTCTCATGTACGCCCAACAACTGTATCCCGAATTTCCAAGGGATTTGATAGCCATATCCAGTTCGTTTTGAGAGACTATAATTCAAAAAATCGCCAAGACGCGTTCATCAATGTCCAATGCTGGTAATGCATAGGCATCCCGCGGCCACCGAGATTCGGCGGATAATTCGGCGGGGTTTGCTACCGGCGGATTACCGATGATCGCTCCGGGCAGCACAGAATTCACTAGCATCATCTGGTGCATTGTCATTTCCGTGTCGATCAGCTTTTACTTCCGCTTTTCAGCGGAAACCAGCCGGATGCAAGGCCGAAACAAACCACTCAATTGTGTTGGATAATGCCAAGACCCGTTGACCCAGGCACCTAGTCGCAAACTCTTCACCTCTCTACAACAGTCGGCATGGTTGGCCGATCTTGGCCCTCAATTGTCTGGTTCAAGCACACTCTGGCTCCAATCCTTTGGCGGAAACTCAGGCCGAGACCGAGTTCTGAAGTTCTGGAGTGGTGAGACGGCATTGGCTAAAAGAGACTGCGCTTGACTCCGTTGTACTTCAGATATCATGCAAAGACCTCTCATGTTTACGAATGTGAGCCAAGCATCCGTAAAACAAATCGGATCCGAAAACTGTGTTTCATGGCCGGCGGCCACCATTGTGTCCTTGCGTCGTGCAAGCTGCGAGCAGCACATATTGCACAGGGGCCTTGTAACGTTTTGTCGATCGGATGACACACATGGCTAGTGAGGCCGTAAGGCGCAGAGTAATTCTGCCTGGTGACCAACCGCCAATATCGGATGCCGAAGCGGGTCACACAGACAGTCTATACCAGAGACAGATACATCGTGAAATCATTTGGCCGCTGCCAACTACAGAGTAGGACGATTGAGGCTGAGTGTCCTGGGAGTCATCCAGTGCGCAGAATCGGGCCGTTATGACCGTGCCATTATTTAGTCCAGTCAGCAGTTTAGGAGCGTCTTTTGGAGAATGTGATCGGATCCTTCCATGTCTCAAGAACATGGGACTTCTGGTGCAGAGGCCACTTTCCTAGCTGACATTTCCGCCGAAGTTTATTTCTGCCAGCATAGGTTAGAAAATCGAGGTAGCCTGCGCCGCGTTTAGACAAAGCCACCGACACGCAAGTGGCAGCGAGGTTCTGCCGGCCTAGGCACACTATCCAAGGCCATTTGCACGTTTAACAGACAAATCGCTGCAGTGATTACCAAAAGGCCTAGTGATGCCCTTATCAACGTGTGCCTGTCACCCATCTTCGATAGTCTGGCTCGCTCTTCGTTTCTCCATGACGGCGCTCTGCTGTTCCACGTGGATTTGACACAAAGAACCCTGGAAAGCAATTTCAGCTTCAAGGGACGCAATATGATAGGTGCCGGGGAGTTAGTCTCGATGAGGCCATGGTATGACGGACGCTGTAGACCTCGGATCCCCCCCAAGGCGCAAGTTGGTGAGACAAGATAGAGCCCTCTTCCCCCCAGATTGAGGGCTTGTCAGGTGGGCGCTAGGAGATGGACGGGTGCAAGACCAAGTCCGAAGGAGGAAAGGTGAGCGACGCCAGGCTACCCAATCTGGCGAGGGGTAGTTCGGAGGCGCGGTACGGAAGACGGATGGGGTGCGGGCATCGATTTGGGATTTTGATAAGTATTCCAAGGCTAGAGATGGAGAGTGAGAGGCTGGGATTGGTCCATTGGTGGGCATCGACTTAGCGTGGAACTACCCCCAAATGGTACCATTGAAAGGACCTGCTCAGTCGGGCAAGTTGGCAGATATGCAGTGAAACTCTTCAATATCTCATGGGACCGGGTGGTTGTCTTTCAACAGATAAAGCCAGCCCTTGCACTTCCAGGAGTTGTTTCGCTGCGACGGGCTGTGCGTAGAGATTGCGAGAAGTCAGCCACGGGGCCCGGCTAAGGATGTTGGGTAGGGAACGATTCCTGCGGCAACGTACCTTCATGGAGGTATGCCGGACAAGCGGCTGACGGTCAAATACTCAAAGTCATTGGTATCGTATCTGTTGGTTGTGTGGGGTCTCCTGTCCTCCGACCTTAGTCTTGGGATTAGCATCATTGGTCCGAACCGAGGTCTGAAGCGGTGTCGCGTGAGCAGCGGCGGTGTGATGAGGCAGACTCAGGAGCGCCGTTCCGCGCGTTGTTATCCCCTGCATCCCAATCAATATCGCTAGTTCTGGGCGTTGAAGATGGGCGCACCAAGAAAGCTATCATGCTGCTTTGGACGAGCGAAGTAGAGTTTAGCTAACAAACATATCATCCGTTCTTCGTGCTGAGTGGCCAAGGCTGGTGTAAGCCTGTAGAGATGTGATTGGGAATTGCTGGGCAGGAGGGATGTGCGTAGATAGGTCGGGAAGGCATCTGTGGCAGAGGTACCTTGGACCCAAGGCACCAGCACCAGCATCTGTGATGGTTAATGGCGCCGAACTTGGCCGGAGCGGAGGATTGAAGTTGGATGTGGTGAAGGTTGGGTTGCATTTCGACAATTTTTTTGCCTCGAAACATGCAGGCGGTGTGCAGTATCTGTAACTCTGCTACTTAGCTCCTGCAATCCGTAGACAAACCCGATTTATTAGTGAGGTGCGAGCAAGGAGATGATTCTCAAAATACCATTCGAGGCGCGCGTCTTCTCTCCTGGTGCTTCGGCTCTGGCTGCCTCCCTCGGGTACGCGATGTACGGAGTACAGAGAGTGTTATTTTCGTGACGAAAGACAGGATAAGGTCGAGGAAGATGAGATGCAGCGTGGCTGGCGTGGCGTGGGGTGGCGTGGCGTGGCATGATATGATATGATAGGTATGACATGGCAAAGGCGGCGTGGTATCTCTACCTGGGGATAAGAAGCAGGATATGCAGATGCAGAGTAGCAGGTAGGGGAAGCTGTTTGAATCCGCATGGCACTCTCAAGCTGACACTTGCTGCAACTTGCCGCACCACTAGATGACAGTTCGCGAACGACGGGAACCTTTGGGAGCCGCTACTGCCCGTAGTCACGGGCAGTACCGGACCTGACCCGCCCGCAAGGTAGGTGCGTGAGACGCGAGAGACGGAAGAGATGATTAGTTGTACCCAAAGGTGAGTAAGCTACGGGTAGTGAGGTAATGCATTCGTATGGCTTACAAAGTTTCAATACAGACGGAGAGCGCATTCACAGTTCTGCGGCAGGAACCACTCCATCTCCATTGATCCATCTCGATTGTCACGGCCAAATCGGGCCTCTTACGGGTCCCCGCGCAAGCCGTGGACTCCATCGTGTGTTCCTGGTGACAGGAAACTGGACTGGTCTGACCAGTGGGAGACGGGAAAGACCCAACCTAAGCGGTGGCCCATGCTTTTCCCCCGGTGTTCAACTTCTGTGCTTCTCGGATTCTCCTCTTCCCCAAGAGCCAGCCGATGGTGGTCGAGCGGGTGTCACCCACTTGTTGCTGGGCCTTGACCAACAGATGACGAGATGACTTCTCCCGCGCTGTCCACTGTTGGGGCCACATGCAAGGAAGCAGGGCAGGGTGAGCAGGGTGAGCATTTGAGCAAGGCAGGGTAAACCGCAAGCAAGGTACGGCAGAGGAATGGGTGCATCGCAGGGCAAGACATGATGTGCGTGCCTTGAGTGGACTGCGACTTGCAATTGCCATTGTGGTTTAACCGCTGCGGTCATGAGAACGACGATGGTGTCTACGTGCTATCTATCCTGACCGCATCAATGGGGTGAGGTAAGCAACGTGGAATTGAAGTACCACAGTGAGACTGGGTAGGTACCTTAGGGAACAGGATCGTACGGGCTTGGTGAGACGCACGCCAACGTTTCTCAGTGCCCGCCGCGCCGCCCCATTCAGTTACCGACCTTAGTCGGGTCTCAGGATGGGAGGGAAAAGGCACAATGATGGTTTTCTCACCTGACTCGGAAACTGGAGGCGGAGAAAGATATCAACTCTTTGCAATTTGCCCATACCCAGGTGCCCAGCAACACGGTCCTGGCTGAGAGAAAAGAAAATGCGTATCTGTAACCGTACGGATGGACTGCGAGGAAGGGGTTGAGAATAGATGCAGCCGGCCCACACCGGACTGCTCTTCTGTCTCCAGTCCGTCCCTGCCCGCCTGCCTGCCTGCCTGCCTGCCTCCAATATGCATTGCCCCCCATGCTCAACACACGCCCCCCTTTTTACCCCCACGCCTAGCCCCCCCTTCCCCCCCTCTTTCTCAACCTCAGTCTTGGATCGCAGCTCTCTCCTCTTCTCCGATCTCCAAATCCTCCCCCACCACCGCCTTATCCTCTGCCTCTTGTCGTGCGCGTACCCTGCATTTTTGACCTGCCATCGACTGAACTCAAATTTCAGCTGGACAGTGGACTATCAACCAACTACCTTGCACTACGATCTGTCTTAGCACCGACCCAAGTCACCCAACGCACTCTGGATTCAGGAACGGCCTAGTCTGATGTTAATACCTTACGCACCCACGCTCTCGACTTTCCCACGCGGCAGCCCTCCACCCCTCCTTGGAGATCTTCCTCTGGCGGCGAGACACTTTCTGGTGAGACCAGGGTGAAGAAAGCCTTGACTGTTGTTGATTGATAGTTGACCTCAAGCGCCAGCACTGTCGGACAGCAATTGATGCTTGGCCTATGCCATCGTCGACCGATTCTGCATACATCCCTCGCCGTGACTTGACTTTCTGATGGCTGGATGCGGATGCGCCTATGACAAAGAGCCTTGGCCCAGAGGCACCAGACATCCCTCTCATTTTGCACTTCTTTTCGATGATTGAGAGTTGACTCACCTCGCCTGGCGGCAACGGTTATGGCCATGGCTTCCTTCTCCTGCGTCAGCCACCTCCGCGGCTTGGCATATTATCATCAAACCTCACCCCCTCGACCGACCCAAAAGGCCACCGTTGTGGCTTCGTCCTAGTCTCGCTCTAATCTGCTTCTTCCTCTTCAACCATTTGTCTTCTCGGCATCGGCTATTGCTCTTCAAGAGCTTTGCGTCTCCCGGCCGCGGCAGCTCAACAGATGCCCAGGCCGAGAATCGTTCCTCTCGCGCCACGCCAGCGCTAGAGTATACTTGCTCGACTGGCTACATGACCCTTTCTAGAAACCAATGATAAAATACGGGGGCACACGAGGTAATGCAGCCATCTACTTTGGGACGCCAGCCGAGACGCGACTGAGCTCCTGCTGCGCTATCCAATTCCACATGCTCGAGCCGGCCGGCCGAGCCCGCCTCCGCCTCAATCCCATCGCCATTCTTGCTCCATCACTAGCTGCGAGCCTGCGACAGCCTTTCGCCTGTATACGCCGCGGCGGCAATCAATGGGGCCTCCATTTTACCTTCCGGTCTCACAAGAATCCTGGCAGTGCAGCCAACACCACCGAGAGTCCACCACATGGCCGGTAATATTAGTCCATAAGCCCAGGCTCGGCCGCTTGATGAAGCCCAATTAAACAAACCACGGTTATCTACGCCTATCCTCCTCTAGGATTCCCAACCCTCAACCGTGCAGCGCCATCAGGCCATGGCGGTTGTCAACTACATGAAGGCAACGAAGGAGACATGGATCTTGCCGGCGATTATTGACGCCAAAAATGCCAAAAAACTTGTCTGTCCTGACTGAACGTAACAAAGCTTACCAACGCGTCGGGCCATGCCACTCTTCTTTCTCCAGTCAGCAGGACAGAAAAGTGCAGGACAGGGCAGGGCAACGATAGCCGGTAACAACAGACACTTTGACCCTCCGCAGCTCGTGAAAGCCATCCCCTGTCAATTTTACCTGACAGCCCATTGGACATCCACGGATCCCTGTGGACAACTGTTCCCCGGTAAAGAAAGAGGGCAAGGGCCAAATCGCCTCCGCATCGCCTCCGCGCCGCCGTACGGCGCACTCAAGTTTACAGCAGTGTCCGTACCTACTTCGTAGCACACCCCGAACAACGATCGGATTTTGAGAGGGAGTTAGGATGTGGCCCACACTGATTCGATGAGCCAAGGCACTGAATTCGCAACTGTTCTGTCCATGTTGGTCGGGGGGGCGTGCGCAAAACGCGCCGTTCAACGGCTGGTCCACCAATCCTGCGAAGAAAGGCTGGCCTCTAGCCTGCCGTCGCCTTATCTAAGTGGAGAGGCGCACACGACTGGGAAATCAAGACGACTTCGCAGGCAGTCAAGACAAGACGAGACAAGTGGAGACCGGGTTCCGTTGGTTCTCTACCAAGTATGCTGATAAACGATAACGGAGAGGCCAATAGCCGTAGGGCCATTGTACGGATTCTGGAGTAACGGGTACTTTTGCTTCCTGCTACAAATCGAGGGTGCTGGTGGGACGTCGATGACCGTGACAGAGATGCGGCCAAGGCCTCGAAAGAGCATGCGGGTTGCTCCGACGAGGATTGCTGGGACGTGTCCGCTGTGTTTATCGAGCAAGCGGCCCCACGATTGCGGCTGTTCGCACTCCACGAGAGGGCATATGCTCCGAGCATCCGTTTGTCAAAGAAGAGGCTTTCATTCTGCGTCATGATGCCATATTCACAGAACAACGAGCTTCAAGTGCAAAGAAAGGAGATGTGGCGGCAGCTCTGCGAGCTTTTTCGCGCATGCTGCAACCTGCGCAGCAGCGCCGGTCTAATACCCGTTTTTTTCCATCGGGTCTCGACTCTTTGCTCGTCCAGCGGCAGTGTCTGCGTAGCGAGCGCCCAGGCCCCAAGAGGCTGTTGTCGCGTCCGAACTGGAGCCTGCCGAACTATGCGAAGAAGCCATGCTGACCGCAAAGCGAAGGCGAGCCATTCTTGCCTCAACTCACCTTACCTTTGGGCCCGGGTGCTGCAGCGAGCGAGACATTGTCGCGGGACACACTCGGTCGAAGCGAGCGACTCCAGGCTCAAGCTAGGTACTTGTCTTTACCACCTTAAGTGCTTAGCTCCTAGCTCGCCAGTCAGCTCCGAACCCCCCCTACCATATGAGCGAATCGGTTACACGTTGGACGCCGGCTAGCGTCGTTCTATTGGGCGTTGGCAGTTCTGCGATGGTTGACGACCGTATCCCCCGTCGGTACTAACACAGACACGTATACATGGCGCTGGGAAGGGACAGAGGAACGTGGGGACGACAAACGACAATCACAGTAACCGAGAGCATCTTGGTCCGTCACAGACTCGAGATCGTTCCCGTCGAACAAAGGACACGGGCAGCTCTGAGTCTTTGACTGCTGCCCCGGTGCTTTCGTCGAGTCTGCCGCGCCATTCCATTCGCCGAGCCGACCTCCTCACAACCTCTCACCTGTCGCCCTCCAACCGACAGGATCAGGATTGGCCAGCCAAGAAAAGCTGTTGATGCACACCACCACGTCCCTGATCGAACACCCTCGCCCAGTCCCTTGTCACTCCGTCCCACACCCCCCCGACGTTCCCCTACGCCCAGGGCCCGAATCCCCATTCATCCCTAGCGTGCAAAGGGACCTTCACCAGGTATCCTTGACTGCCCCCCAACTTGGCCATCCCGGCCCAGCCTATCCCATCGCCCATCTCATCCTAAAAGCCACTAGGAGAGCGGCGGTATGCTCACTAGAGACCTGCCTCTATCTGCGTCTACTCGGCGGTGCAGCTTATTACTTCCACCCACTCCTCCGCAGTATCGAGGCCAGGCTCCATTCCGTGTTCCCCTTCCACCACATTCGACATCTTCCCGCATATTCTTCTCGCCATCTCACCGGTCCAGAAGTCTACAGGAGTTGGAAGAGTTTCTCGTTCGTCTTCTTCGTGGTCGAGACGGTTATGCTCCCGCCTCCATCATCGCTCCGACTACCGCCCGGATCCGGCCTGCTTCATGTCGCACCGTTCGTCCCTTCACAATCGCAAAGTTCATGCATCAGACGCAACAAACGCTACAATACCTTCGCCAACCTCCCTAACAATATTGTGCTATTCTTCGACCAAACAATAAATTGCGCTGCTTCGGCCCCGAATTAGACATCAGTATCTCTGCCATTGGGACAGCTAGTCGAGCCGATTCCTTGCACGAAATTCGACCCGCCCGCTACGTCACGCCTCGATCTTCGACGACGCATCCTTTTCCTCGCTCGTCGTGCCCTCCGCGGAGGTCGACGGGCGTGGATTGCTTCAGTCCACCATGAGTCTCTACACTGAGGCGCCCGAGTTGCGTAGTTTCTCGCAGGACAAGCCTTCGCTACTGGTTTGTTGGTGGATAACGTCATTCTGCACAGTCATCATCCTGCTACGGGTTGCCGGCCGCTTCATTCGAACCGAAAAACTATTCCAAGAGGACAAAGTAGCAGCCTTCGCTCTGATTCCTCTATGGCTACGCATGGTTTGCGTGCATTTTGTCCTGCTCTACGGGACTAACAATGCCGATTTTGACGGCATAACATTATCCTCGGAAGACGAGCGTAGGAAGGAAATCGCAAGCGGTCTCGTGCTTGCCAGCCGTATCTTCTACGCAGCAACGTATGTCGTGGAATTTCCTTCAACTCCTTTCTTCGCGCATTGCGCCCGCAACGTCTATGCAGCAATTTCATCACTAAATCCAGTTGGACGGAAGGACGGCTTGCTAACGCTTTGTCTGTGCAGACTGTGGATTCTCAAGAACACTATTTTAGAGTTTTTCAAGCGTCTGACTGGCGTCACTTGGGCACGTTCCTATGAACAGACGCTTGTTTTCATCAGATGTACCTTGGTCGCATCGTTTGTCGCCATTGTCATTAGTGATCTGGCGGAATGTCGACCCTTCCACCACTACTGGCAGGTCATACCTGACCCAGGCGGTCAATGTCGCCAAGGTTTCGCTCACCTCCTCACCATGGCGACCTGCAACATCATCACCGACTTGCTTCTCGTCTTCTTCCCTATTCTCATCATTCTGCGCAGTCAGATGAACGTGAAGAGAAAGATTCAACTCACCCTGTTGTTCTCACTCAGCCTGGCCGTTGTTGGCGTGACCTTTTACCGTGTCCCTCACGTCATCAGGGCACATGGCAAACAACAATTGCGTTCTGTGCTGGCATCCGTTGAGCTTCTATTCGCGACGACGGCCGCAAACGCTCTGGTCTTGGGCTCATTTGTGCGTGACCGCGGCTTGAAGAAACAAAAGTTCAAGTACGGTTCCGTGGCCGAAGATTCAATAGATCGCAGGGGTTCCGATTCACGCCGTCCCACTCTTCACCGTCACTGGGGAAGTGATGAGGATCTCGTTCGAGACATTGGTCTCGGTGTCGATTCTGACCTACGAGAACGTGACGAAGAACGAGACGAGTTTGACAACGAGCAGCAACGATACACGCCCGCACCGATGGCCAGACCATTCGGCGAGGAGCTAAGACAGTGGCAATTCCCTCAACGGCAAAGAAGCAATGCCGAACGAAGCGACGCTTCTCTCTTACCCCACGACCTCTCTTCCTCGCGGAGCAACTCGACTACGACGCCGCGCAGGGTCTCCTTTTTCGATGTTGGGGGTTTGCTATCAGAGGATCAGGTTGGAGTAGGCCAGACGTTCCGCCGGGACAGCATTATCTCGAGCGTGGATCCCATGGCGTCTAGCGTTCACGGCGTCCCGTCACCGGCTTTACCCGCTGGGGCGAATGGTTTACGACGCGGATCAACAGCTCTCTTGCAAGATCTTGGCGGACTCCTAGGCCCCACGAAACCCTCACGCCAAAGATCCAGGACCGGCACCGAACTGCAACCAATTCCTCAATCGCAACACGATGACCATCCGTCATATGATCCTCGCCCCGGCGAGCCAACACTGATTGATCCTGGTGGCCTACTCAAGTAGTCTCGATTCAACTACTCAGAAACTAACCTACGATATGCGACGCAATCGCCACCTAATCACAACAAAGCACGACTACGTATGCACGATAACTATTTATGAGACATTATATGTAAATGTACCTTGACGATCTCAGCGACATTGCTGGGGCCTTTTGAACATGAGGAGTTATAGAGATTTAGAGCCTTTGACCGGCGTTTCTATAGGTCAACGGCGGACCAGATACGGCCGTGGTAATTCGCGTTTTGACTTTTTGGGAAGAAATATCTACGACCGAGGGAAATGGGCGTTGGAGGAAACCCCTGGTTTGGAGGAGACAAGATCTGCTAGGGCATGTCTACGGGAGCGACTGGTTCTGTCTTCATGATGATTCTGAAAGCTGTTGGCTTCACTGTGTTTATCTTTATCTATACCCCGGCGCGATAACCGTCATGTTTTGTGTCTGAACCACTTGTTTTAATATCATCACCATCTACAAATGACGAATGACTTGCCGTACAATGTGCTCACTTACCTGTGCTTTTTCACACTCGCAGCATTGCAAGAAGCCTGGTCCCTGCAGCGTTCCTGTTCGATCTCGCCCCTGTTCCCTGCCCAAATCCAACGACTGACTCTTTGCCTTCCAAGCCGCTGCCGGCAGTATCCCTCCTCAATCACTCTGTTACTTCCTGAGGTTGTGACGGGGTTTGCTTTTTCTTTTTTTGGTTGCGATCGATCGTTTAGAGTTTTTTAATTCTATTTTTTTTCTTTCTCTTTCCTGTTCATTTTAACATCTGCCCCATGCTTTCTTTCAAGTGCTTTCCCGTTATTTCCGTCCCGAGTCTAACAGATCAAACTCGCATTCTGCTTTCCGACTCTCTTCCTGACTCGACGGGCGGCCGCTCAACGCCGGGCGCCTGGCCCCCACTCTACCTCATCCCTAGGACGAAAGACCCAACGGACCCGAAGTTCCGAACACGCCGCAGGTATTCGGAAGATAAGCGTTTGGCAATATGCGGGAATAGCACTATGCAGCGCATTATTGTCTGCACAGTATTCTCCGTATCGAGCAGATTTTTGACAAGGAACTGCTGGTATTGTAGAGTTTCGGGTTAGTCCGGCACACCTTTGGTAAGGAAAGGGGGAGGGGGGGCTGAGACCGTTTTTGATAGATATAGGAGTCCACATGGTGGCGATGAATGCGAGATGGAGAACCTTACGGCGTGGTTCATCCGGTGTATGGATATCGATCTCTCCCCCTTTGATCATTCCCTGGGGCTTGCACTCTGTACCACACGCGGTGGACACATGGTTTTTTTTCTTTTCTTTTCCTTTTTGATACTTTATCTACAGAACTACATGCCGGTATACACCAGAGGGGAAAAGGGGAGTCATTTGAGTTGGAAAGGATTTCCTTGTTCTCTATATTACAAGAGACAGGAGGTAATATTTCTGGGAAAAGTTCAAGTCACCGACCGAGAAGATGAGAGCATCGTGATGAATGATGCGCATTATGACTTTGCTTCGCATTCACTTGACTATGGTAAGAACTATTTTAGGTAAAGTAAAAAGGAAATTGAGTGTTTGCAGTCCCGCTATTTATCGCTGGGAAGTCTTCTAGCCGGCGTTCAATGGCTGCCGGATCTGGAAGACTTTGCCAGATCACAAAACAGGCATGCTTGTCCTACCATTGCCAGGCGGTCGAGCTTGGCCGCTGGCTCCATTCTTGTCTCTCTCGTGTACCCTGGAAGAGCAACCACTACGGCTGGTCTGTGTCAGAATTCATCTCAGTCGATTAAGGATACGTAATGCCGAAGAAGCAAAAGCAATTGAAAAAAAAAAATAAGTCAGTTATGTTGTCCATCTAGAGGAAGCCCCTCATCTCTATTTTCTTGTTGTCGTACACAAAACAGCAGACCGTAGCCGTACCCTCAACGCCAGACTCAAGAGTGATGCAAAGAGTATACTTAAAACTCCCTTCCCCCCCATCTACCGGGGCGTCAAGTCATCCTGCCGGAAAGGCGAAGCCCAATTCCAGCCCACGTTGACCCCTTCTTCCCGGTTTCCCTCTTCCCATGTCTGCCTTTCTCACCGCAGGCCCTTTATACGCAAGACCTTTTTTACACGCACAATCTGTAACTGGCGTAACGACCTGCCGTCTCCGAAGTACGGATGATCTTGACAACGTGTCCGCGCTTGAGACCGAGGTACTTGGCGACCGGATCCTTTTGCAAGATGCGCGGCAGCTGCGTCTCCTTGAGGCGGTAGCGCTTGAGGAGGGCAATCTTCTCCTCGCGGCTCAGGAGAATGTGTTTGGGCACAAGCTCGTGCTGAGTGATGTTGACCAGCAGGTCCTCCTCGAGGAAGCATTCAACTTTAGCAAAAGACTCGATGGTGACGAGCATCTTGCGGGCGGCGGGGGAGAGAGCGACGTGGGTGACCATAATGCCGGACGAGTACTTGTTGCTGATGAGGTGGTGGATGAACTTCTTGATCTCCTTGATGCCAAAGGTCGTGTCGGCGAGGAACTCGACCCAGAGGGTGCCGCAATCGGGCGTCGGGTTCGGGTTATTAGGCGTCGCGGGGGGTGTGAACTTGCGGATCATGTCGGCGGAGGGGTTCGCAGAGAACTGGAGCTTGCCGCGGCTGGATGGGCATCGTGTTAGTACTGTGAGAACTAGTAGACTCTGGCGGACAGGAGGAGCACGTACTTGACGCTGCCGTCGGCGCTGGTGTACTCCATCTTAAAACGATCGAGAGAGATTGTGAGTTCGTCCTCGGCGAGTTCATAGCCCTGTGATCCGTCATCAGCACAGATGTCGCGGGGTCGCGAGGTCCATCATCCGCGAAACGAAGAAGAGTGTAGCCAGCGTGTTTCTCCTTTTTCAACGGATGGTAAGGGAGTCCGTACGCGATCTGCAGCCATCTCGTGGGCTGTCCGCCATGCTCGCCACAGCCTGGTAACCTCCTTGTTGACGTCCTTCTGGTCCGACATCTTCGCGATGCTTCGTCGTTATGATATATGTCGTCGTATTCGTGATCAGAACAGCTTTCGTTTCTGTCGAGAAAGGGGGGGGTTTGGTCGAGATGAGGACGTCTGTGGTGGGTTGGTTCTTGTCGCAACGAGAAGCTCGAGAACCCAAAAAAGATTGGCGTCGCAAAACGGGTGCAGCCAAAAAGTTCTGGCGGCGGATTCAGCCTTGCAGGCCGAAGCAAAAGTTTGAGTGGGGCACTCGACTGTGCTCAATCCCGGTTCGGTGCTCAGCAGTGGTTCTGGAATAATTGCGGGAAATGTTAATCCGAGACAGCCCGGAATATTCTGGACTAGAATGTCTTGGAGCTGAAGATGAGGTACGTACCGTCCTCTATGATTGACTGACCCCAGCGTCGTCGACAAGGTGGCAAGTGCACGCTCCAGCCACGGGCCTTTCAAGGGTCCAGAGTCACAGTTGACGCACGTGCCATCTTTGAGTCGATCCCCACAATCGAGCCCAGGATGGCAGGTGGCCTTACCTTCTGGAGAAGGTACCTGCCACGGAACCCAAAAGAGTGAATTTCAACAAAAATTGGGGGATCTTTTTGACGAAAAGTTCACCCTTCGAGTGGATAATTCCGATTTCCACTTCTCCATCCTCCCCATCACCAACCCGACTTTACTGTCCGTTCCGACTACGGCAGTGTGCGCAGTTGCCGGCTTTGTCTAATTGATCTCCCTTTGCATCAATTAACAAGCTCCTCCACCGTCACGATGGCCGACTCTAAGCAGGCACCCGCTGCTGTGGCGGCAGAGACCAAGACGGAGACCAAGACTCGCCCGACCATGCCCGATGAGGCTGAGTACCAGAAGAAGCTCAAGGTCGCTGAGAAGGAGCACAAGGAGGCTCTTGACCAGCTGGTAAGTGCCATCTACAGTCCCGTTGGTAGCGTGCTGCTTGCATTCCCTCCCCTGTTGGGAGAATCGCAATGGAGCCCCAGTACCTCAAAATGACACATCACCATTGGATCACGAATGGCTCACATAGATACTTGTCCAGAGCGCCATCAAGGCCAAGATCGAGATCGCTATGCCCAACAAGAACAAGGAGCAGCAGTCCCCCGCCCAGAAGCGTCGCGCCGAGCTCATTGCTCAGGCCAACGAGATCCGCCAGAAGCAGGGCGCCGGCAAGAACGCCCGCACCTCCAAGCTTGACCAGATCAAGCGCCTCGACGAACAGATGCGCTCCCGCATCAACGAGCAGAAGACCGCCCGCTCCAAGGTCAACTTCAAGAGCGTCGAGGAGGTCGACCGCCAGATTGAGAAGCTTGACTCCGAGGTCAACTCTGGTCGCATGAAGATTGTCGATGAGAAGAAGGCTCTCGCCGAGATCTCCTCGCTTCGCAAGCTGAAGAAGAACTTTTCCCAGTTCGACGACTCCCAAAAGTCCATTGACGAGCTGAAGGCCAAGATTAAGGAGATCAAGGACTCGATGGAAGACCCCGAGGCCAAGGCCATGTCCGAGCAGTACAACAAGATCCAGGCTGAGCTGGACGCCATCAAGGCCGAGGGCGACGAGGCCTACAAGAGCCTCTCCTCCCTTCGCGACGAGCGCACCAGGCTGCACAACCTCCAGAACGAGAAGTACGCCGCCCTCAAGACCATCAAGGACGAGTACTGGCAGCAGCGCAAGGCGGCTCAGGCCCACGAGCGCGAGGCTCGCGAGAAGGCCCGCGAGAGAAGAAAGAACGAGGCCGAGCGCTACCAGAAGGAGCGCAAGAAGGCCGACGCCGAGAAGTTCCTTGCCGACGCCAGCGACCCCGCCTACCTCGAGGAGATCCGTCGCGCCAACAGCCTCCTCCAGTTCCTCGACCCCACGCACAAGGTCGAGAAGGCTCCTCTCCAGGCCGCGAGCGGCCTCACCGCCCAGGCTTCGCGTACCGTTGACGACTCTGGCATCAAGGGCATGAAGGTCGTCTCCAAGAAGGACCGCGACGACGAGCTGTTCCCCGCCGTCAAGAAGGGAAAGAAGGGCAAGAAGGGTGGCGTCTCCGAGGATAAGGCCGGCAAGTACAGCTGTCCGCCCTCCGTTGTCGAGGACTGCGCCTTCCTGGGCATCGACCCTCCCATGAGCGCGGCCGACGTCCCCGCCGTCGCCGAGAAGGTCAAGGCAAAGCTCGACCACTGGAAGGCCGACCAGGAGGCTCAGACTCAGCGGGTAAGTTCTTTATGCAGAGATCCTCGTCCCACTACCCTTTTTTCCCCCCCCGTATTCCCATGCTGACCTACCACTCTTTCAGAACATTGAGAAGGCGAAGAAGCAGCTTGAGAAGCTCGAGGCCGACGAGGCCAACGGCGTCAGCAACGGCGATTCGGTCGAGGAGGTCACCAAGGACCTCAAGGAGACCTCGGTCGAGGAGAAGGCATAGTCTCTTCTCACTCTCCGACTCCACCCATAACTTTGCCGGACTGAAAATCCACCAACCCCCAACCATGGTCTGTTTGCTACACGTCATGTCGTAGGCATTATAGACTTGGGGAAAGTGAACTCTCTCACCTACGCCTCTTTGTCACCCAAAAAAGATACACGCATACAACACTCTCACACGCGCTCACACACACCTAAAAAAAAAAAACCCCCTTGGCATAAAAGAGGAAACGGAAACTTTGTCGGAATCAATTGGGGGAATGCGAAACCTTTTTATAAACTCTCTGGCCTGTTTTTGCGTCTTCCTAGCCAAGTCCCTCGAGGCAGTGGCTTTCTTGTACTTAGCAGCTTCCCCCAAAACCGTCTAGTTTCAGCCACACCCAAAAAATGAGAGGTAAAGAGAAAAGCTTTTTTCTTTGATTTGTAGAATCAGAACGACGTACGTCCTTGAACATGGAGTATCCCTCAGCGTCCCCAAAGATCGAACGTACCTAAGCACACCACGCTTCTAAACAATGGGCTGGGCATGCGCGGCTTCAAAATGAGCCATTTGGAAATATGTCTAATGCGGATGTAATGCCACGTCTCACTCACACAAAGCCGGTCTCCCCTACGCGCCATATGAAGGGCAATATCACATCTACATACTCTAAGGTACGATAAACGGCTATTCGACTATGGCACCGCTTTGCTCGGCTGTCCAGCGCAGTAATCTCATCCGGTAGGTCCATACCCTATCAACAAAGTCGGATCACCAACGCCCATTGGCCTGTTGTCTTGGGCTGTCCTCGTCGGGCAGGTGTGCTTGTGCAGCAGGCAAGTCATGTCATGCCGGGCATACCTATCCACGAGGGTCCAGCTCCTGACGTGACGTGCTCGACTGCGTAACGTACCTAGCTATGTACAGTGCTTCCCGGGGAGAATTGAATAAACAAGTCGAGGAGTTGGGAAACGGGACGAGTGCGCGTGTAGTCTCGGTAGTAACGGTTCGGGTCTCATCGTGTAATCGTATGACGTCTCTGGCGTACAGAGTGGTGATCACCGACTGCCTGACTTTATCCCATCTTACTTCACGGCAGGTGCAGATAGCTGTATGGTACGTGAGATGAATTTTGTATGGTGTGTAGATTATTGCTCTAGCGGCCACTTATTTGAGGGCTGTTGACCATTTAGATCCCTCCTGCAATGAAGAAGAAGAAGAAGAGGAAAACAAGTAGTATCCGGCCAGCGCCGTCGCAAATGCCAACAATGCCTCTTTCCGTGATCCGTACTCCGGTGCCCACTACCAAAGAAAATGGAAAAGGACGAAATCAGACAGAATACAAAAACCGTTCGAGACTAAATCGCAAACTTCTGGTGTCTCGAATATAGTGAAGGGTAAGTCCGCAAAGACGTGGGTCCCCAACGTTACCGCTATGCTTTGTTTGCATTGCATATGCCTACTGATCCCGTGTCAATACGCCAATAAGACCGCTAATGCAGTTCGTGGTTCTCATAAAACATCAAAAATGTTTTGCAAAGGCGCCATAATTCGTACCGAGTATTCTTCGATTTCCAGGAGATTCCAGCTTGGAATAGTTTTGTCAACCTCGGCAACATCATCCCACCCATCCGTAGTATTGACCCGGAGGCGGAGGTGCGGTTCGTCCATATCCAGGCGGTGGTCCGGGGTGTCCCATGGGCTGCCCCATGGGTGGCATTGACCTTCTTTCTCTTTCCCTCAAGGCCGGTACCCTCCTGTCCATTCTGCCAGGCATCTCCATAGGGGGTGGTGTCATGCTTGCAAACGGATCTCTGTCATGACCGCCGGGCGCAGCAATGGCTGGAGGCCCGCCTGGAGGAGGTCCCCCTCCTCCAATTCTTCTTCCAGATCTATTCTTGGACCCGCCACTGAGGGCGCTCAATGGGGGATCCTTGACGAAAGGATCATCATCGGGAGGGACGTTCAGCTCGACCAGGCTGAAGAAATATTCGAGGACCTCGGGATATCGCTGAACACTGGATTGCCAATCCTCGTCAATGCCATGCTTCAAGGTAGCCTGCGCCTGGGCAAGCTCGCTGGGATGGGGCGGAGCATGGTAGTAATGGTATGCGGTAGCGTTAATGCGTTCGATGTTGGCGGCATGAGCTGCCTTTCGGCGCTCGGTGAGAAGGCGAAAATACTCCAGGATGTAGTCTTGCGCGTGAGCCCGAACCCAGCTCCTTTGTATCTAGTTAGCATATCCGCCATGGCACAAGCATGAATTGTCAGGCTTACCGAATATCGTTGTATATTGACTGCATCATTCGCTGCTCGGCCTGTTTTATGGCAACATCCAGCCCCTTGGCCTCGCAGTCGCAAACTGCAGAGGCAGGAGCGTGACATATAGCACAGTCAGGATCCATCCTGGTGGTAGTCTTGCGCGTACGCGGAGTGCGTGGAGTGCGCGGCCTGTAGACTCTGCTGGAAAACGGATACATCTTAGCGGAGGGATCACCAGATGGGACACTGATGGTCTGTTTCTAGCGGGAGAGGAGAGGGGTTGAAGATGAGAGGATATTGTACAAGGAGGTCAAGATGGGTCATCTACTACTAGTACAAATATCATTATTCCTCTCGAGACCCTGGGACGGGGTCTCATGGACAGAGCTTGGAGAGTTTGGGGTTGGGGATGAGGCTCGGGAAACGGGCAGAGAGAGTAGAAGAGGAGGAGACAGAGGAAAGAGGTGATGGACTGACTTGACTTAAGAGATTATTAAGAGGGGCGAATGGTTACAGCCCTGCAGAGCGTCGGCGGTAGGTGAGTGAGAATAGTTGGGAATGAACAAAACTAGGACGAATAAAGCGAGTTGCTCCCGTATGTTGGTGCTATGTATCCTGCAGCATCGAAGCATGAACAATAAGGCAAGCAAGCAAGGAAGCAGCAGACTAGGCTTCCTCAGCGTGCAATAGAGAAGGCCGAATCGACAGCAACGAAGTTGTAGCAGTCAGACGGCGGGCTCTCATTCAACGAGAAGCAGAAGCAGAAGCAGACGCTGCGGAGGCGACGTGGGGAGAAAGATAGCTTGATCCACGAGGACGCAGGCGGATGAAGAGAGGATCGAATGGGAATGGGTTTTTGACTGCAGCGCGAGTGTCGTGGCTCGAATGCCAGCGGCTTCCAATATGCAAGTCTTTGGAGGGGGGGGGAACGAAGGTGGCCCAATGAAGGGGCAGCCAAGCGTTAGAGGATCGTCTGCCCGATCAAGTCCCAATGAGCTCCGATCGGGGACCAGTAAGAGGTGGACTTTCTCCGGGGATGCTCAAGGGGGAAGAAGAGGAAGGATGGTGGAAGACGAGAGAAAAATGTTGAAAACTGCAGTCAGTATGCAGACGGAGACAGACGGAGAGAGAGAGCAGCAGGTCGATGAGTGGAGGGGAAGATTATGTGTGTGCGTTGTCGTTACCCCTCGTTTGTCCTTCCGGTGCCGTTCCCGCCTTTACCTTTAGGTTTCAAGGCGGTCAAGGGCATGGACAGCCCGCAAGTAGGAGAGCTGTAGCCAAAAGAAGCCGCGGGGCGGATTGCAGTGAAGCGGGGAGGGAGTAATAGTTACTTTGTAGGAGGTTGGGCGAACCCAAAGGTGATGGATACTCCAGAGTGAGATAGCGCGCTGGTGGTGCAGATGGTCCAACCGGAGACACTGAACAAGGAAACAAAGCGGAGAAGGGCAGGAGACATCGGGCGGGTCAGCGTTTGCAGGCCGAGACGACCGGCGGGGTGGGGTGGCTGGACTGCCCGTTTCCCCATCCGCAGGTCGTCTGGGCTTCATTCCCGTCAGTCCGCACCAAGTGGCCCAACTTTGGAGGCGCCAGACCAGCAACACCGTCCACTGGGAAAGTACGATGCACAAGGGGCGAACCAGTCCAGACAGGAAGGAGAGGATGAAAGCAATTGATTAGCTGGGAACCACTTGGTTCCATCCGGTGCAACGTTGACGGCCCCAGTACGAACGCATGGTTGGTCCCAGAACGCCAACGAACGCCAGTCAAAGATCTGGCTTAACGTTGCCTTGGCTGGCTCTCAGCGCCATCTTGACATTCCTTCATCAACTACGAATACACGATGGGATATCCCACTCAACCCCCCGTGATACCTCCAAACGAAATACTGTCTGCGTCGACGATGCGTGCTGCTTTCCCGATGCCCCTACAATCCATTGGGTCATGGGACCAGGCTGGTTGGCTCACCGCATCTTGCCCTACCTCATGCAGGTTGCGTCTCGATTAGAGCTCGCTGCATGCGCGCAAAACATACCTGAACAATGCGTTTCTGTCAGATTATGGATTCGCAAAGAAGCTGTGGCAAGCTGCCATTGGTAAGCTGTGGCAACATGGCTCTCTCCGAGTCGGTCGAATTTGCCTCACCGTGGTCCTTCATGGAACAGCGTATCGAGAGGTGAAGGAGTGACGTTGAGGAGGCTGAAAAGAGAAGCGAGGCCCTTTCCCAGTCTTCCATTCTTCCCCAGGCAACTCAGGGGGAGCTTACGAGGCAGTGCACGGCGCCGGATATCCTGTCAGCCCCAGTTCGCCTACCGATGATCTGGACACTGGCCCGTTTGGCAACGGCGTTCGGTCGCTGATCCTGGTCTCAGAACGGTTGCTCCCGCCCCTGCAAGATTATGTAATTCAGCCTCCTTATCTTATCGTCGTAACAGATGGGATGGAAACACCCAAAATTTCGAGCTTGCTTCAACCCATCGCGGGCACTCGACGACGACGAAAACGACGACGACCGGCCACGACCTGTGCCAAGTGAGAGACGAAAATGGCGTCAAGATGTTCGGGCGGACATTCGGTGCTGCTACCGTTTCTCTACCCTTCGTTGTTTCTTTCCAAGAGCACCGCCGCGCCTCGTCTCGCTGCGAGAGCGGCCGCGAATCGCCGCCATAGCTCCACTCACGTAGCCCAAGAATCGAAAACCACCAGACTCAACCCAGCTCCCGACGACTACTCCTCGCCCATCTTTGCCGATAAAGCCTCAGTGACACTATATGCAGGCCCCGGTGGCCATGGTTGCATCTCATTCTTTCGCGACGCATACCTCCCCGACGGCCCCCCTAACGGCGGCGATGGTGGCCACGGAGGCAATATCTACATCCAAGCTGTACATGGCGAAACATCGCTGCACAAACTGGCCAGGAGGCGCTTCATTCGTGCAGGGAAGGGAAAGTCCGGACAGGGAAGCTCAAAGGGTGGTCAGCGAGGCGAAGACGTCATCATCACTGTACCAGTTGGTACCGTGGTCCGCGAGCTGAGCAGGGAAGACCCCATCGCTGAGGATGCGATAATGCAGCGCGCCATGAAGGCGCAAAGGAAGGCCGAGAAAAGGGCCAAATTAGCGCGACAGGTCGAGCTGGCGGAGCAGGCCAGACGAGAGCTGGAGGAGGGAGTCGAAGAGGAGGATGAGGACATGGCGGCGGAAAGGGAAAGGCAAGCTAAAAAGCAAGCGGAAGATGAGTTTGACGAGCCCGAAGATCCCGATCGCAACAAGTTTCTTCTGTACCCCGGCCTCTCAAAGTCCGATCTGAAGACGATATCTCTACCCAAAGCCCCTACCCGTCAGCGTCTTTACCACCAGCCGCCCGGCCCGATCCAGCTCGACCTGTCGCGCCCGTCCCCGCAACCCATCCTGCTCGCCGTTGGCGGCATCGGCGGGCTCGGCAACCCGCATTTCACGTCGCGCGAGTATCCGCGGCCCATTTTCGCCACAAAGGGCGAGCGCGCCGTGACCATGGAGATTGAGCTCGAGCTTAAGCTCCTCGCCGACGTCGGTCTCGTGGGGCTGCCCAACGCCGGCAAGAGCACCCTGCTCCGCGCCATCACGAACTCGCGCACGCGCGTTGGCAACTGGGCTTTCACGACACTGCAGCCGAATATCGGCACCGTGGTGCTGGACAGCTACAAGGGGCGGCCCGTGATCAAGAGCTACAAGCGGTATCCGGCCGCCGACTCCGCGGCGCACGGCGGCGGCAGCGGCCCCGGCGCGGAGGAGGTTCTCGTTGAGCAGCGGACCCGCTTCACGGTCGCCGACATCCCGGGTCTCATCGAGGGCGCACACCTGGATCGCGGCCTCGGCATCGCGTTCCTGCGCCATGTCGAGCGCGCCGGCGTGCTCGCCTTCGTTGTCGACCTCTCTGCGGGCCCGGCTGTGACGGCGCTCAAGGCCCTCTGGAATGAGGTCGGTCTCTACGCCCAGATGCGCGAGGAAGAGGAGCGCGCGCGCGAGATTGATGCCCGCGTCGACTGGGACCTCAACGCGGGTACCAGCAGCGAGGCTGCTTTGCAGGGTACCATGATGGTCGCCGGCGCCCCGCCGGCGCCGCAGCAGGAATCGGGTCTGCGCATCGCCGCCAAGCCCTGGTACGTGGTCGCCACCAAGGCCGATCTCCCCGAGACGCAGGACAACTTTCAAAAGTTGAAGAGCTACCTCGAGGAGATCAAGCAGGGCACCACGCCCCATCCGAGTGGGATTGAGAACGCCTGGACGGAGAATGCGACCGCCATTCCCGTCAGTGCCATCAACGGCCAGGGCGTTGATCGGATTGTCCATTGGACTGTGGGACTACTTGACGAGTAAATGTATCATATCATTCTGTACCATTCTGTATAATCACTGTATAATGCTACTCGTAGAAGAAGTGTTCTCCTCCTTGCTTCAATTGGTCCGTGAGACCGATACCCGGCACCTGACCAAGAGCATGAAAAAAATACAGGAAGTCATGGCCAGCATGTTGTCAGATTGCCAGTTTGAGATATATGAATCCGGTACGTGTAAGATTTCTGACTCGTTCCTTCGTCGCAACTTTTCGTCGCACTTCTGATAGGATAAGGTGGTTTGGAGAAGTTGGAGATGTAATCGGGTCTGATAACTTGCTGTGCCCTGGCGTGCTTGGGTGGTTACACAGGAAACGATCAAGAGAGGATGAAATGAATACACAGAATCAATATCAGGAACTTTTTGGTATTCATTCGTAGTCACTACTCCGTCTAGGGCGACTCCAATTGCATCGATGGTGCGTATCTAGGTGCTCCCATCCAACTGACTATTCAGGGTTTGCCCACGCACTTCAAACCCAAAGCCATGCAAAAAATTAGTATTTGCTGCTAAACCGTGAGAGACCTTTCAGTCACTTCCGCCTCCCAAGTGTTCTGCTCCCAAAGTTCCAAGTCAACCCCGAATAACCATTGGAGCATTACGAGGTCAAGAATGATCATGCCGAGAACGCATACTCTTCTCCTCGCCATGAAGTCCTTACAACATGGCGAGAACAACCGCGCCAGCCAGAATAACAATGCTGAAGCTTGTCGTAGCCGCACTGCTGCCGGGGACGATCTTCGGTGTCGTTGTCGGAGAGCTGACGTTTCCATTAGTACCAGGGCGACCGGTGCCGGAGCTTGGAGAGGCAGAAGGCGAAAGACTGCCTGTAAGATTAGCACTTCCGCCACCGCTTCCACCCGAGCCAGAACCATTAGTTGGCACCGCAGTGGAGGCACTGGCAGAGGCAGTGCTCGTGGAGGAGGCCGAGGCTGAGGATGATGAGCCAGAGCTGGCGTTGTCGCACGAAAGGTCGTAGAGGGGCTTGGTAGTCAGGGTCGAGCCAATGACACCGAAGCTGGGGTTGGGGGTTGTTGGAGAAGAATCCTGGAATGTGTACCACCAGACATTGGTCTTGCCGAACAGGGGGCATCCGACATCATCCCAGTACTTCTTTGCGTTCTCGAGTGATGGAACAGCAGCCCCTACAGTCTTGCCGCTGACAGGCCAACCAGTCTCAGTGACCCAAACGGGCTTCCCACCAGCAGCGTTCTGGGTGGCACGCAAAGCGTCGGCCCAGCGTTCCTTGCTGTCGGAAATGGAGTTGGGCGTGGTCTTCTCGAAATAGGCGTAGGCATCCATACCAACCCAGTCGCAGGCATCGATGACCGCCTTGTTGCTGACGTCAACCCAGGCGGTCCATGTGTCGATGTGACCGAGAGTGGTGTTGGCCAAGGGGGAGTTCTCGATGACCTCTCGAACTTGCTCAAAGTATTTGACGATAGTGTTGGGATCAGCGCCAGAGAACTCACCGTTGGCGATGCCAGTAGGTGAACGGCGATAGAAGTCCTCGCTTCCGACGGCGATGCCAGCAAGCAGGCCCTTGAGCTGGCTGCCGTACTGCGAGACAGTCTTTTTCAAGGCCTCAAGCTCGTTGGCAAAAGTAGCGTCACCGGCAGAGGCCCACAGACCGAGCAGAAGGGTTGTCTTAGTGGAAATGGCGGCGGGAATGGCAGAGATGGGGTCGTTGGTGCTCCCTGCCTGGACCATGGTGTAGAGGCGGGCGGAAGTGAAGGCGCCATTGGTCCCCTCGAGGCTAGCTGCGGCCTTGAACTCGGATTCGAAGTCTGCCTGTGTCTTTGCTTTACCGTCGGTGAAGGTAGATCCGTAGTTGAAGCCCTGGAAGGCGCTGGCCGTAGCTGCGGTATATATAGCCGCCAGGCTTAGAGAGGCACGCATTTTTTGCAGCGAGAGCTCTGAGGGTTTGATAATGTGGTGTTATGCAAAGGAGAAGATGAGAGTTGCGTGGAGTTGGTTTTGGATCGAGGGTTATGGCAGTAAGGTGTCAAGTTATCGTTGTAAGGCGGGGCCGGGTACTCTGGGAGGAGTGTTGACTACGAATAAATATACAAGAGGGAGGTAGGTCCAAGGTTTTCTTAAAACGAGAGACGGATCGACGAGGTTAGCCCAGAGTCCCGTAAATACAAAGAAGGATGGGGGGCAGGTCAGGTATCGTGAGTGACAGTGAGGGTAGGGAGTTAGAAGAGTTAAAAGATTGATGAAGGCGGCTGGGCGATGAAAGGTTAGAAAAGGGAAAAGTCAAGTGACGAGGTAGGGCAGAGCAGACAAGGAGAGATTCCCCAGACAGTAGGAGGGAGACTTCATCAGATCACATCACAAGCTTGGGTGTCCTGCAGGGCTCCTTGTCCCTTGGAGCTCCCCGTCTGTCCCCTTTGGAAGGCCCTTGGAAGGCCCTTTGGGGGCTTTTGAAGGTTTGCACGCCCAACAAGAAGAACCTTGAAGGATGGCAGGGGTGTAAAAGTCTGAAAGAGGCAGGCGGAAAAGCTAGTTGAGTGGTGCTACAAGACCAAGTAGACCGAATTGGCGTGCCTGCTCCCTCTATCAACTCCATCAGGGCTGCCACCAGGAAATCACAAACATAGTTCGTATGCAGGAACGATCCAAGGTGAGGTCATTGGTGTGGCCCGTATTCTCCGAGCAACACCGTTGGGTCCGCCTTACCCACGGAACGATGGTGACGATGAGGCCCGGTCGAAACACCGACCCAATCACGGCTGCGATCCCATTTTACCGGCGTCCCGGCTCCCAGCTGGGACGGCCGGATCCCTGCTGGCGTTCCATATTTAGCACACATCTCCACTATTTAAACTCTCCAGCCCCTCCAGGGCTGCCCTGTTCTGTCGTCCGGCCAGGCCGTGGTGCCCCTCCCCCGTATTTTCCAGCGACCACGATCATCGATGCCTCGGATGACCAACACAAACACGCTACCTTTAAGCGGGAGATTACATCCAGACCATCACCTCCACCACTGTCTTCTGACTTGTTCTGGTACCATTTTCCCGCAGGGTTACTCTCCAAAACACAAGCGAGGCTTGGTTGTGTCAATCTTCAGTCACCAGTTCCGCCATCCCATCCACGCAGTGCAATCACCAGCATACTCCCAGGTTGTTCTTGTCATTCTAACATGTTGATGCAACGGTGCTGGTAGTCCCACCCACCCATCGACCACGACTGAAATTCGAGCGATTACACCTTCGAGGAAAGACCACCGCTGTAGGCGAAGTAGGTTGAGAAAGCAGCCTCAACATTGACGATTGAAACAAGGCTCGACGACTGGAGAAGAAAAGGACACAGAACAAGAAATAAGAGTGACATCTGCAGGTACAATGTAAGCAAAGCGCCTGCTTCCCCGCCTATGCAGGAGCCCAGGATAGACGCCGAGGTCGGGTCTATTGACTACATTCCTCGACCTTGAATCAGCAAAGAGCATCGCGTTTCTCCCCATCGTTTCGTCGGAAAGACACGACGTTCTCCTTGTTCTCTGTTTATATCTTTCAGTCATCGCAGTCTCAGAGTACCATCTGAACAGCATCGGCCCAGTTTTTGCTGATTCCTCGCGCGGCTCCTGGCAAGATGGGGTTGCTACCTGCAAGACACCACAAGGTAAGGTAGTTCTCAGTTACGGCAAAACAACCTAATGTGACCCCTCAGTGCCAACCCGGCTAAGGGATTAAGCCCTTGGCCGAATGGTTTGGGCCTTGTCAACTTTTTGCACCAAGTGGGAAAACGGACAACAAAAGGCGATGGTTGTTATAGCCGAATGCATCTGATGATTGATGTTGTTGGGCAGCTGGCAGATCTGCTAAACAACTGGCAAGGCCCCACTATAGCAAGCAACTGTTCCATTACCTTATTGTCGTGGCAGCATGGGTGAATTGAACGTCAGACGGGTAAAAGTGGGGCGAAGGACTAGGCAACTTCACGTTGTCATCACGAGGCACCAGTGGCACCTTACCTTGTCTTCGAACACTCGACTTCTTACAATATGCCAACCAACACTGATTGCGGGAACAGATCGCCATGGCAGATTACAAGGTAATATTGCCCGGACGCCCTCAAAGGTAAGAAGAAAAAAGGCACCGGGTCAGTGATAAGAACCGAACTGACCATCCCAGGCCTATCGTCTCGGACTCTGATACGGTCTCCGAGACGAAGCCAGTCCGCGTTAATAAAGTGAAGCTATCGCGCACGAGCACACGCAAAGTACGAACTGGATGCATCACCTGTAAGAAACGCCACATCAAGTGTGACGAGTCCAAACCGCATTGCGGCAACTGTCTCCAGGCCCGGGGTCACTGTGAAGGTTATCCCCCGGATCACAAGAAGAAGAAGAAAAAGACACCAGGGCCGTCTGAACTCTGTTGGGATTCCACGCAGGCCATCGTCCCTCGTACGACGTCGCCAACCGTGCAGACTAAACTGAACACCAATACGATGGACTTCCACAACGACACCGGCATGTCTTACTTCCAAGAATTTGTCGGCCTGGTTCGAGGCCCCTGGATGAGAGCCGCCTCCACCGGCGACCTGTGGGAAGTCATGCTGCCTCAGCTGTCTCGCAACAACGGCACTCTCCGCTCCGCGGCCATGGCCATCGGCGCGTTGAGCGTGTGGCATCGTCAATCCGCGCACGCCTCCCTCCGTGCCGTGTCTGCACCCGATCAACCTACCGCCCAAGAAGACGCCCACTACTTCCAAGCCGTGGCCCACTACTGCGACTCCCTCAAGATGCAGTGTAGACGGGCCTCCGCCCAGGATGCCGTATTCCTATCGGTGCTCGTCCTCTTCTTCGAGACCCTCCGGGGCAACAGAAAGGCCGCCCTCGATCACGTCAACCACGCCCTGTCCCTGCTCCTCGCCATCGTGACGGACACGGACGCTCACCACCGCCTGGCCGACCTAGCTCCCAATCCGAGACCCGTCATAAGCGCCGTAGCAGACGTCTTCAACCACCTCGCAAAGCAGGCCCGCACCGTCTTCAGTGGCCGCATCAGCGACGGCCCGCCCCTCCCGAACCTCGCAAAGCGCCTGCGGAGCACCAAGCAGACGATGGAGACCTTCATGATGCTCCTCAGCCAGACGCAGAGCGAATCCGCCATCTCACCAAGCTCTTATCCCGACGCATTTGACACCCTCGAAGAATTCGAGCAAGTCTGGCCAGCCATGCGACGTCACCAGGCCGCCATGGGCGCCATCATGGAGGACGTCTTCAAGACCTGCGGCCTCCGCAGCGGAGACGACGCCGCCATGATCAACAAGCTTCACCTCGAGATCTTTGCCAACCCCCGCATCGTGGACTTTTGCGCAAACTTCCAAAAGTCCATGACCAAGCTGAACGTCGCCTTCCAACCCCTCTTTAACAAAATCATGCAAGCCGACTTGAGATCCCCTACCTACCTCCGCGCCATTCTCCTGCGCATCGAGTTCTTGGGTGTCTACATCTTCAGCAACCCGCCCTCCTTCATCGACGACCAATCCGCCCGGGCTCTGACGCCGCTGTACCGCGAGTACCTCTCCCTCGCCCACATCGCCCTGAGGGCGGCTAAGAAGGAGTTCCAAACGAACCCGGCCCACCACCTCTCGCTACAGTGCAGCCTGAGCTGGTTCCTCCTCGTCACCTCCCTCTTCTGCCGCGACCCTCTCGTACGCGACGAGGCCTTGTGGATTTTGAAGGAGTACCCAGGCCAGGACGGGATCTGGAGCATCCGCGCCTTGTACGCTCTCGCCCGGAGGAATCGCTACATCGAGCGGGCGAACGCGGTCGAGGGCACGCTCGAAGAACAGTGGCAGCGTCTATGGCGTCGCGAGTTCGTTTTCGAAAACAGCGGCGATCGCATTGTGCTGCGGTACATGGAGAAAGACGAGTCGGCGAGGGCATGGCAGCTGGTGGAAGAGGCGGCCGATCTCCCCAAAGACAGCGAAGACGTCCAGTGGAAGCGGCAACCTCTCACGATGCATAGCGGACTGCTCGTTTTGGATCTGTTCAATGCTGTGACCCAGGGTGATATGGATACTAGGATACCAATTGGCAGGCCGTGCTAATAGGTGCAGTAGAGAGTTGTTGAGGAACCCGTTGGACAAAGGTATGTTTCTAGATGCGATTCAAGTGAAGTCTCTAAACATGCTGGTTTGATACCCCGAAAATAAAACTAAAAAGCGAAAAAGCATAGTAGATTCCAACACGCTGTCTGCCCAATGAGTATGATTCTGCCAAGGACTTCCACATATTCGCTTAGTTTACTTTCGACTCCAAGATCCTTATGTCTCTCTCCCGATCCATAGGTTATTGGTCCAAAGCCTGGCTCTGGCACTGTTGCAATTCATATTAGCAAAGAACGATCAAGGTCAAACAGACTAGAGACAACTTACCATCTCCCAGTAGACGCCCTGTTTCCCAATGAGCTCGCTGTGGCTTCCCTTCTCCACCACTCGTCCCTCGCTAAACACGAAAATTACGTCGGCGTTTTGAATAGTCGACAGCCGGTGGGCCACAGCAACAACTGTGCGACCATCACGCGCCCTCTCAAAGGCCGCCTGCACAATCTTCTCCGACTCCGAGTCCAGCGCCGAGGTGGCCTCGTCCAAGAGCAAAAGCTTGGGCTCGCGGATGAGGGCGCGCGCGATGGCGATGCGCTGCTTCTGACCGCCTGACATGGAGACACCCTTGGCCCCGACGTCGGTATCATAGCCCTCGGGCAGCGAAATGATAAAGTCGTGGATGAAGGCGTCGATGCAAACTTCATGTATCCTCTCGTCCGAGATGGAGCTGGGGTCGTCGATGCCAAAAAGGATGTTGTCTCGGACTGTCCCCCGAAACATGATGGGTTCTTGCGGTACGAGAGACAGGTTTCGTCGGTAGTCGTAGACGTCGAGCTCGTTTATATCGACGCCGTTGCAGAGGATAGAGCCGTGATTTCGGTTCAGGTCGTAAAACCGTTCCAGTAGTGAAATGATCGTCGTTTTACCGCACCCCGAGGGCCCAACAAAGGCCGCGTACTGGCCTTTCTCGATTGTTAAGTTCAAGCCTTCAAAGACGACAACATCGCGCGTGGGGTACTTGAAATGGACGTCCTGCAGTTCGACCCGTACACCTCCTTCGGACTCGGCAATGTCCTCTATTCCTCTCGTCGCACTTTGGCCAACGTCCGCCGACTCCCGGACGTCGAGGATACGGTCTGCAGCTGCGGCTGCTTGCGCAGCGCTCGGTGCCACAGCCAGAGTTTGACTTGCCGCTTCAGCACCCTGAATGATGGCCATGAAACAGACGAAGAACGCCTCCATGGTGTATTCGCCAGTAGCAAGGAGCCTGCCGCCGTAATAGAACACCAATGCTTGGCAACCGAGACTCACGCTATCGGCAAATCCATACAGCGCAGCTGTCCACTGCGCTTTGCGGCGTGCCTCGAGGATGTGACCATTCAGGAGCTTCTCGTATCTTGCGTTGATGGTCGACTCCATGCCAAGGGAAGAGACCGTCCTAATGGCTCCAATAGCTTCAGTGGCAAATTGTGAGCTCTCTCCGAAAACGGCCATATTCATCTTGTCGAATTGGACCTCGTGTCTATACTTCCAAAGCCCAGCGCCCAACATGATTGGCATGGTGATGAACATGGCAACCAGACCGAGCTTCCAGCCGAAAATCAGAGCGATGATGACGCATCCGAGAACGGTAAAGACGCCGGATAGCAGCATCGCCAGGTTCAGTCCGAGGAGTTCCTCCAGCAGCTTCGCGTCGCCCGAAACTCTGGCAGTCAGAGCACCGTGGGAATTCTTATCCTGGTCGAAAAAGCTAATCTTCTGGTGAAGCATGTCGGTCAAATATTGCCTCTTGTACTCAGCGCTGACAAAGTACTGGAGGCGCAAGCCTACCCACCCCTGGGCGACGTATGCAAGACCAACGCCTCCAGCGAGGGCGAACCACATCAGACCCCAGAAGTTCGCCTTTCTTTTCAGCTCGTCGCCGGTTAGGAGGAAGACAGCAATGACCTTTGAAAACAGCCAGGCTTGTATCGGCGTACCGGCCGCGGTCGCCATACAGGACAAGATGACAGCAGAATACGATGTCCATTTTGCCCGCCTTTCGAAGAGGAGCTTGCCGAAGCTACGAACCAGGCCTCGGGACTTATTGGACGACTCGCCCTCGGCAGTATCGGTGAAGGCAGCGCTCCTGAAATGGTCGTGGCCATTGAGTTTCTCCTCCGTTTCCGAATCAAGCCCAGAGGCAGAGGCGTCCGACAAGGCCTTTACAGGCGTTGAAAGGTTCAATGCTTGAGCCCTTACAAGTGAGCTATAGACACTGGATGCGTCACTCAGGAGGCTCTGGTGGGTGCCTTGCTCGACCGCCTGGCCTTTCTGTAGTACTACAATATTGTCGGCCTTTTTGATTGTCGAAAGCCGATGGGCAATAGTAATCGTAGTCCGGCCCTGGGTAACTCTGTCAAGTGCGGCCTGGACTATCTTCTCGCTCTTGGCGTCAATAGCACTGGTCGCTTCGTCGAGGATGATGATGCGCGGCTTCTTGATAATACTCCTAGCAATTGCAAGTCTTTGTTTCTGCCCACCTGAAAGCTTTGCTCCGCCGTCGCCGACTCGCGTATCGTAGCCCTGTGGAACATGTCAGTCAATCAAATGTTCCTTCACGCAAGGTGCCGATTGATGGAATTAGGCAACTGCAGGGCACTCACATCAGGTAGCCGGCTAATAAACTCATGGGCGTATGATTCCTGGCATGCGTCACGAACAAGCTCACGCTTTGCTGTCTCGGTTTCATTTTCCCACTCGGTTCCTATGAGACCATTGGCGACGTTGCTGAAGATGGTGTTGTTGAAGAGGAAGGGCTCCTGCTGGACCAAACCAACCTGCGATCTCCACCACTTGAGGTCAAGATCCTCCAGGTTTACACCGCCGATGGTGATTGAGCCGGACAAATCGGGTCGAATGAGTGACTTGGACTCGTCGGTGACACTTTCAACCCTCTCAGCTTCTGGTTTCTCGGACGATGAATCCTCAACAACCCGAGGCAAGGCGTGCTGCTCTCTCAAGCTGTACCAACGCTCCAATAAGCCGACAATGGTGCTCTTGCCCGATCCGGATGGGCCGACGAGAGCGATGTTTTGACCTGGCTGTATGCGGAAGCTCAACGAGTTGAGGACCTTGACGCCGGCTCGGCTAGGGTATTCGAACGTTACATCTTCGAAGACAATATCTTCCGAGTCAATTTCCGGCTTCAGAGTACCCGGGGGCGGCAAAGGAGCGTCGATTACGGTAAATAGCTCACAAGCCGCAACCATTGCCTTGCTGACAGCGATGACTGGCGTTGAAATCCTCTCCAACGAGGTCAGAATCATCATTACTGACATCAGTACCACGACAACCACGCCGGCATCACTGAGGGCGCCTGCGATGTATCTCTGAGTGCCGTACCAGAAAGCCAGACCGAAAGCGCCGAAGACGCCAAAGAACTGAATTTCATGTTAGCTCTCGTTAATGCTGTGGGTATCTACCTGGACGTTGGGGAGCAGAAACGTACGATAAGGCCAAACTGAATCGCAATTATGGGAGCGGTTTTCTGAGCCCGCCTCCTGGCTTCGTGCACCCACCCCTCGTAACGAGAAATGATGTGCTTCTGTGCACCACAAGCCATTACCAGTCGCACTCCGCCGAGAGCCTCGCTGGCAATGGCGGTACCTTGAGCATCAGCTTCCGTCGTCGCGGTCTCTCCCTTGACGATAACCGGCAGGCAGAAGGACAGAACCAGGAGAATGTATAGAATCAGCGAGGAAGTGACCAGGGTGAGATCCCAGCTCCAGATAAAGGCAATAACCAGGGCGGCCCATATCGTGCCGTTGAACTGCAAGAATGTCCCCAGGCGGTCAGAGATGCCGATTTGCAAGGTGGCTGACGTGCCAGTGATGGCCGTCGCGGCGGCGCCCGGAGGCATCGAGTCAATGACATGGATTGACTGGTCGAACAGCGAGCGGAGGTAGTGCAGGCGGATGGCGGACGATAGACGGATCCCGATCATTCTGAAGCAGAACTTGTTGATGGCGTTGAGGAACCACCGGCCGAGGAAGAGAGCCGTGATGTACAGAGCCTGGCGGTTCAGGAGGCTCTCAAATTGCGACTGGGAAATGGTTGAGTCGTTGCTGAAGTAACCTGTGAACTGACCGACGAGCTGGCCAAAGATGATGTTCATCAGCGGGAGTGTCACACCTGCTGCGATGGACGCAAACGCGGCGATCACGTAGACGAAAAAGTCCCATTTTGTCGCGTATGTGAAGACTCTGAGATAATCCGCAAATTTTGGCTTTCGCACCAGAACCTGTCTACCCGTTGTCGAGATGGTCTCGTCGGTTCGAACTGGACTCTTCGCCATGTTGGGCACCACCTTGAGGTGAGTCGTTGTGCCTAGCGTGCTTGATCGTTTTTGGCGTAGATGTCGTGCAAAGAGGCTTTCCGTCCTAGATTAGTGCCCCCTTTTCTTCCGTGTGTTAGTCTGACAGTTTCCTTCCAGACTTTGACAGGAGAAGGAATTTGAAGTTTACTTTGGGTTGGAAGAATCCGTCCGTCCGGATGCTTTCCTGCTTGGTTCATTCTGAACACTTTTGTCCCAGTGATGTTTTGACGTCAGAAGGTCCGACCTCGTGCTTCAAGGAGAAGGACGTTCTTTTCTGGTTCTTGGGCCTCCTTTTTTACTCTACCTTGATTTCCTCTTGACGGCAATGTGCATGCAGCAAATCGAAACGAGGCACTGCTGTCGGTAGGCCGTGTAAGCTGGAGGTCCGAGAAAACGAACTGAGAGCTACATGATGAGATTATTTCTTTGCGACGGCGAGACCGAGGACAAAACCATAAAATGGCTGATGACGAGCTGTAGCAATTTGTACCTTTATTTTCCAGAGACTCGGGACTCAAAGAAAGTCTGATATGATTTTTGTCTTCTTTTTTTGGATCATTGACACCGCCCATTCCTGGAAAGCTTCTCTCACGGTTGAAGCTGTCTGAGACGGTATTTGACAGAATGCAAACTACTGCAAGGGCCTCCTCTAATGCCGCTTTTGGAAGGCGACAAGCCGTGCGCTCGGGAACCCGGGTGAGACCTAAGAGAGAATCGGTGAGTTTGCACCCATCACGGCAGCCTTCTTATACCCGACTCTCCGAGTAAATCTCGCACGTATAAATCAGTCTCTGGCAAAGACTAATGCGCCTGTAGAAACACGTCCTCGGGGCTCAGTGTACACTTGCAAAACTTTTGACACGGGTGGCGATGCTGCTAGCTGCAAAGTGTACTAGCTATGTAGGTACTGTTCGTTGTTGGGTAGAAATTCGCTCTCCCCTTCTTCGATCCAAAGCATGGAATCCTGTGAGGCAGACTTGCTGCGTCAAAGTCTTTGCGCCGGCGCTTGCGCTTGACAGAAGATAATTTCCGAGCTTCCTCCCCCCTTCCACAACGTGACCTTACCTCTGATCAGCCAGGAAGTCAAAGCTGAGACTCTGGGGCTGTCAACCTCGGCAACGATTGACCAAAATTCTTGTTTGTCAAAAAGTCAAACGAGGCTTCGCCCTTTCCTTTGCAGCCTTACTTGATCCATCAGACCTACGTCCGCTCTCGTCCTGTTTCTGGAGGTAAACGAATTCAAGCGACTGAATTCAGTTGACTATCCAAACTTTGTCTAGAGGAAACCGAGCCATGGCAGACTGTATGTTAAGGTTGAGAGAAGAGAGCAGGCCGCTTCCGCCATATCCGTGAGAGCTCCTGCATGACGAGGCTTCGCACGACTGACTGGTTTCCAATCATCGAGGCGGATCCTTGCAATAGTAGTAGCTGGCTGATGTCGTCTTCCCCAGTGTGTTCTGTCCGCTTCGTCAGCTCGGACAGATTTTTTGCATCAAAATTTGGCCTGTGGAAGAATACCATTGTCCCGGAAAGCCGGGAGAAGATATTAAGTATACAGTGGCAACCCCGTGCCTTTTCAGGATGCTGGCGATCATACCTATACTGTACGTATTGCAAAGCTGTATGGTGACACAATATGAAGTGACGCCGATATCTTATGAGAAGCTTTCCTGCACCTTCCGCTGGTCTGTACTTGTGAGAAAAAAAGGCCTAGGAGCAGTCAGAGAGGCCCAAAACGCGGCCTCACTAGACCTGCCTCAGTATGTTAGGAAGCGTGAGAAAGTCGGCAAAGGGCCTTTGGCGACTTTTCCTAGCGAAACAGGCACATGTTCATACTCGAACGTAATTGGAACTCGGCCATAACTCTGGCAAAACTTTTCGTCATTGGGTATCTTTCTTCATCGACCAGGTTTCCGTATTTGTGGGCCACACCAGCGAGCCACTCATGCTTGAGAATCACATGTATCCACGGATACCTCTTATCACTCCAGACTTTTTCTCCTTCTTGTCTCCACCGCCACTGCCAATGCCACCATCCTCTTTCTTCTTTCCCTTCTCATCTTTCCGTCGGTTCTGTACTCCACCTGGAAAGAAAAACCATTTGCGATTAGTTAACCCGCCAGTACCCATCTTGGAATCGAAGCCGGGCCGTTCCAGACTCACCTCTGCCGAAATATCTCGGATCTGCCGTGGTCGGGCTAATGGCCTCGTCCGTCTCTATCGGGCTGGAAGGTACGGGCGGGAGATGTGAGCTCGAGGGAACCGGTGTCGACGGCTTCGACATGATGGGCGGCGTCGCATTGTACGACGTTGGGTTGAGGAAGTCGTGCTCTGACAAGACCCTATGGATCCCCGAGTGGCTACCCCTCGTCGTGACCGGACTGCTCGAGTGTGTTGAACCTTCTCCGTCACCATCCATGCGGAAGACAAAATCGCCCCGGCCATGAGAATTCGAAGATCCTATCGAGAACCGATTCTCCTCTAGCTGCGATTGCAGAACCGTGTATTTCCTCATCAGACTCGTATACTGCTTCTGCAGCTCAGCCTGCTTCGCCCGACTCACCGCCAGCGCGCTCTCGACCGCCGCCTTGGTTTCGGCGTTCCTCCTGCGTTGGATTCCTTCGTGCGCCTCTAAGAGCTTCGAGTTGAGCACACCAATCTGGGTCTGGAAAAGTTTCTTGGTCTTCTGGAGTTCCTCCTCGCGCGCTTGAAGCTTCAAGTCCAGGATCTCGGCTCGATTCTCCGCTTCTGCGGCAGACGTGATTGCCGCCTGTCTCTCTGCTTCCTTGGCTTGTAGGTCTCTTTCTGAGATTGAAAGTCGCTCCACGTCAGCCTTCAAGCGGTCGTTCTCGGCAGCATTGATCTCGACAGACTGCATAGTCTGCTTCGAGTTGAGCTCCTTGACCTCAGCATCGCATACTAGCTTCTTCAGCTTCTCGCTCTCTTCTCGTGCGCCTTGCAATTCTTGTTGGAGAGACTGAATCTCCGTCTTTGTCTTCCTCGACTCTTCACGAAGAGCCCGCAACTTGGCAGACAAGTCAGACTCCCACTTTTTGGCCAAAGTTCGGCTCTTCTCTGACTCTTTCCTGATTTGACTCTCGGCCTTCTTCGAATCTTCCAAACGTTTCCTCAGCGTCCGGTTCGTCAAGATAAGATTCTGAGTTTCAGCTTCACTTGCAGCTTCCCGCACCTGTTTCCGTCGCAACTCGCCGATATGCGCCATGTGTTGCTGCTTGAGGTACCGCTCGAAGTTCAAATCATTGTGGAGTAGAAGAATCTGCCTCTGCAGGTGCGCAACTTGAGATTGTCCATCGGTGGTAGACGTCGGTGTAGAAATTACTGGCATAGGTGGAGGCATGTGGCCAGTAGTCTTCTCTGCTGCTGAGTCTGGATGGCTTAGTGCGAGTGATGGAACGCTGTCATTAGCTAAAGATTGATGGAGTCCCGCTTTGATAGCCTTGTTCGACTGGATCATGTCCTGTAAATGAGTATGGGAGGACGACGGAACAAGCTGAGGGGGCAAAGTTGGACTATCCCCAACGAGATCTGCTTTGGGGGCTTCTAAGGAGTTTCTTTGCGAAGGCTGACTGGAAAGCGAGCTCTGGCGTTGGCTGCTTGAATGGACACGGCTGCTTGTCGTCGAATTTTGTTCCACATCTTGGTTGCTTCTCCAGCTCTCGGCACCAGGTTCTAAGCTGGATCCGCTGAGCAAGGCGGGCCCGAGACCGTCTTGATCAGATTCATTGCTGAGAAGGGAGCCGTCACCCTCAGCCGATTGCATGCTGTCCGGTTCCAAAGCTGCTAAAGTATCTGGGGAGAAACGCAGCGCCATGCACTCAGCCACAACTTCTGCTGGTTCGCTCGTCATCCATCGCCCGAAATCAGTCTTTTCAGACTCGATTGTCAGAGTATAGAAGTTGGGGTGCAAAAGATGGCTTTGCCTGTATCGCTCAGACTTGTACCTTATTTCTGTTGGTTGAACTTCCACCTCGTCCGGATTGACCGCGTTGGCATGTCGGAGATAACGCTGCGGCTTCCGAATGTAGTCCATGAAATTGATAGGATATAAGCCATAGAGAACGGTAAAGTAATTAGCGAGATGAGGGACCTCGATATCGTCGGCCTCGGGAGAATATTGGCATGTCTCCCACCCTGAAGGCGAAGCGAGGCTTTTCTGCTCGCTTTCAACTGATGTCGCCTCAATAATCCCCGTCCGTTCGCTGTCCCAGAACAGTAACCGCGCGTAGATATTGAACAAATTTGGGAGATGTGGCACCAATGAACTGGGCATATGTGGCAATATCATGATGAGGGCGGTGATCGCCATCGAAATGGCAGTAGCCGACGTGTCCTGTTGCAGGCATCGCAGTAGGTTATTGAACAGCGGCGTTTGCAATATCAGGTGTAGGTGTGGTGGTTGGCTCTGGACAAATTCGCACAGTAAATTGGCGGCCCTCGCACGGAATTCACTCCGCACGAAGCACGCATCCAACGTGAAGAGGAAATCCTGCCATGCTGTGAGACAACTCGTCATATCTACGAGAGATTCAAGAAACCAAAAAGACGTACCTTCGGCTTCCTCCTACCATACGTTATCAAGGCCTGGCGTATCGCACGCTCGCTGGATTGCGCAATCAAGTCATTCTCAGACTGGGTTTTGTTGTATTTTTCCAACCACGACAACAAGAGCCTCGTGGCGAATGGATTTACAACCCGTTCTTCGTTCGGATCGTCCTCTCTCGGTGCGTCCAGCATTAGAACCTCAAGCGTGGCATGGTGAGACTCTTCCATCAAGCCTTTCTCCCGAGTAAAGTTCTCCAGTATCGGGTCGTTGAGTATGTCCCACCATTTGAGTAGACGGGCCGGCGCGCGGATCGCGGGCACTAGAAGGCGAAAGACGTGGATGAATGCGGCATATTTGGACGGTGCACCCTTGACGTGCTTATCCCAGATGCCGAGGAAGTCATCTTGTAGTCTTTCGGCGCTCGAATCTTCGTATTTCTCATGCTTGTTCAGGTAGGCATCGATGACTTCGGCAACATGGTCGGGTAGCGGGAGGGAAGGCGAAGCAAAGAAGGACGTCAAAGCTTTGGACAGGTCCTTGAGTGACCTAGAGAGTTCGCTGTCAGTCCATGGTGTGCGTTGTCGCAAGTCGCAGGCACAGATAAGTTGCGCGATGGATAATCGCGCACCACATGATGCAGTGAGGAAAGTTGGACGAAGATGGAGGAAAAGACGAACAGGAAGTCTGGCCACTTACGCTGACGACGCCATTTTCTTAGCTGTGACTCTTCATCGAGCCTCGCGATGTGCTACGCTTGTCGAAAAAGCAAGGCAAGGTCCGTCTGTGGGCGCAGATGGGCAAGTCGGTGTCATGCAATTGTCAGGCAACGGCAGCGGAATCTGCTGATGCAAGGTACAGGCTTTGCCAGGGACCCTCTCTCGAACAAGGCCGATAAGATAGGCTGGATCATTGGACGGCACGCTACCTAGGCACCTACATGGCATGGGGCATACCTACTCTTCGGCAGGACGTGGCCAAACAGCTTGCAACGCAGCTTGTAGTTACACTAGTCTCGCTTGGTCTCGCTTGGTCTTGCTGCGGGTCCAGCCTAACCTTCTGGGTCTCACAGTGCTGTCGCAGACGGCAGGGCTCACTCAATATTGCCGGGCAGTGCGAAGAAGGCGACGAGGGGAGTTCTGAGTGGAGATACTTGAATCTCGGTGGTCCGGCTGCCCTGCAGGCATGTACCGGGACCCACCAGTGACCTCACGGGGAGACTAACCCCGCAATCCGCGAAAGAGCGCCATGCCATGCACCGATGCACCCGACCCCAGAAAACGTACGGGAGACTGTGGGGCCATTGGACCACTTGAAGCTGTTGTGGGTTGTGGCCTTTTCCAGAGACGCACCTGATCAGTCGCTCCATGGCCAGTAGCTCAGCTGAGGGGTTGCTGGTTGCTGGTTGCTTTGGTTTGAAGCCGGCCAACTGCGCGGATCCGAGGGGGACATGCCGCAAGATGAGGTACCTCAACGTCCACCTCCAGGTGAGGTGTGAGGAGGTAGACATTTGGGAGGTCAGGTAAGGTAAGGCAAGGAGAAGAGAGGTCGGTTGGTGGTGCAACCCCTCCTTTGTCCAGATGACTCGACCCTTATTAGTTCCTTCCCATCCCTCTTTCCATTCAAGTGCCTCTAAGCTTCCTTCTTTACCTTCTTCATCTTCTCCAATCATCACCAACGAACAACCCAATCCCATCAATCACCCGTCAATTCCAAGCAACGACCTGCTCCGAGACCTCATCTCGGTACCCCAATTGCTTCAATCAACCCATCAGCTAGCACAAGCTGTATTACTTCACCTTCCCCCCTTGAACCACTCCGTTAACAATCGGCACGATGGCAAACAAGAGCTCTGCAGTGGCGGACGAACCCATTGAGGTTCTGTTCGCCCTGCAACCCAACTTCGACCTTCTTGACATGGCAGGTCCAATGGAGGCCCTGTCCACCGCCCTTCACGACCAGAAGGACAAGAGTTAGTACTACAAGCTCCCAAGCAGCTCCTCCTCCCTTCTTTCCCCGCTCCATCCGCCATGCCGCCGTCACACAGCCATGCTGACCAGTGCCCAACCCCGCAGACTCCAAGGCCTTCGAGTGCACCATCACGGCCGCAGAGCCCAAGGTCGTCTCCGACTCTGGCGTTACCATTGGCACCCAGATCCCCTTCAAGGAGGCCTATGAGCGCCTCAGCGACTTTGACGTCCTTGTCATTGTTGGCGGCGACAGCGAGAACATCCTCAAGACTAACGCCGAGCCCCTCCCTCTCATCCAGGCCTTCTCCGAGCTGCAGCAGAAGGACCCCTCCCACGAGCGGACCCTCCTCTCCATCTGCACCGGTTCTCTTTTCCTCGCCAAGCAGGGTGTCCTCGCTGGTCTGTCCGCCACTACTCACTCGGACTACATTACCAAGTTCGAGATCCTCTGTAGCGAGGCCGCTACCCGAAACCTCACCGAAAGAACTGACGTTATCGACGATGCTCGCTACGTCGTGAACAACCTTCGCTTCGAGCTGGGAGACGAAGACGAGAACCCCTATGTCCGCCGCAAGTCCGACTCCGGTCGCCGACCCTCTAATGCTAGGTACGTCATCAGACCGCCATTCCACCTATAACGCTACCAGCAAGGCTAATGCATCGAAATAGAAAGGGCAGCATGTCTTTCAAGAGCTCCGGCCGCCGCGAGTCCATTACCCGTCGTGCTGCGATGCGTCTCGGCGGTCTTCGTGTCATTACCGCGTCTGGAGTCAGCGCCGGTATCGATGCAGCTCTCTACCTTGTTAGCGCCCTCGTTGACGATGCATCGGCCGAGGAGACTGCCCGCCTCATGAACTGGACCTGGAACAAGGGTATTGTTGTTGACGGCCTCGATGTCTAAGTAAGACATCGATAGCCATGACGGATGGATGGTAAAAGTTCATCATGATTCATGAAGATCTGTAAGAAGGACGGGAAAAGCCTTCCAGATGTGTACGGGATATTCAAATTTTCATGTTGCTAGCAATGCTGTGTTTATTAGTACCTTACAATCCACCTTTGTTTCCACGAAACAAAATCTGCAGTCCATGAATCGAATGCGAGTTATTGCCCTCACTCCCAGCCAACACCGCGTCTCGCACAAGTTATGCATGTTTTTCAAAGCACATTGCACTCGTTTTCCTCAATTGAGAAGGGTAAATGCAGTCCTAAAACCCAGAAACCGCCGAGTTTTTTTGCTCCCCATTCCCCTCATAAACCAGTGGAGATTAAACTCGGGTTTGTGGGCGGCCTTACATAACCCGTCTGTTCTTGGAATCCGGGGTTCAGTCTTGACGGACCAGGTCATCCCTTGATCGGCGTCGCTCTTACCTCGTTGAATTCCCACTCCTGCTAGGTAAAACATCGGATAGGCAAGTGTGCCGCTCGTCTAACCTACACTACACGTCTCGATCAAGTCGAAGGCCAACCGAGATGACATAGACTCGACATCTGACGTCTCCGTGCGAGGGAGGGGAGCAAATAGAATTTCCCAATTGGGATCGACACTTATGTAGAGACTGAATTGACGAGAGCAAGTCTCGAGCTATCCGGCTCAAACTTTCGGAGACCGAGATCTACGAAAGGCAGGACGTTGCGTGACATGCCTTGACTCCACCTCCGCCTGTCACACAAGCAGTACATCCTTGTATTCGCGTTCATCATTTCTACCAGCTGCAAATATATTACGTGTCCGCAAAAAGAATGATGTTTTGCTGGCTATCTGTCCCCTAGGAACCAATTTTCTCCAGTGATACGTGCAATCAAGGTCAGGCGCTGAAAGCTAGCAACTAGGGCCGGGGATGCGGGTCCGGTCGGAGGTACATGCTATGGAGACACCATGAGTGAGCTGCCGGAGACCCGCTGTGACCGGACCCGTACCCGGCTTCGGACCCACTAGCAAAGACGGAAATACGTGGTCCCGATTGAACCAATCAGCAATCGGGTCGATCCTAGTCCTCAACTTTTTGGACTCTCGCATCGCAGAAGATCCTCGAGTTACGCTTAGCAAATCACCGACAACAAGATGGCGGAGGCATTGACAATGGCGGTAGCCCGCCAAGGGCCGGCATCCTTCAAGCTGGGAACGAAGGCAGTGTTTTTGTATGTCCACTTTCCGATCACAGACGCCTCGCCCGAGGAAACCGCCTGGCGCCACGTCTTTCGAAAATGACCTCGTCCATAAGAAGCTAACCTCTCTCTCTTCCTACCCCTAGGCCAAACCATGTCGTCACCTTCGTCCGCAAAGATAGATCACCGCCAAACTGGGCGACCTTCAACGTGCCTCTCACCTTTACAAAGTTTGACATGCGCGACTACCTCTGGAACCTGTACGGTGTCGAGACGACGGCGGTGCGCTCACAAGTGAAGCAGTCGGCCATCGAGCGCAGGGCAACAGGGTCGGGCTACTTCCGCCCGCAGAGCACGAAAGTCATGACGGTGCAGCTGACGAAGCCCTTTGTGTGGCCGACGCCCCCCGAGGACCTCGAGCCGTGGAACAAGAAACTATGGGAGGCGCGCGAGGGCACGTCGCGGGAGCAGTACCGCGCCGACATCAAGAAGCAGCTCGGCAAGCTGGCATACCCGAGCAAGGACCAAGAGAGCGCCGAGAGGAAGAACCTGCGGCGGCAGGCTAACAAGCTGTTGAAGATCAAGGGCGAGTGGAAGAACGAGGTTCAGCTGGACAGCAAGTGGGATCAGATTGTCGCCAAGACGAGGAGGTCGTCCAAGGCGAAGAAGGCATAGCCGTCATGAAATCGCAGTGGGCTATCAGGAGCATGATGGGGCGGCAGAAGGGGATATCACGTGTAAAAAATCGAAAGAACTATAGTGAGCATGCGGGTCGCATGTTTGTACAACACACAAGGATGACAAGAGATACATACAAGTGTCAATTGGTTTTGGTATCTTGGGATTTGGTTTTCTTTGATGTGTTTTGTCTCGACACAGCTGGTATCACCCAGTGATGAGGCTCTTGAAAGTGAAGGATTTCATTACCCCATCCCCACCAACCGGCAGTCAGATTACGTGCGAATACCTCGAGACCGCGATATCCTTGGGGTAGCAAGTCGTCGAATAAGCAGCGGAGGTTTGGCTTCCGTGAGTGGACGTCAGGGACGGCAGCAATTATCCTCCCGGGTACTTTTTGGTTGTTACCTCGTTTCCTCGCAATGATGAGCCTCTCCCAAGGTTTTCTCCATGCAGACTCTGTGTCGAATATGGGATCTCCATGAGCCGTAATCTTAACCCACTGCCACTCGGCGGCGACCTCAAGACCCCAAGACGCGAGAACGCCTCTAGGTGAAGTGAGCAAATCTGCCAGCGTAGCTTTGTTAGTCATCCAAACAGCAACGAGACCGCTGTCCGCGAGATGGGCGGCGACGGGTATCTGGTCCAGAAGCGCACGAGTCTCCTTGAGTCCGTAGACCGTCGAATAGCCGCCAGTCTTCCTTCTCGCAGATTTATTCGGCCAAGGAGGGTCCATGATGATGAGGTCAAACTTGGGCGCCGTTGAGAGGAAGGATTCTCTAGTCTCCTGGATCGAGCCGCTCAGGTACGTAGACTCTGGAGGAATAAAGTGCGCCGCAGCCGCAGCCGCGTCTCGGGCGGCGGCGGCGACGTCGTCGTCCTTAGGTGCGGGATGATCCTGCGGGCTCTCGCTGCACTCGCGACCGCTACTGGCGTTGCTACTCCCGCCGCCGGTGACACGAGGAAGACAAAACGGCGCGTCGTAGCCCCGTTTTAGCGTGTCGAGGGCATTGTTCACCGCCGCCTCGATCATGAGGTCTGCGAGCTGGCTGGCCGGCGTCTGGTTGTTGGTTTGGGGGTCCCGGGGCTCTGGTAGCGTAAACGGTGTGGAAATGGGGGCCACCGAGAGGAGCCTTCTTTGTGGTTGTCCTGTCTCGGCACCTTGACCCAGCAAGACCTGGCTTTCCTCCAGAGAGGCTGGAATGTCGACGAGGAAGACAGACCGGTCTTTATTATGGAACAAGACGCATCTAGGCGATGAGCAGGCCTGGAGGGTCTTTGATGAAAGGCTAGAGGCCATGTTTGAAATCGCTGTTTCTTCTCATCCTTCACCTATCAGGCCAGCGTGCCTTGCTTTGTGGCTATGACCGGGGCGTCTTCCCGGAGGCTTAATTTGAGGCCCGGCGCAGTCCAAGTGCCCCTCGACCGGACCCGGGTGCTTGACTGGGGTGGCCGTGGGAGAAAATAGTCCGGTGCTGCAGTCCAATCCTACCGATGCCCTCATGCGTTGGTGTTTGTACTATTTCCCCTTGGACAAGCGGTCTGGAATTAGTTCTAGTTTGGAAGTGGTGTCGTTCCTGTGAGAAAAACTCTTTGCGATGCCCGATTCGAGACCACCCGCATGGAATGAATTGCGGAGGTATCGTGGATATCGAAGGCCTAACCCCGGATCGGAACTGAGTGAACTAGAGTAAAACTTGGAACCTGGAAATAGAGAGGTCGAAGTGACCATCCGCCCGTGTCGAGGTTCGGCAATCTTCGGCTCGTGGCCCAGACCCCTGTACTAGAACCCAGCGGGCAACCCCCATTTACCGCTCGTGCGCCACGCTCCTCCCCCAATGAGCGACGGTGCGATGAGAGGGAGCCTTTCTAAAATCTCGCCTTTATGACGTTCCGCCCGTCGCATTTCGGCTTTAGACCCTACCCTTTCCTTCCCGCACTCTGCTCCCTGAACCTTCTCCACGATCACCACCCCACGATCCTTACCCTCCTCGTGTGACAGCTCGTGCGTCCCCTTTTGTTTCTCCTTTCCAGTCCTTGAACCTCCGAAGCCGAAACCTCGAAATCCAAATCTTCAAAGAACGACTTGCGGAATGCTTCTCGAGTAACACCGGGCCAATAACGTTACAACAGCCAGCGAACGGAGCGCGCTCGTGGGTTGCGCTGACAAGGTAATGCCGTCAGCGCTGCTGGAACATGCCTCCATGTCGGAGATAGCACCAAACAACCAACGAAATGCTGCGCGACCTAAGCCAGACACGAGGGCCCCTCCCGTGTGCCCGACCGACGATGACGAGACGGTAGCCGTGAGGAAACAGACGCGGACGTTCGATTATGTCTGGCGTTCCGGTGTCGCGGGAGGCTTGGCTGGATGTGCTGTAAGTAGCAATAGGAATCAAAGTGAAACCAGAGGGCAAGATCCGCCAAGCTGACGTTATCACGCACTGCAGGCAAAAACGGTCGTAGCACCTCTTGACCGAGTCAAGATTCTGTTCCAGGCGAGCAGTCCTCAGTTCGCAAAGTACACGGGGTCGTGGTTTGGTGTTGTGACGGCAATGAAGGATATTCGTTCCCACGAAGGCTTCACTGGGTTGTACAGAGGGCACTCGGCTACCCTCCTCCGAATCTTTCCCTATGCCGGCATTAAGTTCCTCGCCTACGAGCAAATCCGCTCTATGATTATTCGGCGGCAGGATCAAGAGACACCTTGGCGCCGGCTTATCAGTGGTTCCCTGGCGGGCATTACTTCTGTCTTTTTCACATATCCCTTGGAGGTCATTCGCGTCCGGTTAGCGTTTGAGACAAAACATGGCGGTTCCTCGCTAGCCGCAATTTGCCGGCGGATCTACAACGAGCGTTTTGTGCGGACGTCTCCCGCCTCGCAAGCGGCCGGCACCTTGGCAACTGAGGCGACTGCCTCTGCCGTCACCGCCGTTGCCCCACGGTCGGGTCTCATCAACTTCTACAGAGGCTTCACCCCAACTATGCTAGGTATGCTTCCTTACGCCGGCATGTCTTTTCTGACACACGATACGGCCGGCGACGTTCTCCGCCATCCGAGCCTGGCAAAATGGACAACACTTCCACGGCCTGAAAACTTGCCTGCGGGCAAGCCCACGCCGCTGCGATCCTGGGCCGAACTACTTGCCGGTGGTGTTGCTGGCCTCATCTCCCAGACTGCGTCGTACCCCTTGGAGGTCATTCGCCGGAGGATGCAGGTCGGCGGCGCGGTGGGCGATGGACACCGACTGCGCATCGGCGAGACGGCCGCTATGATTTTCCGGGAGAAGGGAATGCAGGGGTTCTTCGTGGGCTTGACTATTGGCTACGTCAAGGTTGTGCCCATGGCGGCGGTGGCTTTCTACACGTACGAGAGATCTAAGATTTGGCTGGGAATTTAGACAGTCTATCTTGTTGCGTGGGCTGCTTGAGTTTGGCGTTGTTGGAACACTGGGACAAACTAGCATTTTTGGGTGGACTTTTTTTTAATGAAATACGTAGTTAGAGGAGCACTTCTCCGGGAATAAAGGAGTAAGAGGGAGCACTAGAATGGCGGCTGTCTGCACATGCCAATTATCCAATAAATTCTTGGATTCGTTGCGCTCCACGCCAAAACCTTGACACTCCCTCCACCGTGCGATGTGGTGTATGCCTTATTGACTAATCTACTGGATGTGAGTGTAATGACGGAATTAGGCATGGTATTCTAAATTCGTAAGTCGTAACTCATTCCTTCTCCTCGTCAACGCATCTTGTTATCTCAACACCGTCCTAACGAAACTTGTCAGTACCCAGAAGAGCTAGAGCAATGTCCAGGCTGAAAACTCACCGGCACACCAGTCGGCTCAAAGCTATTGACGAGCTTGCTTTCATACTGGAGGTTCGGGTTGCCGATGCGCGTCAGGTCCAACCTCTCTTCGCCCTCCCGCTTCTCGTACTGCTTCGCCGTCCGCTCGTCGTGCCGCCCGGCCGCCTTTCTTGCCGCCCCTACGTCCCGGGCCGCCGCGCGCTTCTCGGCGACCGAGCTGCGGACATATTCAAGGTATGGCGGGTTGCCGGGCTTGATGACGTTGTCGGCCGCGAGTACGGAGCCGGGCCCGACGAGGCCCAGCTGCTCGCACAGCTTCAAGTCCGTGGTGTAGGCGGGCTTGTAGTGGTCTAGGAACATGAGGTCGATCTTGCCGTTTGGAAACGTGCCGGCGGAGTGCAGGCGGGCGATGGAGGCGTCGCTGGGGCCGACGACGACCTTTACCGTGTCGTTGAGGCCGGCGAGGTCGACGAGGGAGCTGATGACGGCGGCGAATTCGGGGTTGCGCTCGAGCGAGTAGTACTGCGCCCCTGGGGAGGCTTTGCGGACCGCGTTGCCGAAAAGGATGCAGGAGTAGCCGACGTAACCTCCTAATTCGACCTGTTGGCGGGGTTAGTGATGAGACATTGGATGAAAGCTTCTCATCCCGAGTTCAGATCATTTCCGACGCAAAGAAATACACTCGGACGGTCCCAGTCTGTTCATCGCGGCTCTCAACTTGCGACGGCAGACCGACCTTTCGAGGGATGCTTTTGCTTACCATTACCTTGGGCTTGATGTCGGCGATCAAATCAGTCACGATCTTGCCCTTGTCCTCGCCCACATTCATCAGGTACTTCTTGGTCCGGCCAAAGTCGTCAATCGCCTTCAAGACGCCCTCAGTAGAGCCGCGGATCTCATCGAGGTTGGGCTGGCTGTAAACGAAATGTAGGAGTTCAATCTCGCGGCCGTCATCAAAGAATACTTCTTCCTGGATGGCGTACGCCTTGCTCTCGTCAAAGTGAGGCATCGTGAATGCTCGTTGCGGTTGTAGCGAGGTCACAGTCGTTTTCTGGTATTCCTTTTCTTAAATGGATTGGTGGGAACCTGGAAGAAAGACCTATTTGGATGTATATTAAATGCTTTAAAGAATGAGTGAGAAGGGAGTAAAGACAGAAGAAGACACCGACCCAGGCAGTTTACCCAGGGCCGCAGGTCTAGTTATCATCACGATGAACGAGACAGACTCCCACCATTACTCAACGCCGACTTCGTCCCGCAAACATGGAATTCCGAGCCAGCACACGACCGGAACCGCAGCTTTCGGCGACCTCGACCACATTAACACTCTCTACCCCAACTTTCCTATACCGCCTCACACCTGTGGAGCTGTCCCTCCTCGGATCTCCTAATTGACTAGGCAATAATTGCCGGCAAGCCACGTCAGGAAGAAAGCTCAGCTACGTTATTGAAAGCTTACATAGTAGGCGCCGCATGGTACGTAGCTCCGAGGGAAAAAGACATCTCAGTCATGGCGGGGTAAGGTAAGAGACCGGGCCTTGCATCCCGCAAGGTCGTGATTCGCAGCTTCCGTAATGTGTCCAGGGAGCAGACGGAAATGGCGGAAGGTACGTAGCTACGTAGATGAAATCTTCGACCGAGTAAGGTACCTTAAAGTAGAAAGGTACGGCGGTACGGGAGTACAAAATCATGTGCTTTCGCGACGATTGCGGGTAGTGGCACGCGGAGAGGGGCAGTTGGCTGGGCACGGCAAGTCATGACGCGCAAAACGCCTCATCAACCGCGTCAAAGATGTAATTGAGTTTGCTTTCAAGCTCGGCTACAGCCCTTCTCAGTTCCTGCCAGCTTCTCGGCCGACTGCGAGGGTTTTCCAACCGTCTTAACTACCTAGCGCCTTTCCCCCCTCAAGGTGCGTCAAGCCAACGGTAGCACGAAACCAGGGGACCCGAGGGACGCCGCTGATCCAATCCAACATGCGACTCGATGCTAGATGCTCTAAGTGTTTTATGTACAGATATACAATACGGAGTATTTGGTCCTTATGAGGGAAAGGAGTAGGCGCAGAGACGCGACTCGATGCTTTCATCCGTCCATGCTGTGGCTCCTACGCTTGATAGCATTCGAACAATCTAAAGGACCAGGAACTCCAATTGAATCCATGCCGGTAACGCAGGCTGTTTCCCCCCACAGCCAACGAGAAGCTGTCGACGACACCAATGCGGCTCGCCGGAGGATTATTTCCGCCTGCTCTGCCCTCTCCTTTTCCCCACGTGCGAGATCCAGATCTCACAACTCGCGTCGATCACCACCTGGGAAGAAAGCAGCCGCACTGGGGGCCTAGGCTCTGTCTCTGGGGTCGGCTTCTCTAGCTACTTTCTAGCCACGCTTAGCTACGCGTTCCATGCCAAAATTATCAATTGTCGATGACGGAATCGACTTTGCCTACTGAAACATGGGATTTCTCCGGCTCTCGTCCTGTTTACCGTTGCTCGACAAGCGGCAAATAGAAAATTTCCGGAGGCACTCCGATTATAGCACGCCATCTTCCCGCCTGCGGACAGCATTGGTTGTAACACATCGAGCAGGAAGCCTGTGGCATGCGGAACTAACGCCAGAACGGACGCCGCGCCTCGCTTCGAGACGTCTCCGGGGCCAGAGGCTGTAGGCTCACTGGCAAATGTCATGAGCATCACGACACTCCTCTGCACATTGCCGTCAAACAGCAACCGTACTACGCGAGGAACGAGAAGTTTGATGAAAACTACGCATCAAACGAGTCGATTCCACCAAAGCTGGCCGTGCTAGCAGCTCGCTTGTGCCACTAAGGTTTGACGGCAGCGTCGAGTCGAATGTACTTGTCACCGTTTCTCCTCTCTTCTCAACTACCGCTTTGCGCCAGCTGCTCTACCAAAGGTAAAGCAGCATAGCTCCAAGCTTACGCGCCCGGGACAAGCCGGAGTCTTGTCTTTTGTCCCTGACCCTTGTCTTTCGTCTCCCGATCACTTGCTTTCGTCTGCCTTGGGATCGTGTAACTTGATCCTCTTTTGAGGAGTCGGTCAAGCTCGAGTGGGCCTCCGTGAGCGTTGGAGGCGTAAGTGATGATGTCGACAATTCGTCGACAATCCTCGGGGGACTGAAATACGCCGAAAGAGTGCTGACCACTGGAATGAGAAGTATATCGTTCGGCTGTAGTTTTGTCTTGTAGTTCTCACTAGGGAACCTTGATTCATTCAAAAGCCCGGTATTGGAAGCACGTTTCTGGCAAGAACTTTACATCCTCACTCTCATCTTACTCAACAACCCTCAAGGTCTCTAATCTTGACAAGCGCTCTTCTCTCTCAATGCGCCATACCCAGACTCATTTCACCTCCACCCCCTTTTACACAATATGGCATCAGACATGAAGGCGACGGTCGAGCCCACCAAGAAGGGTTTCTCAGTTTGCGGCTACGAGAAGATTGAGTACGACTTCGAGTTTCTCGATGGTGTTTTCAACAAGCAGAACAGCCAGCTGGCTGACTGCTACTCGCGCTGGAAGCGATGCCTTGCTGTCATGGACCTCAACATCTTCAACATTTATGGCAAGGAGATGAAGGAGTACTTTGACCACTACAACATTGAGCTCAAGATTCACAAGACCATGATTGGAGAGAAGGCTAAATCCATGGAGACGTTGCTGAGCATCGTCGACTCAATGACCGAGTTTGGCGTCTACCGCAAGGTGAGCAGTTCTTGTTTTCAGTCGTCGAAGCTATCTAACACCAATTGAAGGAGCCCGTTCTCGTTGTAGGAGGTGGTCTCGTCACAGACGTTGCCGGGTATGTCTACCCTGAAATTTCCCCTGACTTGCTTGATACCTAACAAAGTCTAGCTTCGCATGCGCTGCCTACCGCCGCAACACACCCTTCATCCGCATACCCACAACAGTCATTGGTTTGATTGATGCTTCGGTATCTATCAAGGTCGCTGTCAATTACGGCAACTACAAGAACCGTCTTGGCGCGTACCACGCGCCGACACACACCTTCCTTGACTTCACTTTCCTACGAACTCTCCCTACCGCGCAGATCCGCAACGGCTTTGCCGAGCTCATCAAGATCTCTACTTGCGCACATCTTGAGACGTTCAATCTGCTTGACCGCTTCTGCGAGGAGTTGATCAAGAGCGGTTTCGGTCGCTCTGATGGAGCTAGCAAGGAGGTTAGAGATGCGGCTGACAGGATCAACCGCAACGGTATCCATGAGATGTTAAAGCTTGAGACGCCCAACCTGCACGAGATCATGCTTGATCGTGTCATCGCCTACGGCCACACGTAAGTTCTTCTTGTCCTGCATACGCCACACAAGAAGTTCTTGGAAGCTAATTTGCGCAGTTGGTCACCCCTCCACGAGCTTTCCCCTGATGTGCCCCTGCGCCACGGCCACGCCATCTCCATTGACATGGCGTACTCTGCAACTCTCGCACACGTCCTCGGCAAGCTCTCCTCAAATGAGCACCGCCGCCTGCTGAACTTGTTCTCCCGCGCCGGTCTGTCCATGGACCACCCGCTGTTCGACGAGGCCATGCTCGACAAGGCTACCTCTGCTATCCTCAAGACCCGTGACGGCAAGCTGCGCGCTGCCGTGCCCTCACCCCTGGGCTCCTGTGAGTTCCTGAACGACATTTCCCACGAGGACATGTGCGCCGCCCTCAAGGTGCACAAGGATCTCATGAAGGAGTATCCCCGCCAGGGTGCCGGCCTCGAGGCTTACGTCGATGCCAGCGACACTGGTTACACTATCAACGGCTCCTCTGTGGAAGATGAGTCTCGCAAGTACATGAACGGTGTCGAGCAGACCGTTACACGCGATGATACCGTCTCCTCCAACGGCTCTTCGACACCCGAGTATGGTTTGTCCAATGGCAAAAACTTGGGCCAGGACAAGGCTACCTATGCTTCAGCTGGCTTTGAGCCTGAGGTTTTGAAGAAACTGAACGCCGAGGAGATGAAGAGTTCCAGCGGCTATGGCAAGGTTCACGTTGATGAGGAGTGTTGCTAAAAGCATACTAAATTTACATTTGTTAAGCGGCGCAACATATCTTGCTAGTATTATTGCATCATCGTGGGGGTCATAAAGCTCGAGCACAGCACTCGATGAAAATTCAACGGATGGATATGTCACATTTTCAGAGCATTAACAGCGTGTGCATGCGTCTCGAAGGTTGATCTTGCCTGACATAAATCACGTTGTCCACACTTCCAAGGAAGGACATAGGCCGTCCAAAAAACCGGGATTCCATCTAATCAATCCCAGTGTTCTCATATTCTTCTCACATTGAATCTAGACCCCCCTAACACATCACTCGCAAGTGACCCATGCAATATCCTATTTCTCCGTTACTCTACAACGTCCTCAGGGAAGTCTGGGTAGAATTCCGAACCCATAAATCCACAACCCACATCCACAAATCCTCTCTCTCCCGCCTTCGACCCGCAACATCATAGACCCTCCTATGCTCCCGACTCGTCACCAACCAAAAACATGTTGCAAGACATCAAAGCCTGCCCGGCTAGCTCAATCGGTAGAGCGTGAGACTCTTAATCTCAAGGTTGTGGGTTCGACCCGTAAGTTACAGGATCCTCTCATTCGAGGTGTTGAATATCGTTGCTAATTCCTCCCAGCCACGTCGGGCTCAATTCCCGTCCGCGATTGAAGCGTACTTCTCTATTTTCGGAGGATTACTTCATCCACCCTTTTTTTTTTTTTGGCCCTTTGTAGTAGGTTGATGTAAACATGCTTGTTTATTGAGCAGAAGCAAGAAGGCTTTTGTGAGTGGGAAGTCAGCAGTATGGAATTTGCGAGTCCACAAAGTTTTGGGTGACTGGCTGAGGGAGTATCATATCAGCTACAGAGTCAGCACCAAAGGTGCCAACTCTGAGTGTAGAACGGAAAAAAAAGATGGAACTCTGGATCTGTCAATCTGGTTGATCTCTTTATTTCTCTAGACGGTTTAAAAAAGCAAACGCCCGTCTCAACGATTTTTCATGTACTCATACACTTTTTCTGCCTTTTCCATCTCCAATGGCCCACTCTGTCGTCTCCAACCCTTGATTCTACGGTTCTTGTGTGATCCTCGAGGGTAAGACTCCAACGGCCGGGCTCAGTCAGAATCGCCCACCAGCCAACCCCCCTCCGCCGCAGCGCGCGTGAGCAACGCCGCGCCCCTCTCTGCGAAGTCACGGCGCCTGCGCTTGGCTCTCGCACGCTTGGCCGCACATTTACCCTTCTCCCCCTGCAGGGCATCCTCGTCCACTTCGCTAGAATCCGAAAATGCGACCGCCTTCTAAGCGTCCTCGTTGGCAGCGGCAGTGGCATCTTCGGCTGTATCAGCAGCAGCAGCAGCGGGCTCGGCGTCCATCTCCTCGGGCGTGGGGGCGTCCTCAATGTCAATGAGTTCCTTGTCCGCAACATAGGCGTCTTCCTCCGCCGCCTCCGCCTTCTTGGCGGCCTCATCAATCTGCCTCTGCTTCTGCAGGCTGTTGTTGATGAGCGGGGTGGTGTCGTTGAAGATGCGCAGCAGCATGGCCGTTCGGTCCTCCTTGGGCAGCATGAGGTTGAGCGAGTGAATGCTCTTCCACAGAGGGAGCGCCATGCGCTCGCTAAACGCCGGGTCGGAGCCGTCAGGCTCGACGCGGAGCACGCAGCAGCCCATGCCAATGTCGCGGACGCGCTCGCCAATCTCGCCCATCTGCTCCCACTCACCGTCGGCGATGCGGGGGAACATCTCGATGAGGAGGCGGCGCAGCGTCTCCTTCTTGGTGAGGCGGACGACTCGCTGCTCGCCGACGTAGCCCTGAAGGATGGGCATGCCCTCGGATTGGATGCGCCAGCGGCAGATCTCGGCCGAGGGAGCGTCCTGCTTCATAAACATCTTGACGCCGCCGTGGATGACCTTGATGCCGCGGCCCTCTTTCTCGGAGAGGATGTCGCGGGCGAGCGCCGAGGTGTAGTAGACGGCCTTGGCGGGCTCGCCGGTGGCGTTGCGGACCATGTAGCGGTCGTCGGGGAAACGCGAGGAGATGTGATAAAATTCTCTAATGTTCTTGATGACCTCGTGCTTGGGGTCCAGGTACTTGAACGGCTCCTCGACCCGGCCGTGGATGTTGCGGTTCGAGTTCTTGGGCTTCTCTTGTGTCGTCTCGAGCTTAGGCTTCTTGGTCTCTTGGGTCTGGCCGTCAGCCGTCTCGTCTTCTCTTGGTCGCTTGACACCGTTCGTAGCATCCTGCTCAGCCTCCTCGGCCTTTTCCTCACTTTTTTCATCTCCATTGGCATCGGCGGGGGCCTCGGCGGCCGTCTCAGGGGCCGTCTCTAGAGCTGCCTCGACCGTCTCTTCGGTCTTCTCTGCAGCATCGACCTCCATCTTCGTCTCGGCGTTCTCGGTCTCGGTCACGGGTGTGGCAGCTGTAGTCGCTCCGTTCGACTTGGTGGACTCGTCGCCCTGCTTCTGGTCCTCGGGACGGATCTTGACCTCGGCCTTCTTCTGCAGAACGGTGATGAAGAAACCACCAGTGTCCTGCTGATGAGCGTAGACTCGCATGCAACGCTCGAGAGGCAGGTCGGCGCAGACGCTGCCCTCCAGCGGCGGGAACATGCTCTCGACGAGTCTTCCGGGAGCAACACCCTCCGTGCTGTTCTTGGTCCATTCATCGACCTCGGCCTGGGAGCCCCACAGCCTGCCAGACTTGTCCATGATCTGCCATTTCTTCATACCAGGAGCACGAACGAGACCCTGCAGCTCGTTGCTGCAGTCGACGATCTCAACCTTGTCCGGGCCACCAGCACGATCGATAGCGGCCGCGACGACAGACTCGTTCTCGACGGGGTTCATGCTGCAGGTGGAGTAGACAACGCGGCCTCCGACCTTGAGCATGGCGAGTGCGCGCAGCAGAATTCTGACCTGGGTGACGTGAAGACCCAGCGCATTGCCGGGTTGCCAGTCCTTCCACAGGTTCATGTTCTTTCTCATGGTGCCATCACCGGAGCACGGCACGTCGGCGAGGATTCGGTCGAATTTTAGGTATCGAGGCTTGGTCGGGGTCTCGGGGTTTGAGGGGAGCTTGATCGCAGGGTACTGAGTGGCGTCGTGGTTGGTGACGAGCAAGTTGGGAGATCCGAGACGCTTGAGCTGGTGAACAAGCATGTGGCCGCGCTTGTAATCGGAGTCGTTAGCGATGAGGAGGCCGGTGGTGCGGCCAGAGTCCGAGGGGTCGGCCGAGAGGTCAGCCTGGCGCTCCTCCTCCGTCTCATCGCCGAGATCGAGTCCGTCCTCCTTGGCGAAGGCGCGCAGAACCTTTCTGACTCTCGCCTCCTCGCCCTGATGGATCATCTCGAGAAGCTGACCAGCCTTGCTGCCGGGCGCAGCGCACATATCCAATACAGTCATGCCGGGGCGGACGTCCATCAGGAGGGGAGGAATCATGCTGACGACCTCCTGTCTGCTGATGTTGCCGACAGTCGTCTCGGAGACCAGGAACTTCTGGAAAGCGGCAAAGGGGGGATATTTGCGAATGATGTTCTTTGGGGTGGTCATCCACCAGGCGAGCTCGTTGGGGTACCAAGACAGCGGCTTGGGGGGCTCGACGGTGCGTCCATCGGCGTGCTGGATGTTCTGGATTTCGGGCATATATCGAGTTTGCAGCAGCTTCTTCACGGCCAAGGCGTGACTGAGATTTGGGGTCAGTTGAGTCCGCGCGAAAAGACGTTTGTTTCCGTCGAGTGACAACTGCCTACCCTTTGGAGCCGCAGAAGCGGAAGCTGTTTGGCAGATCTCTGCGCAGCGCATCCCAAAAAGGACCCTGCTCCTCCTCAGAGAGACCAAAGATGGTATTGTAGTAGCGCTGCAGTCTCTCGTTCTCCTTTTTGACGGCGGGGTAGCTCTGCCACGATTCGCTGCGAGGTTGACGACCGCGGTCGCCGCCGCCCTCGGCATTGCTGCCGCCGCGACCCTTGCCCTTCTTGCCTCCCTAATGATTATTGTCAGCGCGAAACAGGCAGCAGTCAATCGAAAGCAGCTCGAGACTTACTCTGAACTTGCGACCCATGGTGCGTCGCGGGGGTTTAAGTTGACGTGCGGGGAGGTGTATGAGTTGCGCACGTGTGTGTTGTTTGGGAGGAAAGAAATTCAGCGGCTAGGTCCAGGCCGATCCTATCAGCGTGGTGGGTGGTGTCGTGCGGTGTGAAATTTTGCCGTCACCAGAGAAAGAAAAAAAAAAAAAAAAAAAGTTGGAGGTTCGGGCAGAATGCGCCAACATGCGGCTAGCCCCTCGATTGGAGATGATTGACCAATCAGAAGACAGGAATGAAAAGCAGCTATTCACCCCGCATCGCATCCCTGCACTCCCAGGGTCCGCCCCGGCTTGTATCCGCTCAAGCCCGCTAAGCCCGCTGAGAAGCGTCCCGCATTCATCAGAGAGTTCCATCGACGTGCCCAAGCCTCCTCTCAAGCAAGATATTCGGCAGCCTTCATCTCATCATCCTCCAATCTGCGGTGCCACGAATGAGATTTGCATTCTGGGGACATCGGCTGCTTAAGTTCCTTGTAGATATTCTCGACTTACACGGGATGAGACTCAGACGCGACACCGATTACACTACTCTACACTCGGGAGCCCAAGCTCCCTAGAAGTCTGCACCTGTTAGATCCGTGACATCCGCAGGGCTCAAACGGCAAGCGTGCGCTTTCGGTTGCCTTTGAGAGCCTCTGTTCACCATTGCGGAGCGCATTCCGCTTTTTTATTAAAGTCACAAGCAATTCTCTCGGTCCTCTCCGTCGTATTAATAACTAGACGACGATTGGGCTCTGCCTGAGTGGGCACCGAGGCACGCACGGTACACATGTATGTCATGGATGGGCCCCAAACGCCAGAGTGGCACCACGACGTACTTTACAATGCAATGCCGGGTTGCCTCGGGACCCGGCGGTCGGGGGCGGGTGACCAACCTTAGCAGCTCCGGTCTCGATTCCCATCTTGATACCCGCGACAGTCTTTCCATTTTGTTAGTGAAGCTGTATCCGCTAGACAGGCCAGTGGGGTCGGCAGCCGCAGCTTGAGCTATCCGCAGTAAAGCTTATTTGCGAACCTTTCGGATTGACGTTGGCGTGGCTAGCGTGGGCTGATCTCTCATACTTCCTCTCACTTTTATAAAGCGCCCTCGAACCCGCCTGCGTAGATGAGAGGATTTTTTTCCATTCTCATTAGAAGAGTACACAACACTATTACCTTATTCTGTGAAGTGAACCCCCATATCCAACAGAAAACATGGCACCTTCAACCTCAGTCAACCAAGTCCCGGATGCGGACACCTCTACCGTCAAACACACAAACGGCAATGGCGTCCCGCCCAGCTCCACCGACGCGCTTTCACAAAAGCAGGACAGGACCAAGACCATAGAGGTCAAGGGCCTTCCCCACCTCCAGAAGTTCGAAGACCCGTACCAGCAGCGTCAGTATCTCAAAGAGCGGCTGGCACTGGGATTCCGTATTTTCGCAAAGAACGGCTTCGACGCTGGCGTCGCAGGCCACATCACAGTTCGGGTACGTCACTTTCCGTCTCAGATGCACAACAGAAACCCCAGCCCTGTAAATCGTTTTGTGACTAATAATGTCGCTGTCTAAAGGATCCCGTTGAGCCGCACACATTCTGGCTGAACCCGTTCGGCGTCGCCTGGCCACTCCTCAAGGCATCTGACCTGATCCGCGTGGATGAGAAAGGCGAGGTAGTCGAAGGTGGTCCCGTCAGACTCTTGAACACGGCCGGTTCGTCCTCTCCCCAAGGCCGACTTCACCGTGACCTACCAATGATCAAACTGACACCCCTCTACAGCATACATGATTCACCACGCAGTCCACGAGGCCCGCCCAGAAATCAACTGCGTAGCCCACTCCCACTCCCTCTACGGCCAGGCCTTCTCCGCCTTGGGCCGCAACCTCGACATCACCACCCAGGACACCTGCGCCTTCTACAACGACATCGTCCTCTACAATACCTTTGGTGGCATCGTCCTCGGCAAAGAAGAGGGCCTGCGCATCGCCGCCGCACTGGGCGACAAGAAGGCCGCTATTCTGCAGAACCACGGCCTCATCACGTGCGGCAAGAGCGTTGAGAGCTGCGTCTACTGGTTCCTCAGTCTCGAGCGCTGCTGCCACCAGCAGCTCCTCGCCGACGCCGCGGCAGGTGGCAGGGGCCACGAGACGGTCAAGGTTGACCCGGAGGATGCCGAGTACACTTACAAGTCCGTCGGACCGGAGTTGGCGGGTTGGTTCTCGGGGAAGCCGACTTTTGACATGATGGAGCACGAGTCGGGTGAGGAGTATAAGCTGTAAGGTTGAAGGTTTTGGTGGCACGGTAGTTAACGAATTGACATATGACACGGAATGGTTTGCTTTGATTAGTATTGATTCTTTCCATAAAGCTTCAATACGTATGTATATTGGCATGTGAAGCTTGCCTCTGTTGCATCATGGAAATTGAAGACGTGCCGTCCTATTTACAGGCCATTACGAACGAGATGTAGTCCATAGATGAAACCCTTTCTACTGAGCTCAAAGTTAATAGTTTTCAACGGTGAGAAGAAGCAGCTTTGTTATACAATACGCTTGAGAATGAGGTACCCGTAAGTGACCTCGGTGAACCTGACAGACCCCATCGCGTCAACAGGTCGATTCGGTTCCGTGAGGGAGATGGCCTTGATGGGCTGACCGGTCTGCTTGGGCTTCAAGCCTCTCCTGTTGATGAGGCCGAGAATCTCGACGTCCTGCGGAGTTTCGAAGGCGGTATCGGCGTTGTTCTTCACGTCTACTATCTCCCGGTCATGAAGAGTTAATGTTGTCCTCGCTAGGCCACACGCGGAATCAGTACTTCAGTTTTTCTATGAGCGTTAGGTACCCATGAGAAAGTCTTTGTACAGCACACGCCTATTGTGGAGGATTTTAAATGGGACGAGCGCTCGTGCATCCAGAAGACATCTCGCTTCTTTCTGGTTTCTATTCTCATTGTTATGAAAGCTTTGAGTCATCCATTACCACAGAGCAGTGGTTGTGCTATCAGGTTAGGACGGGGTCCAGTGGTCGCCCATCGTCTTCCACTGTTGATTCGTGTGTATTACTCGAACCAGAGAAGGATGGAAACGAGTGCGCCTTGAGACCTCCCTGCCTGCCTTGGACGGTCGGCAAGGAGAGGGTCAATGAGGCGACCTACTTCTGGGCATAAGCCCAAGAGATTTCCAAGCCTTGGTACTCGGCGGAAGTCTGGATCCGTCAATTTGTTCGGGGAGGCCTTACCACGATACGACCACATGCCCGTCTTACTTCGCATAGGTCGGAACTGCTAGGAATGTCGCCATCGCCGCCGCTAAAGCTGAGCTACCTGCTCCACCGTTTCCGTCTCTCATATTATCTTTCTCTGCAGCCTCCGCCGGCGCTTTCCTCGCTCTGTGGTTCTGTCAGGTATCTATATTTTTTTGAGGCAAAGGTCCGGGTTTGGATCTGACGCGCAATAAGCAGGTAGCAAAGGTCGTCAAGAGTTGGAGTAATAACCAGATAAAGATGTACATCCTCGATAAGTTCGCGCGACCAAGAGCCAAAAGAAAAGGGGAGCCGATGAGTGGGTTTACGGACAAGTGAAATGGAGGTACGTCCTTCAGTATGGCATGAGCTTGGCGGTAAAGGATTAACCCTAGAGATGTTCTTTTTGCTAGCGGGCTAAGGTGTCCAGGACTGTATGTGATCGGGTAGGCTACTGTGCTCTCTTAGTGATTTGGATGGCGTACCTGTCTTTGTCCGCCTCGGATCTGCCAGCCCAGGACGCGTTTACTCAATGATCGAAGCACGAGCATTGCCTAAACCAACGGTTCTTGACGGCAGGGAGCAGCAGCCCTCTTCAACTGTACGTTCGAGTAAGAACTGGAGGCTGCAACACCTCAGCGCTTCAATTATAGATTCATAGTATGGGAGCTTTGGATATTCATCATGGAGGATTGCTGCGGTTTGGGTTCAGAGTTAGCATGTAGTCAAAAATTCCGCGGCCTTGGAACCGCGAACTAGGTGACGGGACGGGGCGTAGTTTAGTACGATCCCAGGAGTTATGGAGGCCGTCGTCAAAAGACCACCATGGCCATAACAACGTTGAACCGCAACGACCTCACGATTTCCGTCCTCACCGCGCTTTACTCACTCACTCCCATTCTTCCTGCTGCTTTGTATATGCCTCACAAACACGAATGGATTGATGTTTTCCCCGGACTAAGCAATTGGGGCTCGGGTCGGGACCTTGAAGAGGCTCGCGTCCATGATTTTGTGTCGATTTGCCTCCGGAGCCAGTACCTTCGTCTCTAGAATTCGGCGGCGGCAAGCTCCTCGGCCGATATCTTGACGGCTTGGGCGGCTGGCTACCTTACGGCTTTGGTGAGGTTGGAGGCGCTGGCAGAGAGCAGACTGCGCAGTCAGCAAGCATACAATTGCTTCAAGCCCTATCTATTTTCTCTTCTTCCCCGGCGGCGATTCTACCTTGGCGACTTTGGCGGTCATTTCGTCGTACTCAATAGCGGATCTCAGGTAATCTTGGTCATCGCCGGTCACCTATAGCCATACCGCAGTGAACTATACCACAGAGACCTATACCACATGGATCCGTGCTTACTTGGGCCATTATTATCAGGAGTAGTCCGTTTTGTCGGAGTCAATTGGCTTCCATCGGCGGTTGGAGGGTTGGGTGCTATAGCTTTGGAAGCCTGTACAGGATTTGGTTCCTCAGCCGTCACACCAGAGGGAAATGCAGCGGCTGGCATCTTGGGAGGATTCCGGTTTATTCACTGTGTAATAGTCCCGACTCAGGGGAGGACGGAAACGTGGGTGTCTGGTTCCCTCTCGTTACCCAGCCCTAAGTTGCCTCGCCAAAGACAAGAATGCCGAGCAAATCAAGGCACAGCATTCTCTCAACGCCTTTAGATCGTCGGCCATGTCAAAAAACTTGCCCGTCCTCTTGGCCCAGACCCAAGACCGAAAGGCCAACTTTGTTTTTTTTGCAACAAAACACGGCATCCGTTACATGGCAACAAGCTAGGCAAAGGCAGGTAGTTCAGTATATATGGGTTGTGTCATCTGTACCCTTCTACCGGTAAACACGAAGCATGGATGCTTCTTTCTATATGTATAGGAAATCCCATCCCGATGTCAAAAGGACACGCATGAGAGCACAATCTATGACACGCTGTTCTAATGCATCATGGCCGACTTCTTTGCACACAACCACCCCTGGCGCCTCTAGTCATCTTACACGCTCAGATATGGGTGGATTCTCACAAAACAACAACGTCACCCCCTTTTCTATTCATTTCCCTTCCCCAAAAAGCACCTCCAAATCCTTCCTCTCACCACTGTGATGAACCATGTCATAAAACACGCCTCGCGCCCGGTACAGCTCCGCCGGTCGACCCGCCTCGACGACCCGCCCGGCCCCCATGACCACGACCGTGTCGTAGTCCGCAATCGTCCGCAGGCGGTGGGCGATCGTGACCAGCGTGCGGTCCTCGCCCGGTGCAACCTCCCTCCTCAGCACGGCCTGGATCCCCCTGTCCGTCTCGTAGTCCATGCTCGCCGTCGCCTCGTCCAGCAGCATCAGCTTGCTGCCCCGGACGAGCGCGCGGCACAGCGAGAGGACCTGGCGCTGCCCGTGGGAAAAGTTCTCGCCCTTTGCGTTGACCACCGTCGAGAGCGCCAACGTGGACGAGTCCTGCGCCAACGCGGCAGCGGCTGCGTCGTCCGCGTCCGTGTCGGTGTCCGAGGAAGACTGCTGGTACTGGAACGAGGCGATGCCCTGGCACGACTCGAGCGCCCTCTCGAGCACCGGCTCGGCAATCTTGCCCGTCGGGTCGAGGTTCGTCCGCAGCGTGCCGTTGAAGAGCACGGCCTCCTGCGGGATAATGGTCAGCGCCTCGCGGAGGCGGCGGCGCGGGATCTTTGTGATGTCGATGCCGTCGTAGAGGATCTGGCCCGACACGATGTGCGTGAAGCGGAGGAGCGAGAGGACCAGCGTGGATTTACCGCTTCCCGTGCGGCCGACGATGGCGACCCTCTCGCCTGCCTTGAACTTGAGGTTGACGTCTGTGAGGATGTTGGGGCCGTCCTCGTCGTAGCGGATGGTGACGTTGCGGAACTCGATTTCGCCCGTCGACGGCCACGTTTTGGGGATGACGTGGGCCGGGTCGTCGGTGTACTCGCCCTCGCCATCGCCCTCTTCCGGGTACGATTCGTCTGCCTTTTCCTCCTTCTCGAGGCCGGCGTACTCCTTGATACGTACAAACTGTTCGCCGTTAGCTACAATGGCTTTTTACACACGCATATACCTCCCAAAGAATAGAAGACGCGCGTTACTTACACTCTGCAGCTCAACCTCGAGATCGTTCATGCTGCGGACGAGCCCCAGGATCGTCTGACTCAAGCCAGTCGCATTGTGCAGCGAGAAGCCCACCAGTCCGGCGCCCACGAGGCCGGCCTTGGACACGGCAATGATACCCGCGCTCAAGCCGACCAGGGCCGTGATGACATCGACGCGCATGGCGACCCAACGATTACAGTTAAAGTGCGCCTCGGCCGCCCTGGACCAGACGCGGAGCTTATCGGCCAGGTTGTCGCCAAAGGTATTGGGCATGCCGCTCCGCGCGCGGATGATGGGCAGACCCGCCAGGGTGTCTGCAAACTGCGAAAAGATGGGCGACTGCGACGACGCGACGAGGCGCTTGATGGTGACGGCGGTGCGGGTGTAGATCTCGCCGACGATAAGGCCGCAGGTGGAGGCGACGGCGGCGGGCACGATGAAGATGGGCATGATGGAGCTGATGGCGAAGATGCGGATGACGAGGGAGATGGAGCTCTCCAGGAACGAGCGAAGCTGCTGGCTGACGCTCAGGTCGAGGGAGGACATGTCGCTCGAGAAGCGGTTGATGATGCGGCCGACGGGCGTCTTTTTGTACCAGGCGAGGGAGACGCGCATGACGGCGCGGATGAAGTCGTTGTGCAGCTTGCGAGCGGCGTGCCACGCGCCGTTCTCGAAGACGAGGAAGACTATGGCGTAGAGGACCGACTCGGTGACGGTGACGGCGGCGTAGATGCCGAGGTAGAAGGCGATGTCGACAGCCACCTCCCTGTCGTAGGCATCTACCCAGACGGAGAGCCACAGGGTCCCTCCCAGGACCGAGAGCTGCGACAGGAGCATCAGGAACATGCAGAATACGGCGTACCCCGGGCCGCCAAAGTAAGTCATGTACTTGAAGACTGTTTTTCACACGTTTGTCAGATCAACCTCGGGAGGAACGGTCAAAGAGATGGTCACACTTACACATCAACCGGGCGCTCTTCCCGCTGGCCTTCATCTCTTGAGCCACGGCATCTTTCGTCCCCTTATCGACGGCGACCTTGCTGGTGTCGTTGAGCGAGTCCGTCTGCGTCTCGACTTCAGTGTCCGAGTTGTCAGAAACATCGGTACTACTCTCGCCTTCAATGTCTTTGGCGACGGCGACCGCGTGCCGGACGACGCCAATGTTCTGTTCAACGTGCTTGACCGCGCCATCCTCGAGGGTCACGGCGACGTCAGCCTGGGCCGCAACCCAGGGCTGCTGCGCCACCAGGACTACGGTCCGGCCCTTGAGCAGGTCGGAGCAGAAACACCGCTCCCAGAGCGAGGCCGCCGTCTTGGCGTCGAGGGCCGAGAAGATGTCGTCCAGCAGCAGCAGGGGCGCCTTTGAGTACAGCGCCCTGGCCAACGCCACGCGCGCCTTCTGGCCTCCGGAGAGGGACGCGCCGTTCTCGCCCACGACAGTCTGGTCGCCGCTGTCCAGTTCCCGCAGGTCGACGGGAAGACAGCACGCGTTGATAACGCTGTTGTAGCGCACCGGCTCGAGGGGGCTGTTGAAGAGAATATTCTCCCTAATGGTATCGTTTTGCAGCCACGAGGTCTGTGAGGCAAAGGCGACGTCCTTGGGCCGCGTGATGGTGCCGCTCTCCTTGACTGTCTCGCCCAGGATCGCCAGCAGGAGGGTCGTCTTGCCGCTGCCGCTAACGCCCGAGACGACGTTGAGGCCGCCCGAGACAAAGTCGATGGAGAGGTCCTTGAGCTGGAACGAGGCCGTCTTGTTCCGACGGAACGTGGCGTCTTGGATCTGAAGAGGGCCCTCGGGGTACTCGTCCAGCGGCGTCGTGGTTGCAAAGTACTTGTCGAGACGGCTGATGGCGATGGCGGCGCCGGTGATCTGCCTCGACATGTAGGCGACCTGGCCGACGTTGCGGCGGATCGTCTTGACCAGGTACGTCGTGGTGAAGGCCGTGGCGGCCGTCATGGGCTGCCCGCAGACGCCGACGTAGAGGGTGAACATTGTGATCATGGAGATGTAGGGCATGAGCGCGCTGATCTGGTTGAGCATGACAAAGCTGAGAGACACGCGCCAGAGGTCGCGCTGCTCGCTGGCGCGCGCGTCCTCAATGGTCTCGATGATGGCGTCCTCCCAGGCAAAGTATTTGACGGCGCGGATGGAGGCGAGGTACTCGGAAACGAGCGAGATGCGGGCATCCTGCGCACGCCTCGCCTTCCTCGTCAGCCGGCCCATGAGTCGCGAGATACTGACGGAGACGGGTGCGGCCAGGAGGAGGAGCAGCGTGCCCACTAGGGCGGGCCAGCCGAGCATCCTGTACAGGCCGACGACAGCGATGATTGTGCCCACGGGCACGCCGGTGCTGGCCATCACGATGTCGCGCGAGCTGAAGATGACCTGCACGTCGGCTGCCATGAGATTCGCCAGGCGGCCGGCCGAAGTCGTGGACCGGGCCTCCTTTGCGTTCTTCTTGTCCTTGTCCTTATCCTTGTCCCCCCCTTCGGTCTTGGGCGCGAAAATGTCCTCCTCGAGCTCCATGGACTCCATGGCGCGATGGTATAGCTCCTGCGTCAGGGCGGACCGCAGGCGGACGACCAGGCGGGTCGACGTGAAGATATACTGCTGGAACAGGACTGAGCGCGTCAGGGGACCGCAGAACATGAGCACGAGCCAGAGCCATGGTTTAATGAGGGCGCCTTGGGGATCCGCGAGGTACCCAAGAAGGTGGTACAGGCCGTACGGGGCGATAAGCTCGGAGGCGTACGCCGAGGAGATGTAAAAGGCCATGAGGTTGACCTCCTTCCGCAGAAGATAAAAGAGCGTCCACGTCGTCGTCACGCCTTTGGCCCTGGCCTTCTTGATCCTCTCGAGAAGCAGCAGCGGCTCGTCGTACCAGGGCAGCTGGGGCAAGTCGTCGAGGACGACCTCGCTGCGGGCGCCCTTCCACATGACGGGCGTGAGCCACGCAAAGGTCAAGTAATAATTGGCCCAGCTGCACGTCTCCTCCGGCGCGGGTCCGCGGGCCTCATAGCCCCCAGGCACGTCGCTTGTGAGCGAGGGGGGAACCCACTCCCTGGGAGTGATGATGGAGATAACTACGGCGGCAACCAAGCTCGTGAGGCCGCCCTTGACCGGCGCCGCGACAGCGCACTCGGACGAGGCCTCGATGCACGGCAGGGCGGAGGAGGCGGCGAAGATGAGTAGCTCGAGGCCGAGGACGAAGTTGACCTGGTGCAGGGCGACGTGCCGCCACTCGAGGTCGTTGACGAGCCTCGAGAGGCCAAGGACGAAGGCATAGGCCACGGCGAGGGTGTTGAGCCATGACGACTGGCCGCGGGCGGCGGCGACGGCAAGGAAGGCCAGGGCGGCGGCGCGGGCGAGCTGGGCGAGAAGTTCCCAGGGCCATCTGATGGACGCGGCGCGAACGGTGATAGCGGGATGAGATGATGAGGGCTTGGTGCGGCGGCGGATCAGGCGTGAGACGGTCCAGAGCGCGGAGAGGAGGAGGACGAGGGCTTGGGGGTACCCCGAGTCAGCGAGTTGGGTCACGTCGTTGATCCAGGCGAGCTCTGTGTGGCTATTCGGTGGTTCTGTCAGTTATGTTTGTTTTCAACGTCTACCCAGATATGGTATGTGAGAGCGTTGGGTGAAACTAGAAGTGTCGACCACGGCACTCTCACGCTCCCTCGCACACAAGACATGAAAAAGGTTTTTGATGGCATAGAGTCAAAGGCTCCCAATCAAGCCCAGCGACGAGTTGCAGAATGATGAACCGCTCCCATCTTTCTATCACAAATCTATACCTGGACTCTCCCCTTCATGGACATGCAGCGGTCAAACTTCTGTGCACTCACCTCTGAGCAGTCGCCAGCAAGGTCTGGGACCGCAGTTGTGCTGCGGTTGCGAGCGCAAAGACTCGCTCGGGTACGAGTTCCATCATCGTTAAAGGAAGCGTGGCGGCGTCGTCGTCGACCCGCAGTCCCGTCTCTGACGGCGCTTCTCGTGATGTGAGATTTCTGACGACTACTGCGAACACCACGTCATGAATCACTTTGACAAACGTAGATCGGAGAGTCGTTGAAACGAAGAAATCAGAATTCGCCCGAGGTCTTGTCCAAGGTCCTATGAACCGCCTTCGGAGGACTAGGCAATTATGCAGCCAAGAAAGAGATCTAAACAAAGAGCCAAAGAGCCGACATACATCAAGAAGGTGAGTGAAAGGATCTCAAGACGTTCTATCTTATTCGGAAAAAGTTGGATTAGATAGGTACGACGCAGAGCAATCAGTTAGCAGGGGAGGGATTCCTAGCCTCCTAGGCTGTGCACTGCGCTTGTGCGAATGGGAAACGGTCAATTGAGGCCGTCTACCGGGGGACCCCAGCTAGGCAGACAGGTCCCCGGTTGGATGCGTTCGTCCTCGTCGACTGTTCGTTCATCCATCCCTCAGGGGGGGGAGGGGGGCCGATTGTTGAGAATGCGGGAGCGTTGACTGGTAAGGAATCTGCCTTAGGAGGGTCACCGGTTGCGAAAGCGGCATCCAAAGTGTTGCAATTCCAGACGCGGCAACCCCCCCGACCGCCCTAGGATCAATATGTTTATCAAGTCGACCAAGGCCTAGCCCAACTGATCGTCATCCACTGCTCAAATTCCCACAAGTTCCCTGTGCATTGGCTTTTGCATGGGGCAGGCAACTCCAGTTTCAACCGCAATGCGAGTCAACAAGATGATACTGAAAGAATCAAATTCCAGCACAATTCTCGGGCAACTTTGCCGTGTCGGGACCGGGCTTTGGGGCCATTCGTCACTGGCCAAACTTCGGAGCGGGTGCGGAATGGGGATGCCGGTTTCCAGGAGGGTTATTCGTAGCCCCCCGTAAACCTTTGCCGGCCGAAGCGCAGCCAGCGAATCATTGACGCTACTGACTTAGCACGAAACACCTGGTCGGTAACGGTCCAGCCTGACAAAAGTCCCGATTCCAAGGTACCGTATTTACGAATACCTACTTTGGCTTACTGATAAGAAAGCTGACTGTATTTCCTCAGAGAGACTTTGTACTGGGCGTATCCCAAGTTTCATGTCCATGCGGTCCAGAAGGTGCCTTGCGCCCCATTGCATCCCGTCCACCTAGCTCCCGCCGCTTGCAAAGCTTGACTTTTCAAGGAACCTAAACTTCTCGGGAGGCCATACCTATCCAGCCATATTTACACGCTTGAAATAAGACTCTGCACCAGGCTGGGAGCATCGTGCTTTCTCCAACAGGAGCGATGTGAACCGGGAAACCCACACTTTTTTTTTTTTCTGATCATCGCCTGTGTGTTGCCTTCGTGCTTGCTTCACTCCCTAGAACCCCGTATCGACTCGTCAACCCTGAGCGCAAAAGTTTGAGATCCTGAAAAGTGACGCAAGTCTGCCTGCCCGAGAGCATCAAAAGCGCCCAGTCAAAGTCACGGAGCGTCCGTATGCGGCCGTGCAGCGGGCGGCCGCTGCACCAGAACACCCACCAGATTCCACCCCTGCACCCCATCTTATTCCTCCCCGCCGCCTCCCCGCCTACCCTGCCTGACATAGTGACATTATCGGCATCCAGGGTCTCGTCGCTCAAAATGGAAGGTCCAGCTCCCTCACCTCGTCCCATTGGATCATGACCGACACCTCGAACTCCCGTCGTCGCCTTTGATATGGCATCATGTTATCCGTGATCCTTTGGTTCCCACTAATCCTCGCCGTTTAGCCGCGTTTTTTTTTTTCTTCCTTTTGACACCACCATCAGAGGAGCAGGCAGCAGTTGTCAAGATTTCCCAAACTCGGTGAGAGGCGACCAAAACACCATCAATTACGTCCAATATATGATAGGTCACTCCAAGATTTCTCAATCTTAGTGAGAAAGAAAAAGAAGACCATTAGACAAGATTAGCACAAAGCGCATTTACATCTAGAAAGAGCATTTAATTACACGTTGGTAGTATTGTCAAAAAGAAAAAAAAACCATTCAAAATTTTCAGACACATATACGTACACTTTGGCCGCCGAGCCATGGAATCCTGCTTCATCATATGTATTTGGTGTGCGATAAAACATTGTTCTTCGAACCTTCTCCCTCCATCTTTCTTTTCTCGCAAAAACCGCGGGCTTGAGAGAAATATACAAAGAGAGAGAGAGGATAGGAGACAAGACAGCACTTTCAACCGCCAGTATAAACGCCCAGCCCAACGCACCCCGTTGGACTTTGGTTTCCCCAAACTTGTTTGACGCCGCCAGGCAATGCAATTAATGAGCGCCACCATCCTTTCCATTCCGTTTCCTTCTTCTCGTTGTGCCAAAAACCAACAATAGGACACGCGACCGCCCCGCTGTCCCCAAAAATTAAACGAAAAAAAGATTAGATGAGAAGACAAACCCCCCGCAGGCTCAGTCTGCCTTGATTGCTCTGACAGATGTACGTTAGCTTCGCTCAGACCAGGGTAGATGTAGTACGGAGAGGGGGGGAGGCGGGGAAAACACGTACCCGTAAATCCTCCTGACGAAAGCGTACGCGCTCAGGAACCCGATCGTCCCCGTCAGGAGTCCGTATACGCAGCACGCCAGGAAGCTGTAGCTGAAAAAAAGCATGCTGCTCACGAAACCGGTGATATGCAGCTTGAAGAAGTAGTACCACACGCAGTACAAGAAGACCCACACGGCGCTGCCGCCGCCGACCGCGAACGACTGCCACCACCAGTTGTAGTTTTCCGCGCATAGCCGCACGTAGATGGTCACCACCGTCACCTCGGAAATGGTCACGATCAAAATCACCGACACGACGGCCAGGAACCCGAACACGTAGTAGTACCCGCTCTTGTCCTGCCAGACGGACTGGAAGACGAAGAGCAGCTCGATGAAGATTACCGCAAAGGGGATCAGGCCCGCGAGGAGGACGGACTGCCACGACTTGATGTACCACGCCTGTCGGGGCACCTGCCGGGCAGTAAGGCTTGTCTTGGTCGGGTGCTCCCAGTTTCCGCTGCGGACGAAGCCGAACCAGGAGCCGGCATAGACGAGGGGCACCTGGATGCAGAGCCAGAGGAATACAATGGCCACGAGCGTGCCAAAGGGGATCGCCGTGCTTGAGGCCTGCGCCCACACAAATAGGTTGAGGATGAAGACGACGCCAAAGAGGAGACCGGGGAAGAGGACGGCAGTGACGAGCGCGTTCTTGCGGAAATCCTGGCCATCAAACGTCTTGTAAACCCGCGCGGAGAAGTAGCCCGAAAATAGGCCAGCGAAGACGAACAGCCCGACACCCACGCTAATGAAGCCGCCGCGGAAGCTGGGGTTGAGGACACCCAGGGCGCTCAGCAGAACGAGCCCGACCGCCATGAAGAGAAGCTGCATCCCCGACCCGACGAGCGGGGCTAGGAGGTAACCCTCCTGGGGCGTCCTGAAGACGTCGGCGTGCAGCAGCTTCCAGCCCGTGACGTCCTCCAGAGCCTCTTCGTCCGAGGACACGTCCGCGTCATTTTCGGTGTCGATTCCGCCCTGGTCAAGCAGTCCGCCGGCCTTCTCCGACAGTCTGGGAGACTTGTTTCCTGCCGTCTTCTTGCGCTTCAGCTTTGGCTTGCCATCCTCGAGGGCCACCTCCTTGTAGCCCTTGATATCGGAGCGGATTGTCCTCGCCAGGATCATCAACACGATGCCCGTGAGCAAACCGCAGATGATGAGGGAGTTGACGATCGCCAGCCAGTGGATCTTCTGGCCCTCCTCCTGGTTCACGAAATACAGGTCCCAGCGCCGCGACCACTCGATGTTGTTGTCCTCGCGGAAGTACACAGAGTAGGTGTAGGGGACGGTGAGCTTGGCGCCGTCGTCAAGATCCTCCTCCTCGTCGGCGGGGTGGTACGAGGAGGACTCGCGGTTGTCCTGCTGCTGCTTCGGCGTCTCGGACGACTTGTTCGGGGCGAGGTAGAGCTCAAAGTTCTGGTCAATGTTCTGCAGGTCCGCGGGGCACCCGTTCTCGTCGCGCTTGTTATTCGGGCCAATGCTTTTTGGGTACACCTCGAAGCCGACGACGACCTTGCCCCCGCGCTCGCCCGCTTTTCCAGGGGCCCTGCGCCAGCGAATGACAATGGTGTGGTGGTTGTTGAGAAAGTAGCGCGGCTTGCCGCTGCTGGCCGAGTAGTCCGTGAAGCCGAGCTTGAAGCCGGCGGCGTAGTACTTGCGGCTCTTGTCGACAGTCACGAAGCTCGTCGCGCCGGGGAGGTTGTCGACAATCCACTCGGTGACGTAGCCGTCCTGCACCATGTCCTTAGCCCGCCGCATGTCCTTGCGGCCGATCTCGCGGCTGCACAGCAAGTTGCACGGCTTATCTTGGCCGACGACCAGGTCGATGTCGGACGTCTTGATCCTGTCGCCGCGGAGGACCTCGCCGAGGTTCAGGGGGATGCTCTGTCCGCTGAGCAAGCCGGTGCCGGGCCTGCGCTGACCCGTCGGCGGGCACACGAAGGGGAGGTCGTAGTAGGCATACTGCAGCTGGGTATTGTCGGAGTAGACCTTGTTCACTAGTAAGGGCACCTGCTCGCCGTCCTTGTAGCTCTTGATCGACCAGCCTGTTTGTCCGGGACTGTCAGTGGCATTGCTCGAGCGAGGTTATGTATCTTGATCCTGGGCTTCCTGAGGGTGCCGAACCTGGAATGTAGAATGCGTCGGCTGGTGCGGCGAGCAGCAGGGAGACGAGGCATCCCAAGCCGGCCTTGAGCACCTGTCGCATTGTGATGTGTAGGATCGCGAGTCGTCGATTCTATGTCCGCATAGGCTGTCTCGGCGAGTCTTGTATAAGGTGGTGAATAGTTGTCCAAATAGTGTGGGCGAAGTTTCCTCTGGTGGTCTATTCGAGTACCTGTGTGGTTCGAGGGAATTGGGGCAATTGAGGATAAACTAAGTAAGTCAGGAACGCAATCGAGGTAAGACGGCCGATCGCGTTCAGTCGAGGGTCCGTGGCTGCACGGTGTCTCTCCGCGCCACGCCGCCGCTAATGGGGAGCGGATCAAGAACTGGAACTGGGCGCGCAGTAGCTGGCGTCGAAAGAGAGGACCTCGGTAGGTGGAAACGAGTGGAATCGGTAACGAGTACCCAAAAAAAAGTCTAAATGTATCAAGCTCAAAATCTAGAGGGCCGTCTTGTTGGGAATGACGCAACTGAGCCGCATTTGCCGTTATCGTTTGTTTCGAAACGGGGTCAACCTTGGGGAGGGTTAGAGTGAGATGCTAGTGTTTGCAGTGGACAGGTAGAGTGGCGGCACTCGGAACGGGGGGAAGAGGGACAAGAGGAATACAAACTCCAGATGGAACGGCGAGGAGAGGCGAGGGAATGAAGAGGCAATTGGAAGAAACCGAGGACGCCGAGGGCGGGGCCAGCTGCTGGACGGAAACGGGACGGAATCGGCAGGAAATAAGACCAATTAACAAGGGGGGTGTTGGATGGGCATGGGAATGAGAATGGGAATGGGGGGGTTTGCATGGGCTGCGAGCATGGGGGGGGTTCAAGGTCACTTTATGACCACTGAGGGTGAGTTTCGAAGTTATTAGAGAGAGAAAGAAAGAAAGAGAAAAAAAGAGAGGCCTGGAACATTTCATAAATTGCTTTTAATCATTCACCTTAGTGTGAGATGCCGTCTTCCAGCGTTGCATCGCGGCCGTCGAGTGCTAACCTTCTCTGGAGTGTCTCCATCCGGCATCTGGGGGGCCCCCGCCTCTCTACTACCTTGACATCCTTTCCTACGCGTTTCTGCTCCTATCTCGCGCTTCGCCAAGACCACATGTTTCCCAGAACTAAGACACTCGGCGGGAGGCTTATCGCAACTCACCACCTCAGTAATGCTAGCTGCAGATTCTCAAGATCCAATCCTGTGGACGTAAGAGGGTGGTACAAGCATTGCTGCAGGCTGTTTGAGTCTGATTCCCTCTCCCCGAGTCCCCAACCCCTATATCTGCCGCCGCCTGCTGTCCCGCCGCACCAATCAAGACATCCTGTTGGGGAAGCTAAATCCAAATGAAAGGGGTTTTTGGCATCGTCACGTGTTTTATTGCTATTGCTATGCATGAGCATTGCTAGCATTCTACAGAATCGGATAAGTAAGATAGGGAAGTACGTGAAGAAATGGATAAAAGTTGAATCGCCAGTCAGTTCGAGCACAGCTTACTTTAGCTTAGCTTACCTCACCTTAGCTCACCTCAGAACTTTACGTCTCAGCCTCATCCTCAGCTTCGACTCACCACACTAGAAACGTTGCCATGTGGGACAGACAAACGCTGCTCGCCTTTCCCTTAGTCTCTTACCTTAGTGGGCAGTCACGCGGCTGGCCTCGTTGCTAACAATAGAAACATACGAACGAACCGCTTTCATTCTTCTTCACACATACTATTACATACTATGTACCTCCACCCCTCGTAGGCGGTCGCCCTCCTCTCCGGTATATAGTGTACTAAACCACAAGCACTGGGAGAGTGGGCTGTCAACATGCCGGTGTCAAGACCAGCAAAGATATCGTCATCCTACCACTTCTCACCCGCTTGGTCTCCATTCTCAGTGCCACGGGGGAATTGCATGCAGCTTGTGTCGGGTAATGCCCCCCTCCCCCACCTTTCTCCCCATCACCCATCCTCATCTACCCAGTGGCCCCCAGTGACCTTCCAGTCCGAGCTTCCTGAGAAGTCGATCGTGTCCGCCGGGCGTCCGGAGAGACTACATGTCAACCGACCATTGCTCACCTACACTACTTGACCTGACCTGACCTGACTTGGGTGGAACCCAGAGAAATATAGTCCCGACTCGAACCGAATGAGCAATGGTCGGTTGACCTGCACTCGCGCGTCGGGGGCAAAGCAGAAAAAAAAAGCGGAACATTAGAGACTCCACTGCAATATACATTATATTATACGTTAAAAACTGAAGCAAGAGGGAAATACGGATAAATAAGAACACACATGGGGCCCCCCCTTCATCCTCCGTACCCCCCACCCCCTTTCTTCTACTCCGGCAACCTTAGTCCGGCTCCTTCACCACCGCCGCCCCAACGTCCCGTCTCCGAGGAGCCACACCGCCCGGGCGCTTCTCTTGGCAATCATTCCGGAGGCGGATGTGGCCTCTATGTCATACGGTCCATTTTAAACGTGTCCGTTGAGGGTGGGTCACATTCAGATTCGAACGATGCCAGGTCCCGGATGCTGATCTCGTAGTACGCAAGCTGGCGTCAGTTTTCTTCAAATATGAAGGACGCTGCACGGCATTTGTGTGCCAACGAGCACCTTCTTCGCAAGTTATTGCCAGGTTCACTCGTGATGTTGGTTGCAGAGCAAGAAGTCGATTCGGGAAGGTGACGTACGCGGGCTGAGATTTGAATAATTTTGTCAACTTATTACTATTGCTGTGTTTATTCAATTTGCCTTTGCTCTTTGGGTATCTCCAATTCAAGCAGCTCACAAACATCTCCAGATGAACAACCGAAACGCCAAGTCCTTTTGTCCCAACTTCGGTGACCAAGATTCCAACAGCCAACCAGCCAATATCTTTACTGGTATCATCAACATCGAAATAAACAATGAACAAAGGAAATTACTAAAAAGTGGTATCGCCCATGTGACTCTCCGTAAGTCGTAAGTCGTCATTGCAAGGAAATAAAAGCTCAGTTTGAAAGCCTCTCAAGCAGCTGAAACCTCAGATCGCCTTGCAGACAAGTCGCCGTAGCTAGGCAACACAGCAGTACCCTGAAATTCGGGTGCAGGCTGCTGAAGCAACCTCGGCTGGAGGAATGCGTCCGCTTCAGCCTCCTCCTGCTGAGCCATCACGGCCTCGAAGCTGGGAAGTCCCATGTCCGCCGAATCGAGCTGCACGGGCGGCTCGAGGGCGATTTGCAGAGGGACGTTCAAATTCACCTTGGAATCGCCGACCACCATTGTCAACTGCAGCGTGTAGGTGCGGGAGATGAGGCAAGAGTGAAACGTCGGGATGAAGGTCTTTCGAGATGTGGGCAGCTTGAAAGGAATCTGGAGAGCGGCCTTGTGGAAGATGGGCGACGAGTGGTCCTTGCTCGAACGGCGGCTGCCACTCTGGCGCTGGTAATCCGAGTCGGAAGTACTGCCTTCGCGCATGCCATCGCTGGAATATCCGGAATCGCGGCGAGCGGTGGAGGACAGCTGCTGGCGCCAAGCAACCTTGTCAACCGATGTCGAGAAGAGGGAAACGGAGGTTGAGTAAGCGAGCTGTTGGGTCATGGCATATGCCTCTTGGCTGTTCCCCATGTTGGGGAGTGTCGACATGGGCGTTGCGCCATACCATGTCTGAGCTTGGATCTTGGCCGAGACGGTGTTGACCTTGGGTGGCAGGATATCGGCAGATGTGGGCTCAAAGTTGAGGTTAACCAAGACTGAACCCTCGGAGGCTCCGCGGCCGTCCGCAGTCAAGTAGACAGCACCAGGCTGGGCGGTGGCAGCTGTGATAGTGCCCTGCTTGGAGGAAAAAATGTTCTTGCGAATGGTCTTGGTCTTGCTCAGGGTGTAGTTCTTGTCCTGCTTGGTGATGTTGAGGGGCGGGTCCTCGGGGGAACGAGGAAGGACTTTGATGTGGTGAATGTCCTCCATGACCTTGGTCGGCCTACTGTCGAGCTCTTCCTGTCGCACGACGCGAGCCTTGATGACGTACTGAATCTGGGCCATGTCAGGGGCCATGTCGTCCCTCTCCCAGCCGCCCAGGGTCGGGGGCAGACGCATATGGTAGTCGTGGATGTAATCAGACTGGGCCTTGTGAGTGCAGGCGCTAATTGTCAGGTGGCGAGGAATGACAAAGTTGAAGGGAATGGTGTAAGTCCTGCCGGCCTCGAAAATCCGGGGTACGGGGTAAGCGGATGCGGGAATGGGCATCTCGAGCTTGAGGAAGGTGTGGGAAGAGAGCTGCGGAATCTGAACGGCCTCCAGGCGAGTCCTCGAGATGCCAATGAGGATAATCTGGACAAAATCGAATCGGCTGTCGTGGCTTGGCGTGATTGTGACCTCTCCAGAGATGGGGTTGCCAGAGGTGTAGACCTTGGAGCTGTAGTGGTCGTTGATCTTGACCTCGATGCTCTGCTTCCGGGCGGAGGCTGGCTGTCGGGCGAAGGTGATGACCGAGCTCATGTCACTGCGGGCCGACATCTCGACTGTTGATGATAGAGTGGTGGATGAGTGGGGGATGAGTGGTGACGATGAAGACACTGGGAACGTCCCCGTGGTGGGGTGTAGCTTATATGTCTGTAGGCGATGGCTTGACTGAAGATCCTCCAGATATTGGATAGGAACCAGATGAAGTTGGATGGTTGACAATGTGGTAATGTGACCAAGTTGAAAGCCTGTGAGTGGTACGGAGAAATATAGACACTTCCATGACAAGAGGGTGGGCGAGGCGTGTCTCTTTAAGGCCGGGTCAAAGTCAAGGATGGAGTGGAGGAGATGGATGGGCAGGAGGACTGTAGTGCAGCATGTTTGTTTGATTCGACTTTAGTAGATCCATGGCAGCAAACGCCAGGGCCGGAAACAAACCCTCCACCTCGACGTCTTTGCATTTGCAAAGGGCGGGCTCCTCATCCTCAACCTGCGTGATGGAGGGAGGTGGGAGACGTACCGGTACCTGGCCAAGGTACATGAGGTACTCGGGTGAGGTACCTTACCAAGAGTAGTGGTGGCATGTGCACGGGTGGGAAACTTGCGCCTGCACAGGCAATGGCCGATGGGATGGAAGAATTCAGACTTAATTAGAGAGCCAGAGGTGGAAAGGTGGAGAAAGGACACCAGACGGACAAAACCTGAAGGATCCGATGGATGGAACCCACCAGGATGGTGAATGGCATGGCTGATGACTGGCGCTCCAAAGGCGAGCTTGGTCTTGATAAGTGACGCCCTTCATGTCGAGCTTACCTTACCTCATACGACAGTGCGCGAGGGAGGTTCCCAGCGGTGCATCCCCCGACTCCCCTCCCGTCTGTACCTACCTTATGGAGCGGAGCCCTGCGGTTGATGGCCGCCAGTGGAGACTATGGCCCTCAGAAGGTCGCCAGCACTGAGCAACTGTGACAAAATGGCATGAAAGGCGTGTATGGCAGCTGTGACTCCACGTTCTGCTCCGCAACTTCTCCGGGCCATCCAGGTTTCTGTCGTCCCCGGTTTCCTGTTGCAGGTACCTTACCTAAGCGCATCAACAAAGGTGTAATGACATGACAGTCCATCGTTGCGCAGGGACGGGAGGATTCACTTCTAACAGATTCGGATTCCAATGCTCCAAATGATGCCATTCAGACCGTGGATGCCTTTGGTTTCTCTCCCTGCCGTTTCAAAGCAAAGGCTGCTTAGCATTCTTTCAGATTGGTAATCCAGGTAGCGAATCTGAGATTCAACTTTATTAGCGTGTCGCACTTGCTCGCCAAAAGAGTCACCATGTCAACTTGGATGTCGTGGAAAGGCGCGGGACCCGCTTTACAGTGATGAGAACCTAGCCACATAAAACCTGGAAGGTAATAGCGAGCAAGACCCTTTGACTGGCCCTCCCACCACCCTGACACGGCGCCGATGCTCGGCAAGTGCTCCTTGCAATACACTTGCTTTCTCACGGACGAGACAGTCGCGAGTGACTCTACACCTGCCTACCTACCTACCTACCTACCTTACCTACGGTATTGACTTCATGTTGCTTGGTAATCTGGGTAATCTCCCCCTTCTCAGAATCAAGGGAAACTTTCATCTTGCCGGCCGATGCTTCTTACATGCGTCTACGTCGATTTGCTCTGACCCTCCACCCGCTCGGATTTCCGACCATCACCAACGGACCCTGGCTCCAGCCTCCAGGACAGTCATCCAAATGACATGACGGGTCTACTTCCGATTCTCATGACTGTGACACCAGCGCCAACCACTTAGTAAAAGATCGAGTCTCTCGCCAATCGCAGACACGAATTGACAGTGGTCGAGACTGATGACAATAAACATCACGCTGCCTGCCGAGCAACTTGGCTGCAACCTTGGTCAAGAACCTCTCGTATATCTGTACTATATGCGTTGTTCGATTGGCTCGGCAACCAGATGCTGTCTCTCATGCATACTCAGGCCACTGATATGGCTCGATCGCCTTGTTCCTGTCATGCTGCCGTCCGACGTTGTAAAGTACCTTAGTCAACCGGCGGATCGTCCAAGTTCCGGCGACATTGTAGATGATACTGTTGACATTCAATGTCGCCGGCCATTGCATTCGGAGCTCAATCGGAGCCGTGCCAGACTCCAGCCGCTGCTGTCTCCAGACTGGGGAATGGGGACAGAGCTAGGAAAGCCGCCCCCGCGACACAATGAGAAAAAGCAACTCAAACCGAGTGCGATGCGGGCACGCGGGGAGCAATGATGGGATTCAAGATCTGCGACCCCATCAATCTACCAACGGCTGCAACGCGCCAATCTCCAGACTGTTATCTGCTTCTCACGTCGCCCAAACCTCACCACAGCCCTCTGCGACTTCTGTCAACATCAAGCGGTGACAAGGCGCACGAGACAGCAGCATCACTGCAGCCGGCCAGTCAGTGTCACACTTTTCATCCTGCTAGTAAGGTACCGAGGAAATGTCTCGTCGCTGTTCTTCAATGATCGACCCCAGCGAGTCGCCAGTCCGACACCGCCATTCAATTCAACAGCTTATGCTAGTTCAACCACCCTCTGCGACGATTACGGGCAAAGGATCGGAAACTATCTTCCCTAGCACTTAACTTCGTCATGCTTGCATTATCCAGTCACACGCACCGGTAATTTTTAAGCAGGGCAACAAGTGTGTCGTTGCTAAAAACCCCCAAGCCCGTCAAACAAACACGGGCGACCTGGGCGGATAGACAGAGGGTACAAGCGCGACAAAGTAGACCAAGTAGACCAAGTACCTCTACCTTGAATCAATCGTCTTTACCCTCAAACACACGCGAGGTGGATATCGCAATTCAGTGGCCAAACGACGTGGATGAGAAAAAAAATCTAATTCAGTTGCAAAGTTCGCAAAAACACACGACAACCGGCTGGGCTTTACGTACACGGAATCGATGTCTAATGAGATCCATCCAGGGGCGCAGCGCCTTGCCTTTAGGTGCCTGGCGGCTGGTGCTGGCATTACACAAGATCCATGCCATCGGGTCCCCTTGACGTACACGGTCGAAAGTGGACTCCCGCGGCGGAGGCACATCGGCCACCCGGTTCGGCCTCCCGTTAGCGGTCGATGCGCTCTGTCAAGCCGGTGGAGCCCCGGTGGTCTGGGGCCCTGGGGGTCGCCCTGATCCATCCCAAGGGTGCGCTTATGGGGGCGTGCCTCGCGAGTTCTTAACGTTAGGGGACACCGAAAGTAATGAGATCCATCAGAGCTACGACCATGACCATCGTGAAGTGAAAATTTTACATTCGATCCCACGCTTTCGAGGGCCTCGAATGGCCAGCCACTCGCCAAGGTAATGGCTGCATGATTAGCACACACACGGAACACACAAAGGGACCAACACACAGGAGCCTTGACCGTCACTGTTCACATCAAGAATCGCCAACCATGTCGGGAGCAGCAGGAGAGGCCCCCCGGGCTTACAGCTGACCACGTTGCGGCCTACCAGGAGCGTCATTGGATGTCAAGCAACAACAGCCGCACGACGATGGCGAGCTTATGACTGATGAGATCCATCGGGACGATGACGCTAGAATGCATGGAACGCCTGGATGGAAGGCTGGAACGGCCAAGTACGTCAGGCCAAGGCACGGTAGCAAGCGGATCTTGAGACAAGACAACTTGAGGCTCCATTGCGGAACAGAATGGGGCTCTTCGGGTAAAAGCATACGGCGCAACGCTGCTTGCATGGCCATGCTGTGCGGCTCCTTTCAGAGCAACAGCTAGAGCCGCCGTGTGGTTTGGATCGACTGACCCAAACCAGGGGTGGGTGACGATGGTGCAACTGCAATACTGCGAATATCTCAAGCACGATATCCACTTTGAGCCGACGACAAACGAGCCGTGGATGGCCGCGATCCACGATGTTGAGACGTTCCTTGAACTTTGAAAGGGAGGGGCCGTTTGGAGAAAAATTTTACGAGCACTTTGTTTCCTCTTTGCGATGGGTGGGTCGTCACAAGCGCCATCTGTCCAAAGATCGGGGCCCACGACGCGCCTTTGGGTGCCCTGAACATCATGGCTGGAGACATCCATCCCACGCTCCGGAACGAGAGTCCGGAAATATTACCTAAGACTCCCGTCAACCGCCCTTCCGCACATGGCCTCATCGCCCAACGTGTATGGCGGCATGCCAGAGCCAGCGATGATGGGATTCCGCTTCCAATCGGGACGGTGAGATCGTTCGGATGGAACAGCCATCACTTCCATGTCATTCCCGGACCAAGGTGCCTAGGTATCAGACACGCACACGGAAAGTCAAGCGCTAATTAGACTCTCATTGACTCACGCGCCCTATCCGTACGGTGCATACGGTGCACCTTGTATGCTGATGCGCACCCCGCCGCGCCCTGCAGGACGCCTCATGTCAATATTGCTGCGCTAGTAGCAGATCATAGTAGCAGATCATGGGCGTGGACAACAACACATATCACTTGGGCATTTCCCAGTCATTGGCAATCAATCGAGAGAGCGAGAAAGCAAGAGCTGACCAAGCTCTATGATGAATAATGATCGTCTTCGCTGCACCGGAAATCATAATCCTCGAGGCTGAGGTGAACCAAAACATCATCTCTAGGACTGTATTGCGTCAACCCCCTCGACATTTTTCTCATCAAGCTCATTGCGTGCTCTGCTACCGCAAACTTTCAGACCGCCCAGAAATTGCATCATTCACACCCCCACTGGTTTCTTTCTACCCAAGGTAGGTAGGGAGGTACAGCAAAGCGGTCAGGTCAAACCCAGACCAATTCCCGATGCACGCAAAATTGCAAGCTCTCCGGAATACACACAGCTCTTTGAAGCGCATTGGGACATTGCACCATAGGTAGGCTCAGCTTTCGCCCGGTCTGAACAAGCTTATTCCTTCGTTGGGGCTTGTACAGCATGGTGTATTGTTCAGCTTCTCCTTCAGATTCAGAAATTGACATGAAAGGTTCCTCTACATTGTCTACTTTATTGACCCCAACTCTCGAGGACGACGCCACTGCGTTTGCGCCCGCACTTCTACCAAAGACGGTCAGACGGTCAGGACTAAACAATCCGTCAACCGAGTTGTTGGGCGAAGGGTTTCAGACGATCTCTGCCACGAACGCGCCGTTTGGTTGGAGAAGGTCATCATCCCCTCCATCCAGCTTACCCTTAAGTTGCGTTTCAAGTTTCGAGTTCTTTGAGGTTTTCTTGATTCTTCCCGCCTGTGGCCACTCTCAAGTTGCTTCTGACTCGGGCAATCCGCCCATTCAGCAGTAACAGTAGCTCTGCACAGTCTATTGTCTCTATATTTTCTACATGGCTTTTGACTTTTTCAGCAGTCAGGGTTCATCTAACATAGGCATGTTTACATATGCGTGTGGCAATTTATGCACCGTTATGAAGAAAGGATGAGCATCTATTCAGTCGTGCCACGAGATGTACAGCATGATACCGGCGCCAACGGCGATGGCGGCAAACTGAACCACGGTCTTGCGCAGCTCGGCCATCTTGTTCGGGCCCGTCTCGAGCAGCTCGGGAATGACGGCAACGGTGCCCACGTAGAGGAAGGTGCCCGCGGTGAATGGGAGGAGCAGGTCGCCCAAGGTCTATGGGTCACCGTCAGCACTTGTAATCGTCGCGCAAGATGATTTCGGGTTAGCTGAATGCCGGAGGGGTACTCACCAAGCTAGTTCCCCAGAGCCCCGCGTTCCGCGCCATGCCGCCCTCACTGGAGCTAGAGCCGCTACCGCCGAGCTCCTGGACGGCGATGCCAATGAGGGTGCCGAGCAGGGCGCCGAGAGCCGTGACGAACTGGGCGCCCATGGCGGCACGCTTGCTGAAGCCGGACTGCACGAGCAGTGCAAAGTCGCCGACCTCGTGGGGGATCTCGTGGAAGAAGACAGCCACCGTGGTGGTTGCGCCGATGGTCGGGGAGGCGTAGAAGCTGGCGGACATTGCGAGGCCATCTGTGATGTTGTGCGTGAAGTCGGCGCTGGTAGATGCAAGTCAGCCAAAAAAACAATAATGAGTAGGGGGGATATGCCCGATGCCCGAGATAAGCGGCAAGGGCGAGTTTGGGGGAAAAGCCATACATCAGGTTCAGGTAGCCTCCGAGCTTCACGCTGGGGTTCATCTCCTTCTCCGGCTTCTCCACAGTGCCGTTGGATCCGGAGCTGGCGCCGGCGCCCTCAGCCTTCTTCTTGCGCGACGTGACCTCACCCGCCTTCTCCACGGCAGACGACACGCCCTCGGCTTTGGTCTCGGCATGCGAGTGCGCGTGCCCGTGATCATGCGAGTGACCCCCCTCCCCGCCTGTCGCGATCCGCAACCCCTTGTCCATGGCCACAAAGGTCATGAAGCCGACGAGGATGGCGACGCCGAGCAGCAGGTTCCGGTTGGGCTCGACGAGCACCAGGCGCGCACGCTCGGGCTCGTCCTCGCCGAGGAAGATTTCCGGGAGGAGATGGAAGAGGGTGTCGCCCATGAGGCCGCCGACGGCGAAGGCGACCATGACGGAGAGGGAGGAGGGGTCGATGTCGGTCGGGCAGAGGGCGAGGAGGAAGTTGGGGGGGCCCGAGATGTAGAGGGTCGCGAGGAGGGCGTTGACGGCGGGGGATCCGGGGAAGAGGGTGCCGAAGGCGCGGGAGAGGAGGGACGGGGTTGAGGAGAGCTTGGCGAGTTTGTCGGCCGTGAGGCTTTGGACTACGGAGCATTGCTGTTATCGTTGATTTTCACTCTGTCAGTTTTGTTTGTTTGCCTGTGTGGTTCTCGAGGCCGAGCTCCCATGGGATTGATTAGCTTCCGCTCTCACCTGCAGCTGCTCGTCGAGCTCCTCGAGGCTCAATGAAGCCACGGGTTTGCTCGTCAGACCAATTTTCTCGGCAACGGAGGAGGCGATGCCCAGCTGCACGAGCAGGAACAGAGCCCAGAAGACGGGCTTCCAGGAACGAGCCATTGCGTTGGTGTAGAGTCAATTTCGATTTGGATTTCTCTTTCTTTCAGGTTCAAGCTAGCTATCCGGTCTCCTGCATAAACGATTGACGGAGGATGGCGTAGTTGGGGGGGGGGAGTGGACGTGGGAAGCCGAATGGAAGCTTTTCGCTTGCACGGCGACGAGATGGGAATGCGAGCTGTGGCGATCCTAACACTTGTTGAGATCTCTCATTACTCCAATTTCCGCAGGCCCGCCCCTCACCTCCCTTCCTAGGTAAGCTGTCATCTCATTCCTCCAACCTTTGGCGAGCACGTCCGCTGCAGCGCGGTGCGCGGGTAGGCAATCCGCCGAAGGGAACACAGTAATTCCGACCGTCTTTCGGCCGGGAAACGCTGCGCCGACGACCGGTGCGAGCTGGCCCTCGCTGGAGGACGAGCTGAGAGGGTCGCGTGCCGCTGATTAACATAGGTATGTTGTTTGCTGGCGCAGCGTACAAGCCGGGAAGCATAAAAACGCCGCTAGGCCGTTTTCGGCACATAGAATGCAAGTCTTGCGTCCGATATTAAAACACATATCCCATACATGATGAAGTTTGGCCCGAGAACATGGATAGAGTTGCCAGAAGATTTAGAAGGAAAAACAAAGGGCTTGAGACGAGAGAAGGGGAGGGTCGCGGCATACAGCATTTATTCAATTCTCGGCCTCCTTCATGGACCTTGGAGAACGGGCCACGCGGGCTAGTGGTCTTGGTGGAGAGCTGGGGCTCCGAGGTTTCGAGTACCTGGACGGGTCGGCGCTGTTTCCACCATTACTTGCCGCGTAGCGATATCCCCTCTTTGGTCCTCTCTAGACTCTGACTCAGAGAAGGGAGTAGGAACAAGGTTTGTTGGACCAATGCCGTTGCGCAGAAATCGAATTCTGGCAGTGGACGGGAATGCTTGGCAAGTGATGAGCCTTGATCTGCTGGGGATCACTAGGAGGCTGGCTGCATCTTGCTTTTCGGGATGTGGGAGCGGAAGCGGCAGCTGTCACTAAGCTTTTCCGGGTGAGCCGTGACGTCTCCTCGTCCATTATGGTGAACTCTTCGAAGCTCTAACGATTTCCCCTTCATTAGAGTGAACCAGTATGATTGAGTGTCACTACGAACACCTATTGGAATTGGTAAGAGAGGGCGATGGGGATAGGAATTCGGAAAGCTGCATCCTTGTCCCTGCGTCTACTAGACTCCTCTATCATCCAGAGGGACAAATACATATACACCATGTTGCGTATCCAATTGTAACACACGTAAAGTATCTATTCCATCCTGATGATTTCTTTGGGGACTACCAATAAGGTTTAACAAAACCAAGCCCCTCAGCCACGTCCATGTTCTGTCAGATATAGACAGTCCTCGGATTTTACTGGAACCGGCCCAGATTTCCAAAGGGGCCGGGGTCTCGAACCGTCAACTTCGGTTCACTAAGAGACCCTACCCAGCGACCAATGATCTCGCGCTAGTGACTCATCGGATTACCGCAAAGCCTATCTTACGGGTGACGTATGTCAGGTTCGATCAGCTCTATTTCCAGTCGACTCTTTGGGTCATGATCAATCGCCTCCTTGTGCCTATTAGTACCCAGAGCTTATACCCTATTCGTGCGCAGACCGCTGGTGGGCGAAAGCGAAGGGGCAAGATCGTGAGTGGATTTGACCAGATTGATCGGGTTCGGTGCCGATTTTCGGGAGTGGCACGGGGATATATTCGGGAGCCATGCTGTGTAAAACGTGCTCCAACGAAAGAGAGAAAAATCACTGCGAACACTGCGATCCAGGGGTACTTGCAGCAATGTATTGGCAGGGATGGTGAACAATAGACTCACAATCAGAAAGGCGACGCTCTCGTTCGCACTCTCTTCGCCTATCAACAACGTCCATATGGATCCCAGCTTCATGCCGGCAAAATACCCTCGAGTGGTTACGTAGAGTCCCCAGCAGCAATAAAGCCACAGAATTCCCCCAACAATCCAGACTGCTCTGGAGAAGGAGTTTATCTTCCCGTCAGGTTTCGGAGTGTGTTTCTCGTCGTCTTTGGTCTGTGAGAGTAGCCACAAGCCTAGACGCTCAAAAGGAAGTTCAGCACCGCGGTGTAGCATGTTGATTAGTAGAGAGTATTCCATGACCATCCAGTCTACGACTTGCACCACTTCGATCGAGGAGAAGAACAAAGCAGTCAAAGATGAGGGTACATGTGAGATGGCCGTCCAAAATCATATAAGCGTGAGTCTCCGAAACGTGTGAACACCTGTTTGACCGAAGTCTATTGAGGCTATACCGCCGCCTAGGTAACAGCAGCTTCTGTTCATCTTCGACCACATTGCCACCGTCCATGATACTCGCTCAGAATGGTCCCTCCTTATCTTTTGTGTACACTTTTAAGTATATCAAATGGGCGGTTTGCCCATCCATCATCCCATCATCCAAAGCAAAACCGAATCATCCGCCTCCTCATCACCCAGACTGCAAGGTATAAACAAACAGCAGGGAGAATGTACTTCCACGCGGAATTGAGCTCTATACTGAGTGCCATCGAAGCAGATGGCTGCACACTATCAGATCACTCCTTCACACAGTGCATGCTTGTCATCTGCCAGATATCCAACATCTCCCTACCGGGCGTCATTGACTATTCAGTCCTTCTCAATGCGTTTCTATTCGAAGCATCGGAAGAGCCGCGGCGGACCCTTGGCTCAAATCCATTCGGAATTTTGTGTGCGAATGATACCAGGGGCTACGAAGTCGACATCAGTGACGAGGACGGCGTCACTAGCGACGAGAGTGGCAAGGAGGAGGGGGCTAACGACGGGGAAAAGATTGACGATCCGGAGGGCCCGAATGGGGCAACATCCGTCCGGATTCTTACACGCCGGTTCCAACAACGGCCGGCAATGCTGCGAGTCGAGGTGTATCTGGATGGATGCTCTTCAGGTTCTTTCTGACCATGCTTATACACTGCATTCGCGCCGGTGTGCCATTTCAGTACTACCTAGACGCCCTATTCCCCTTCGCCAACCAGGATCCATTTTCGAGTACAGCTTCATTATCATGCTATCGAGTATTCCCACGTTCTCCTTCGGGCAAATTTACTGCGATAAAGCGTGGCAATCGCTAATCGGGCTGATCCTGTTGGAACGGGTCAACCAAAACATTGCCCACGGCAAGCTAGCTAAAGTCATCCAGGGAATGTATATCCGGGGATGAAGGAACACCATGAGAAGGATAGAGGGCTCGGTAACGGGGCCATTCGTTGTTCTTGTAGGTACGACACGGAATTGGAGGTCATTCAAATACGTTCAATCAGCGGACTTTTAGTGTTTGCGGTGACGGCATTCGGAGAATCAGATCCATCGAACAGCTTCAATCGTTCAATGATATATTAAGCAGTCTAAAGCTTCTTAACCTGAGCAAAAGTCGCTTCTGCGTGCCACGTTCCCTTGCATCTTAGGTCAGAGTCTCGCTTCGTGATTTAGTTGCGGACCCAAACCACTACCTGGGTAGCCCTCGAAATTACTACTCCGGAAATGTCATTGGAATCAGCTCATCTCATTGTTGCCTCACGGTTGAAGGTGATACCATGACGAATACTCAAGCAACGGAGAATGCAATCCACGTGGTGGTGACGCTACGCGCCTTTTATAAGATTTCGTTCTTGGTGATTTCAATAGGCCGAAATGTCCGCAGACAATGACACCAAAGAGGCTCGAGAGCTTGAACGGTCTGATTGTCAGCAATTAGGATCGCCATCACTTGTCCGCTCTGCGGGTTCTTGCTAAGCCGTCTGTCATATGGAAGCAATCCTCACATAGGTAATGGGACACCCTGCACGAAAGCTGAGGTGTCGATTGTCGTGGCATACGCAGAGTAGGACGAGCGGCGGTGGCTGTAGCAGAAACAAACATGGTCAGGTGGACCGTATCAACGTCTTTAATTGAGGTGCGCGGCCTGGCCTGGTTGGTGAAGGCTCCGAGGGCCTCAGCTTCTCATCAGCTATGATGATTTGGAGTGATGTCAGATAACTTGATTTCTTCGTTGTGACTTGACATGCACCAGACCGACCGGTTTCATGTATTAGTATGAAGATCGGTCGTGGAAAGGGGTAAAACGGCGCGACTCCGCCAACGACAAGTAGGCGCTCCAACACCGCAAATATTCCACTGTCTGTAGAGCCTCATAGGCAGACAGCAACTAGCTGAGAGGAGCGCCTTTGACAGTTGTCGAACAGCGTGGCCACGCTGGCCAAGACTGTTTCAAAACTTGCTGACATCAGAAGAAGAAAATGAACCACAGAAGACAACCATGTAAGTAAACCTGCTGAACACCGATATTGATCCATGCTTATGGATGCCTGGGCATAGTAAGAGGCTGCGACGACCCTAGGTGGATTGGAGTAATTGGAAAGACCCAGCAACATCGGAAGCGCTACTACGCCCCTTTCTTCCTATTCAATTGAGGTTGTGTGTCTTGACTAGAGGAGGCCAAGTCTCTCTTTCAGTCGAATAGCTTGCGGCAGAACCTTACTAGTTGCATAGGATCAGATAACAGCCGAACACCCTCGATCAGAAGTCTATGCTGACAGTTTGATTCCGCATTCGATCTCGAAATAAGCTTCAACTTGGCAGTTACTCAGGCACCAATCTCACCAAAAGGCATCCTGAGTTGATGACAAGACGAGTAACCCAAAGCCCTTGACGGCTAGCACTGAATAAATTTGCGGCTTCTGCAAATCTTCTTCAAGAAGGTGGCTATCTGACTGACGGCGGGTGAGGAAACTGTGTGTGTCAGGAAACGTTTCTCGGAGCCTCAACTTTTCCTCTCTTCCCTTTTCTTTTCCGTAGAGGAAAGGGAAACTATCTAAGTAAGTGAGCGTCAGTAAAAACCAGCTTGCTATACGGTTTGCCTGTGCTAGAGTAATTACATCTCTGCTTGGGATGATAGGCAGGCGGGCGACATCCCCAGGACGATATGCAATAAGGGATTGGGCAAAGGATCACGCCCTGCACCATTTGTTGATTCAGTATCAAGGCGGTCGGCAACAAAGAAGGCACTAAAGGTAGGTAAATTAGGTTTGCGAACCGGACAGCAAGTGACCACTCTCCAATTTAGACTCGAAAGCATCATCAATAGTTGAGACGACTCCATCGAGATACTCCAACCATAATCAGTAGCTCAATTCCAATGGACCTCGTTAATCGGACTAATTGGCAAAGGAGAGAAATACTTCTCACCGCGGACAACTTGTCTTCAAAATTTCACGACGCAGTGTCACTCACAGGCTATAAAATCGATAATACCATCCACTTGGACGTTTTTGAGCCGAAAAATATAGTTAAGTTTTTAGTCACGGAAGATTAGGGGGGAGGCGCCAAGCGTCACAACTTCAGTGTTCAGCAAGTTATCCTGTCCGTCACCTCTTTCCAGTATACCTGGTTAATGCCGGAACGCCAGGCAAACCGTGTTGGATTGGGACATGGGAAAGTAAGAGATGCCATGACGCGCATAATAGATGTGATAGTTATCGACGCGCGGTCTGGGGCCAGGACAGGGGTCTGTGGACAATGCCAACCATCTCTCGCTCAAAGACGAGGACAAGGTCGTCGTCTGCTATACTATCAAAGATACCTGTGCCAAACACATGCCAGAATGCGAAAGAGAATTCGGATGCCCCTCGACGTATGGAGAATATGGGATATACGCCTCAATCTTGGCGAACTTGGTGTTACAAGTAGCATGTGATGGTTTCTTGAGCACCGTATTCGCTACTTTCACGGAGTCGGGGAGAAATGTGGCTCGAGGTGGCCTGTTGAGTCCCATTGTCGTCCTCATCCGACTCAACAGCTCCTGGAAGTGGACTTCGCCTCCAACTGACCAGACGGAGCTGGGAGACTGGGCCCAGGCACAGATGATAAGGTACCTCAGGAAGCTCTAGATGATTATTGGCTTGTCTCAACCGTCGCTTGCCCCCAGTGAATGCTAAAAATGATGACGATGGAGGGGTCGCAGGTACGTACCGGGCCGGGTGGCCTTTCACAGCAATTCCGGGAGCTGGAGCTGGTGGGGCGCGCCAGAAAACACATGGGGTTGTGTCAGTGCGTGTGACAACCGCTGGAAGCTCCGACCACCTTTTGATGCTCCTTCCAATCTCGCTGGTAGGTATCCTCTGCCAAGAATCCCTCTTCGTCACCTCGCCTGCTTTGCTGAATTTAAGGTGGCTGTGCAAACAATTGGCAACCTCCAGAAACCTGGGATCCTCCCCACCACTGCACAATCAATGCTCGAGTCCACTGATATGAGTGAAGGGGGCAAAAAAGGGGACCGTCCCGATTCCTCGAGGTGCGGATGTTGGTGCTGGTCGCTGGCAAACTACGGATAGGTACCGGTGATATAATTATACCTTGGAATCAACCGCGTCCAATGACGTCGCTCGCCGCCCAGAGGCCTCTCGGGCACGCACCAGCGCCATCACCAAGCTAAAGCACGGCGCACCATTACCAACAGCTGTTTAAGCGCCATGCAAGCTGTTTCGACACACCCGCAATCCAACCACATTCGTTGTCGCTACACCCCCAGTCCTTGAATAGACAGAGTCCAGCTCGTCGTCACAAAGTCTCACAGCACGATCCGAAGTGCCACTCGCCTTTGGGATTCCTGCTTTCCCGCTGGCGAATAGCCGTCGCGTTTCCTTTGCCCAGTCGTCACTCTGTCTGATCGATTGCTTTGACCTACCACCGACCTTTAATCCTCCGGGGCGCAACTCGACAACTGGACAAACACACTCTCTCCCACTTCCACTTGCAAACCAACCCCTTAGACTCCTTAGACCCCTCGGTCTCTCACCAAACTTCTCCACGACATTACGCGCCTGTCGCATCTCGAGACACCACCGCCCACGAGCAACCATCTTGCACGACGTCTGGCCTGACGTAACCCAAAAAAAACCCAATAATTTGCGCTTGCTTTGCGCACCCATATTCACCATGGTATCGGGACATAACGTACGCCCTCCAAGAAGAGGACAGTATTGCGACCGCCGTTACTGACCTTGAGACCAGGACCCCAAGCTCTTGTACGCCATCAATGGCGTCCAAGCCTTCCACATCTCCAATGGCAAGGAGGAGTCCCTCACCCCCGCTGGACCCCAGACCTTGTCGTTGTTGATGGTGCCGACTTCTTCACCCTTCACCGACGCAGACTCCCCCGCCGAGGACTTCTACTTGCACCTCCACCTACCTCCCGAGCTCGATCTGCCTCTCCCTGCCACAACCCAGATCTACCACCAGCCACCAACAAGCTACCTGATTCCAAGATGGGATCTTGGCCCAGACAGTGGTGCTTTCACTCGTATCGAGTTTCCGGATACCGGAAGCCGGAAAGGACTGCAGGAGGATGTCGACACCTTCGAAACCATCCTTGCGCAATGCACCGCATTTCTCGAGCGAGCCCCACCGCCGAAGACCTCGTCCAAGTCGTCCAAATCAGCAGCCGCCGCCTCCGCATACCCCTACGATGACCCTGTTACCGACGCTCCCTCTGCCAAGTCCAGAGCAGCCGCCGCCGATGGCCTCCCCGCCTATAATCCGGCCGATTACCAGCCTGGACAAGGCTACGCCCCGGGAGCTCACAGCTCTCATCATAATGGCGGCCGGATCGTATTGATCGACGAAGAAGATGGCAGCGTCATCGGGGAGTTGACCGACAACTACCAAGTTGTAGAGGAGCTGGGCGTCAAGCCCGGAACAAAAGGTAAGTTTGGCGGCAGCTCGGCCGAGCTTGACTCACATGGCATGCTAGATCCGGTGGAGATTACACTCCCTGCCGACAACAGCCAAGCCATTACCGTTCAGCCCGTGTCGCAGGAATACCGCGAGATGATCATGCACCCAGCATACAAGAAGTCGTTCTTGGTGTCAAACGCCTCAAAAGCATCTCGGCTCATCGTGACGTCGTCGGACTTGATCACAAAGGGTTTGCAGTCCTCGGCCGATAGTTTCACTAAGAAGACGAAGGCGACGACCGAACCCGTAACGTTCACTCCTGCAGCTCATGATCGTGTACGACGCATCAATCAATTCTCCACCAAGGCGGCTGGTTTGTCGGCGACCACAGTGGGTGCAGTTGGCAAAGTTGCCCAAAACTTGGGCGCCACCCTAGCTAGAAAGAAGGATGGCAGTGGAAGAGGATACGACAAAGATGGCAACCCCATCGAGGGTTACAAGCCTGGCCTGCTGAACAGAAGTTTGATGGCGTTCAACACCGTTGCGGACGGCATCGACCAAGCAGGACGCAACCTGTTGACTGGCACCTCGTCTAGCGTATCACAGATGGTGGAGCATCGTTGGGGTTCTGAAGCTGGTCAGGTATCTAGGAATATTGGCGGCGGCTTCAAGAATGTCGGCTTGGTGTATATCGATGTCACCGGTGTATCCCGAAGAGCAATTCTGAAGAGCGTAGCAAAGGGCATGGTCGTCGGTAAGGTAAAGGGTGGTGGAGAGATCATCGTCGGAGGCGGCGATGGTGGCGCGGTGGGTTATTTGGAAGACCAGAAAACTCGCAGAGACGACCAGAGCGACACGGCTAGTATGTATACGGCGTACGAGGGCAATGGCAAGCAGCCAGCTGGCAAGAGGCCATGAGCGTGCGATGGAGAGTGACCGTCGGGAGTAAAATGGATGGGACTTGTTGACCATTTAAAGGATATTGGGCTTAGCGTTGAAAGGCTTGGAACGAAGGGACCGGGGGCCACTCTGCGGCTTTGTCCAACTAGTGCATATGCATACGAAATAAACGAAACCTAGCCCAGGTCAGAAACTACAAGCTACTGCTGGACACCAGCGGCCGCGTCCGTCAAGGAAGAACTCCAGCTGGAGCATCTTATTTGTGGTCCGTTAGGATAAGCCTTGGGCGAGTAAGACGGAGGGCACATGCCGCCAGGGGCCGGTTTGCCGGGAGCCGACCGCAATTACATAACCTTAGGTACTGGTCACGTGGACCCGCAAACGCCTCGCCGGGTCTCAGAGCAGCCACTTTAGCCCGCCCGGTCGCGTCAGATCGCGCTTTCCTCTCGACGCCCACTTCATTCATCAATGCGACTACCGTGATATTGGAAGGGACCAGTCAGTCCCTCAGCATGGAGCCTCCTTGACGTCGGTGCTGTTTTGTTGTGGCTCGCGCTCTCCTGTTCCCGGTCTGTCTGAGAGAGGATTTACTTTGGGTTCGAGCTACGATAGTTATATGCAGCCCAAACAGATCAGGTAATTTATCCATTTGCCAGCTATCCATCACCTGTTGTTGCAACGCAACCCAACTTCCCCGTCCTTTGCTTCCTCCTGCCCCGCCATCCCGCCAGATTCTGGACGACAACCAGTGTCTTCTTCCCGCCGCATTGCCAGCCACAACGACAGACGAGTAAATGTGTCGCTTCGAGCTATTAGGCGCTCTCATCCTACTTCTACGCGACTTTGGCGAAAAGTCAAAGTCCAAGAAGCCGCCGCAACCACGCGAAATGTGCCACATCCTCCCCCTCTCCTTGATGGGCTCCGGTCCTTCCCCCATGATCTAATCCCTGTTTCTACCATGCCCGGACTAACACGATGATTTTCTTCCCTCGACAGAAGCAAACAACCGTCATGCTCCACGAAATCCTCCTCGCCCTCTCTGGGCACCCCTCCCCTCTCCTCCGAACCGACAATCCAGATGCCAATGCGCTATCAACGGCCATCTCACCCCCGGAGCGCGAACTCCTAGCCACCGCCGCCCACCTGAGCGACCTCCATGTCAAACTCCAGAGCTACACCGCCCCCATCGCCGCCGAGCACCCATCCACGATATGCCGCGCCACGGCGACCGCCATACAGTCCGTCCATCTGGCCGCCTTCCAGCGCAAGGTCCTCGAGGTTGAGGAGACGATACTGCTCAAGGACTCGAGTCTCGTCGGCGCTTACAACATTGTGCCACTGACGGCTGTCGTGGGGGAGTTTTCCGAGTGGACGAGGCGGATGGAGTGGCTGTGGGAGATTGTGCAGTTCATGTTGAAGAAGCAGCAGGGACAGACGTGTCGAGGCGCGCAACTGATCGACAGGTTGAGAAGTGAGCTGCAGAGCGGTTACGTGGATATCGAGAGGACAGCTATGAGCCTTGTGTCTGTGGCAGAGACGGCATGGCTGAAGCAGGTTTCTGCCTGGATCCTCTACGGGCGACTGCCGACATTTGGAGGGGAGGACTTTTTCGTACAGAAATCCGAAGGAGGTGACCAAGTATGTCATGAACACCAAGTGACTCGTGAAGCTTTGATGACTGACCGGCATAGGGTTACGTCTTGGTGCCATCATTTCTACCCAACTTTGTAACCTTAGCAACGGCATCATCGATGCTGTTCATCGGCAGGTCACTGAATCACGTCCGTGTCAAGGGCAGCGTCGAATCAGGCCTACAAGGCCTCGATCACCTTTCTTCCCAACTGAAAGAGCTATCCGCCTTGACCTACCCTCTCCACACGGCCAGCTTCTCGCGCGCCATTACCTCGATTCGGCTCACACTCTCACGGACGATCTTGCTAAAGCTCCTGCCTCTCACTAAAGTCGTCGAAGCGCTCCAGGTTTTGCGCGAATTCTTCCTCCTCGGCCGCGGCGAATTCGCCATGGCTCTCACACAGCAAGCTGATGAGAAGCTCCGGAGCCGGTGGAAGAGATCCGACAACCTCGCATACGAGAAGCGAGAAGGACTAGGCACCTTTGCGGTCAAGGAGGGTGAGGTCGCCGCCGTGCTGGTCAAGACGTGGGCGGCCATGGGCTTGATGCAGGGGCAGCACGCGGATGAAGACGAAGGGCTGGAAATTGCGCGGGAGCTTCTGCGGTTGAATCTCACAAAGTCCAAGCCTGCAGTGCCTCTCAAACTCGAGGCCAGCGTATCGCGTCCCACAACGAAAACTCTGGCCACGACGCCTTTCCGCAATCTCCTCCTTTCTGTCCCCGTCGTCTTGACAATGCAGATTCCCTCGCCCATGGATATGTTTCTCACACCATCCGACTTACAAATTTACTCTACCATCAACTCATACCTTCTCTCTATCCGCCGAGCACATATTCGTCTCACTGAGCTGTGGAAAATCACATCTCTACGCCGGCATCATCCGGCACCTCCGGGCCCACCAGCCGGAAGCACTCGGGCAGGACGATCCAAAGTGATTTTACTTCGTCAGCGCTATACCGAGCGGTCCAATGCTTTGCGAAGCGCCTGGGTGACATGCAGCTCGGCGCTTTTCTTCCTCTCTGAGACGGAGGCATACTTGCAGACGGAAGTAGTAGCTGGGCTATGGGACGGCTTCCACGCCTGGTTGACTCCCAAGGAAGAGACAGACGGCCCGGAGACTGGACCGTCCGGTGCGTCGATCAAGGCGGCATCAAAACCTGCGACAGAAGTCGAGGCTGAAGATGAAGACGATGACGACATCTGGCTTGCCCAGAGCACATCTAGTACCAAGTCTCCCAAACCGACCGAACCCACCCCAACCCACGATCCCCAGAGTCTCGCCACAGCGCACAGAGCCTATCTCCGCGCCCTCTCCACCCGCCTCCTCCTCACCTTTCCCTCCTACACGGACCCGCTGTACAACCTCCTCACGCACACGGACCACCTCGTCGCCCTGACGCAGCGTCTCCACGCCGTCTGGACCTCCATGGACCTCGAAGCGGACGCGGGGGTCGTTGACGCATTTGTGGACCTCGAGATTGAGGAAAAGGAAGTCCGCTCCGCGATCCGCGACGTTGAGAAGCATGTTAAAGACGGGATACGGGACGTCATTGCCGCACTGCGGTCGCTGGAGGCAGATCCAGCGGCGTTTGCGGACGAGGAGGAAGGGGGCGAGGAGGGCGTGTTGAGGGAAGAGGGGGAGTATGTTCCCCGACGGGTCGGTGGCGTAGAGAGGTTGCTGATGAAGCTTGATTTGGCGGGGTGGTTTGGGGAGAGGAAGGATGACTTTGGGTTCGTGTTTGGCGAGTATTGAACGCGGCGATGGCACGTGTTACGAAAGAGTTGAGAGCACACACATGCAACGCACATACAGAACAGTCCTTTGGAACGAAACCTTCTCGCCACCCCCGCAAAGGCTGGATGCTAGGGAGGATCACGGAACGAGGGAGGATGAGGCGGAGAGGAATAGTACGACGACGAAAGTACATGCCGTCATGAATCCGAATCTTGGAATCGCTCGTAAACAGGGGGAGAATACGGGGAACATGATTTATGTGCGGAGTTGGAATGCGGTGGTGAGACGTCACATTTGTTCGGTTAGACAAGCGAGCGCGCGAGCTTTCACGATGTGGCCGCTGGAGGAGGCGAATCTCCCCCCCCCTCTCTTGCCTCCCGTTTTCCTTTTCTGTCAAGAAAGAAGGGTAAGAACGTGGTCGTGCAGTGGAAGTGGGGTGATTGGAAGTTCACGGCCGCCCGGCCGGCCAGCGAAGCAAGTAGGTTGGTAGCCATTACCGGCGGGACGGACCGGCTAGGGACGTCATGGGTCACGCCAGAGCGGAGCTGGTGTCGCCAGGTCGGTGTTGTGGGTGGGTTCTCTTCCCCCACCCCCCGGGGACTGATTGTGGTGCGTGGGGAGGGGGGGGCTTTGGTGGTACGACACTGACGGTGTTTCGCGACGACGACGGTCCGTTTGCTGCCATAGTCCAGACAGACGTCGACGATGGAAGCTTCTGTATTGTGTCAATCGCGTAATGGGATTGCATGAGCGTTGTTTCTGCGGTTTGGAATCAGCATCTAGTAAGCAATGGCGTTGAAAATGTGGTCACATCGTTTCTCCGTTCATGCCAGCATAGGTAAATCAGATTTGAGATAACAAGGCATCTTTTTGTCTTTGTTCATATTTACGAAATGCCTATCTTAAAACAAAAAAAAGGACGAGATTTCGAGGGTAGTCGTTTCAATTCGTACAGGCTGGCTTGCTTGCTTGATTTCTTTCACAATTCATCTCATTCATCCATTCCAGCTCTTTCATAATCCCAATTCAACCCGGATCCGGCGCCTGTTTGATGCAACTTCCTTGGAAGCAAAGTGAGGAAAGTACATACAGACAGAGATAGAAAATAAAAATAAAAAATAGAAATGGGGGTCCAAAACGCCGGTCCACGCTGTGCTTCAGAGGGGGAGGAATTCCCCCTGGTACCCGTATCCAACCCATCATATCCAGATTGATGTCATCTGTGTGTGTGTGTGCGTGCGCTGTTCTGTTCTGTATATGCTACGCATAATTTGCTGTTCTGTGTCTTCTCGCTCCCTTCTTGGAGCCTGTGTACTTCGACCTGTAGTCGATTTGGAGCTTCCATTCGGAGCTTTATTGTTTTGGGTTCTTGTTTTGTTTCCCATAAAAGATGAGAACAGCCGTACTAAAGTGATGTTCTGCTGTTTTTTTTAAAAAAAAAAAAAAAACTTGTCGTCAAAACTACCGCCTGTGACTTAGGTCTCAGTAAGTTGAAATCGGGCGTTTCCGCAATGGACTTGAAGCTTGATCAGAGGGACGGCGCTGGAAAAGGTGTTGCATAAAGGCCTTAGGGCCTACGTGCTCGACGTCGACGGACCGGGAGGTCATGGGCACCGGAATGCGGGTGAACTTTTTGGTTTGCCAGCGGGTCTTGATACAGTCGTCGACGAGGGCCATGAGACCGGTGGCGATAATCACGTCGGCAACGTCGGTGACGGCATCGAGGATGCTGCGGTCGCTGATCCACATATGGCAAGGGGGCACCCAGCCACCAGCGCTCTCGTCCTCAATGACCTGGTTGGGCGAGCGCGTCTCGGGGACAATGTGCGCGACGGCATCGCGGGCTTCGTTGTTGCCGTCCTTGACGAGGTGGAACGACACGGCACCGAGGTTCTTGTCGATGACGCGCTTCCACTGGTACTTGTGACCCCACCAGTCAAACTCGTAGCGCTTGTTGTTGGCACCGCCGCGGCGCGAGACGTCGACGCGCGCATAGTTGGAGAACTCGAGCTTCATGGTATTGCTGGGGACCGGTCGAGCCTTGGACTTCGTTTCAAAGGAGGCCGAACGCTTGAAATGGCTTGCCGCGTCGTCACTGTAGGTGCGCGTTGACGAGGAGCTGGACTGTGGCCGCTGCGAAGCTCCGTCTTTGCCCTTGCCGCCGAAGATCGAGCCGCCTGAGTTGGTGCGCGACAGAGGGGGTTTCCTCATGGAGAGGGTCTTGATGGCGCTCGAGACGGATCGCTGCAGAGTTGGTCGCTCTTGGTTATTTTCCTCAATGTACTTGCGCTTGGAGTTGCAGACTTCGCGGCCGGAGTCGCGGCAGTAACGTCGCAGCGAGAACTCACGCTTGCTGAGATCGTACATGCGCAGGTGGAAGAGCTGAATGTTGAAGGGTCGCCGCCCGGGGGCGACGGTGTCTACTCTGAGGTTCATGTTGCCGTCGGGTGTGAACTCATCATGACAAATAGATAATCTATTCATGGACGGGAACAGGTTGCCAAAGTCCTGGGGTGTTGAGGGCCGAACATCTGTGTCGATGATGTCGCGGTAGTAGGTGGGCAATGGCGGAATGTCGCGGTGCTTGTCGAAGTTTTCTAGTTCGGCTTCGCGTTGAAGCTCAAGCTCATCCTCGTCATCCGAGGCCAAACTTGAGTCGAAAGTGTCGACAGACGATCTCAGACAGTTGCTGGTGGAAGGAGATATGTCTTCTTCGTAGACGGGCGGGATCTTGTGCGAGACGGTCCTTGCTTCTTTGACCGAGGACGCCTCGGTGCTCGCATAGTAAGAAGTAGGTGTTGTGCTCTGTGATTCATACGTCTCGTACGAGTCACAAGACTCGCTGCTCCTGCGGGAATCCCTACTGCTTGTCGAGCTCTTGGAGCTATTTTTTCGATATGAATGTGTCATGTTGGTGGTTGGTGTTGTGTTGTGTTGGGCGAGTCGGAGTAATAGACTCGAGGATGGGGGATTGTTGGTGTTATAAGATGTTGTAGATGTATGTCAGGATTGTCAGGGGAGGGAGCCAGGCTTCATATAACCCGAATGGAACAAGCCTCTGATAATGTGACCTGGAGGATTGGGCTCTAGAGGTGGTTCAGGATTGGGTAATAAGGTGTTTGACTTGAAGCCAGGGTGTTGGTTTCCAATGAGGACCTGAGGCGATGGGGGCGGTTGGATGAAGCAGGGGTGTAGAATTGCGAGGCGGTTGTGAATGGGGAGGTGTTGAGATGTGAGAATGGTTATAAAGTGAGTACGGTCAAGAGGTGGTGGATATGGTACAAGTGCAAGAATATAGCCATGAGGCAGGAGAAAAGTCCGACGAGAGCAGGAAAAGTGCAAAGTCGAAAAGGGTAATACGTGATACTGGGGGACGGGGCGCGACAGGTGGGAGGTGGGAGGTGGTTTGCTTCTTAACGGAGGGTGGGCAGCTTTGGCGCGGACGGGCAGGGAAGAGGTAGGACGGGGATCGGGGATGGAAGAGGCAGCGACGGCAGAGACGGGAAAGTGACTTCCAGAGGGACCCCAGACGGTGCGACACCACACGACTGGAATTGGAACAACAGGCCCTGGTCCGTCTCCAACTGCTACCGCACTGCGACTGCACTGCTACCTGCCTTAGGTACAAGTAAAGGTACCCAGCCTGCCAACCCCCATTGCCCCCCTGCAGCCCTGCTTGACCCGAGATGCCTTACGGTGCTGCGTAGTTGCGTGTGTCGGTCGGTACGCTTGGTGTCTACTGTCTACTGTCTACCTAGTAAGGTAAGGTAGGCCCTCCCAAAGGTCTCTTGTCCCTCAGAAGTCCACGAGATTGGACATGACGGGATGGATGGGTTGAAGAGGGCAGACGAGTGACAGGGTTTTCCGTATGGCTGGCGAGATGGCCGGAGGCGTGAGTTGCCCAAATGGACGGACGCTCTGCCTCTTGGGGAATGTGGATGCGTGAACGAAGGCGAGGACGAGTTTTTGAAAGTCACCGACAAGTCACTCTGTGCTTCATCCTTGAGCGAATAGGCGTGATGGGAGACTCAGACCGGTCTGGGAGTGACATCCCGTACAAAGTACTCCAATAAGGTATCCGTCCCTTTCTCTTTCTTGCTCCTTCCCCCATTTTTGGTGGCAGCGAGACACGATGGCACCGCATGTGTGGGGGAAAAGATGGGAGGAAGTCTCGCTGGGCTTGGCTTTGCAATGCAAAAGTCATTCGGCCGGCCAAGGAAACACCAGGAAGAAACCATCGGTTTCTCGGCCTTTTCACTACTCCTCCTCCCTCGGGTTGTCTCGCGCGGTGTCCGCGCCTTAGGTAAGAAAACGGGGAAAGCAGGAACGGTGGCCCGCCGTGGGATGTTCCCTGCCCGAAACGGTACGAATCGCTTGCGACCTCTTGGGAAGCTCTGGAGGAGCAATAATGTCCCACGAACAAGGCGCGGTGTTGCATTTGCAAATTTCTCGCTGTTATCATTTCGGCGACTCCAACACTGAAGATTCTGGCGACACCCGACAACTACACAATACAGGCTACCTTACGTCTCGTCGCGCCAGGCTCGACAGGGAGCTGGCGTGGCACGACACGTCTCGTGGTTTTAGCTTCCGGTGGCATGTTTCCTAGAGACCTTGACCCTGTCATGCCTGTCTGTCCGCTAAGGGTCCTTGGTAGGTGCTAGCCAGACCACAGTCCACACCCAGACCCTTTGCTTGACGGACCGAGGGAGTGTCCCGCTGGGACGGTCGGGATGGAGACGTGCTTTGGAGCTCATGCCTGGTGTCGTTCCCGCTGGAGATGCAGGCCGGGAATCATCGGTTTGACCGTCGCCATCCGCCAATTTGACAAAAAAGCCCCCAAAACTCTGTTTATAAGCTAACGATTCCAGCCCGATGACCGCCACGTCCACCCACGTCCACTTTAGTGTAGTTCTTTCTAAGCAGGCTGGCGCCTCTCGTGGCTGAGCAAAAAAAGTCATAGGCATCACTATCGAATTCATAGCAGGACTCAGGCTGAGTGGAATCCTAAAGCTGAGGCGGTCTTTCGGATGGTCTCCAGGCCACTGGATATCCCAGTAGTGACCGAAAAGATTCACTCCTGCCTGCGTGCCTGCTTAGCCTGACCCTCACGAAGTTGGTCTCTCTTTCATCAATGACCAATGATCCTACACCTCGATGGCCGTGTTCTGTGGCTTGGGCGGCGACTCAAGCCTGATTGATCATATCGTGTCATCAGGAACCTAGGTAGGCTCCCGTGTCACTGCCATTTTCAGTCGTCGTCGTGCTTTCTCGCGCGGCTGCTGGGAATACCTAACAATTGATGGCCTATTACAGAGACAGAGGTACGAAAGGAAGGAAACGCCCGCAGAAACATCCTAGTACTCGACCAAAAGAATGCAAAATGATCAAATCATCTCGCGAGGGTCGTCCTTACACCAGGGAGAATTTCCTTCCGCTGATTCTTCTTTCCTGCCCATCTGATTGACCCGTTGCTTTCAACGATCGGCAGTCCTCGCCCTTCCCGGGTCCCTTCCCGTTTTCTTGGTCACCGTCTAGACTCGTCGACTCGCAGCTTACCCTCCCAAGCCTCCCATGCCTCCTTGCCTCCCTCCTCCAGATTGGCACTTGGGTGCTTGGGAACGGCTCCCTGCCAACTTCCCGAGCCTTCGACCTGCATCTAGAACGTGCTCTTTTCCCTCACCTCCCCGTACTCCCGCCTCTCTCCGTCATTTTCTCTTCATTCGCTGGCAATCTCTGTGTAATACCTATTCGTCGTCCTCCATCTCCACGCTGCACCACTCATTGGATTCCCAGATACTGACGTGCCACCCACAGCTTCATCCTCGTCTTCGTCTTACTTCGCAGTACTCCGTCCAACTCCGTCTCACGCATTGAATTCATCGCGACGCAACGTTCGACTTGCCCCTCTGCCCCGCCGCCCAATCGACGACGGCCTCCCGTTGTCACATCCGCGATGCCACCCTCAAGCGCTCCATACGACCCCATTCAAACCTGTAGTGCAGACTAAAAACGCCTTCTAGAACCCCCGTTGCTAGCCACCGCACTGCATAGCCGTAACCCTGCGTCAGCCAGTCCAGTCCAGTCCAGGTATCTGACTTGTTGATCACATAGGGAACGGATGACACATCGTGCGCAACACCAGACAGATCCTGCTCTGTACTCCACGGTTCACAAGTGACAAGCAACGCTTACTACGCCAACAGCCCTCAGGCCGACCCGCCCTTGGAGACCTGAGTCTGTGGCTGCTGCCATGGCGTCTGACAAAAGTCAATCTATCCGATTTTAGTACGGATAGTTCTGCGTCTCCATTTCGATACGGAGCACGAGGCACGCCGCAGTCCCTGGGAGTCTGGGACTGCCTACGACGAACCCCACCAGCCTTGTTGGCCGCCTGGTCTATTGCGCTTAATTTAGCTTCCTTCGTGGTCAGCCACAACCAGCCGCCATTGTTACGCCGTCTTTCCCCACGATGCTGCCGCTTTACACACCGCAACCTCGTCCTCAGCTGGCCTGGGATGACGAGGGCGGTGGCACCTTTGGGGATCTCTGGGGCTGCTTGCAGTGTGCTACGAAGACGCGCTGAAGAGTCTTGCCTAACGCTCCAGCATTGCGAAACGGCCACGTTCCCGGCGTCGAGAATCGTATTTCATCTCGCGGCCCTGTTCGATACCCCAATATTAACATCGTGACGAATCACCCACCGCCTCTTCTTTATTCCAGCGCCCTCGCTGATGCCCAACGGGCGGGTTAGCCCCACGAAGTTCTAAGAGTCAAGGCTGCATGCCGCTTGATTCATTCATTGGAGCGGGCAGTCACGATCAAAGCCTCGGAGCCCGCTCTCGCTTCGTTGTCCTCTGGATACCAGGCTCTAGTTCCTGCCATTCCGACTCGGCGGGCGTTTTTGGGATTTGGGCCCTGGTAGCAATGTGCATGCTGCCTCGCTTGCAGCTTTGTCTGGGGCGCAAAAAGTCTCGAGCCCCTATTGACTCGATATGCATCTTATCTAGAGCCCAAAGTCAGCGCTGTATCGGTTCGCATCGCTTTGTAGAGGCCACAGAGCGACCGGCATGTTTCTGTGGTCGCTATACACGGTACTGAGGGTTCTGTGATAGAAGGCTCGCAACCCTTGATTCATTGTGCGGCTTCACAGCTCTGTATGACGAAGTCAATTACCCCATAGGAGAATGCAGACTATCCACCTCCTTCAAATCCATCTGCAGGCCTTTGAGACACACTTGTCTTACGAACTTGCAGCAGAATGACCGAACCTGCGTTTGCTCAGGGACCGTTTCTGCCAAATTTTCTGTACCTTCGCTTAAGCGGGTTGTTGTCATCTTGGCTTCGGACCACCGCCGTGTGTCAGACGATGATTCGCTGGATCTACTGCTTCACCACTCCCGAGAATCGGCCCTGCTCACGACAGATCTTGAGTACCCAACACGTGCTATCTCATGGCCTGTCTGGGTCATCTCTGACAGGTCTCTTCGACTATTCCTGTACCCCGTAGGACGACTCGGAGTCCCACCCCTATCAACTGCTGCTGCGTTTTCAGGGTCTCCTGGCGGCCCAACGTACACTCCCTTGGAATGCGAAGCATGGCGAGCAATCAGGCAACCAGATTCTATCTCGTTTCTGGGACAGGCGACCAGATGGCATCGATTCCGGCGCTCTGGGGACATGTCGGTCAATCATCACACAGTCCTCCTACTTTATCGAACTCACCATGCGGCCCAGACCATGCGGCGTCACATACCATAAAAGCAATATTGCAAGATTCTCTCAACGTTTGCATGAGACTCCTAAACGTGTCATGGGGTTTCAAATTCTGGGCAACCATCGATCAGTAGTTGCTGCCGATCAGTGCGGCAGCGACACTCCCGACGACTTCCTCGTAACCGTTCCTTGATCGGCGTTCCTCTCGGGCCACTACCCGGCGCTTGGCCATCGGCAGACCTTGCCAGAAATGGCAGATTACACGGAGCATCTCCTCGATGTGAGGATTGATCACCGTCGTCGTTGAGCGGCTCGAGTGTGCCCATAATTCCGTGGAAGTGGCTTCGACAACCACTAGATAATCTCCTCAACTACAGCACGGACGTGTCTCTATGTGCCGCACCTTGATCCTGAATGTCGGGTCGAGAGGATATCCTCCTGCATGAAGCAAATGTGGCAATGTAAGTCTGGAACGACTCACAGGACTGGGTGACCTCATCGCCCGTTGAACTCTAGGAGAGCAAGCTGCGTCGAATATGCAAGCGTCCGAAGCCAGGGTTGTCATACAGCATCTACAGGTGTATGGTGTGTGGTGGCTGTTTTCTTTGCCATTGACGCAATGATGCCTCGCAAGCGCCCATCACTCGGAACTACATACCGAAGAAGCATGATGTCGAGACTTCCTCAGTTGCTCATCTTGGCTGCATTTGCCAGAGATCGTCTAAAAACTGTCGCCGTAATGGCAAGTTGGGTAGACGTTTTCAATGACGTCTTGGCAGACAGTTGAGCCCGCGACGGAAATGCGAACTTCGCAAAGTGGCGATAGATTCGGTCTTGTCGCCAGCCGCGCATGTCTTTGAACAAAGGACAGTCATTTATCCGCACGCGCACGTACTAGGTATTATTGCAGCGTTTATTGCCAATGTGAATATTCCTAGCGAAAGATCAGACAGGTGGTGGGATTGCCACTTCATCTAGATGTAGAGAGACTATGTCCTGCGCCGGCGAATGCGTCTCATTTTCTCTCATCAAGATTCCCGCAGAGACAGTTTTGGGCGCTATATGACAGTCTTTCACGTAGACGGTAGACGACCGCGGCAGGCGAATTTCGGCTTATTCCTGGCTTCTACCACGTCTCCTGTCACATCGATTTTTAAGTCGGGCTTCAACGATGTTTCATTTGCTGCACGAGTGTATACCCCGTTATTCCCTGTGTTAAATCGACCGGGAAGCGCAAATGGAAAGTCTATCCGCGGTGAGTACTACATCGGCACAACCACAACCAAATGGCGTGGACTGATTAGCCCCGGCAGCAAGTCTTGCTGATCCGGATGCAACGGTCTGTGTTTTTAGACGACGTTCTAGACCTCGCTACCCTTTCGTCTCTCAACCATTGCCATTGCGATAGCCCTGAACATGGCTTTATGAAAGACAGAATCGAACACTGGGATTGACGGGCAGCATTGCAATCAGCCAGTCAGGTATCGAGAAGTTCACCTGGATAGCGATTGGGCTCTCAATGGCTCATGTGATCCTTTCCAACGTTTTGCGGCGTCCACATGCATGGTGGAGAGAAAGCTTTCCCCCGCACTCGCTGCACGGCGTTGTGCGACCCGTTGCCGGCACTCGAGGTTGACACCGCAGTGGCGCCCGGCGCGCCTCTGACAGTTCGGCCTATGAAAGCGGCCGGTCGTCATCCCAGTGCAGTGGCAGGCTAGGCCAGAGCCGCTGGCAACGGAGCTTGCCTAGCAGATATATCACACCATAGCGAAGCTGCGCGCATCTTGTTCCAGGGCGATGATCGGGTCCGGGGTAGATATAGCCTCAGGAGCTGGGGGATGGGAAGGGTGCCGGGCTTGTCAAGCTTGCTTGCGATTGCATTCCTGTACAGGC